GGAATGAATGACTCTTTTGAATGATTCTCTTATTAGATGTGTATTGTATGCACACGTCCTGTGCTATGTGCTACGTGCTATGTGGGGCCCAAATATGAAAGCCCCACAGGGCAGGGCAGGGCATTGGGGAAATTGGGATCTGAGTTCTCCTTTGGGTTCTGCAGGCCAGTTAAGCAAGTATGACTCGAGCCAAGACTTTCTGAACCACATTTTCGGCCTGTCTCCTTGCTGGTCTCCTCCACCAGATCCACTGGAGAACAGGAAGCACCGGCTGGCGCAAAGTGAGTTCCCAGAAAAAGCTGCGTGGCTAGATTGATGGGGTTTGATACCTGGGCAGCGTGCGGCCACTGTTCTGCAGGCTAAGGCCTCACTAGTGATTCATTCATGACCGTTTATTGAGCACCTACTATGTGTCCTTCAGTAAGGCTTTTCAGATGAACAATTTGTCTCAAGGCAGATGTGTCTTGGAGAGCAACGGGGTCAATGGCTGATTTGCTTGGGCAGGGGGTAAACTATGTGGCCCCTGGGTCTCCATCAGGCCAGGAATTCCTATTCTTTTACCTTGTGCCTGAAATGTCACCTGGGCCTGACAGTCACTGTCCACCCAGTTCCTAGTCTCGTTGCCTTCTGCCCCACAGAGAGGGCCCAGTTCAGGCTGGCTGGTGAGTGCCCCTTCCTGTTCACAGAATAGGCAATGGCTCAGTGTCTTCTGGACCCCGCCTCCACCAGAACTGTTTCCCCAGTCACTGGTGTGGTGCCAGGAACCTACTTGGCAGAAAGATTGGGTGTGACGTGGCAGCAGAGGCAGGAAGCAAGGTCCCTTCCCAAGAATTCTTATCAGTGTCCATGATTTCTCTTTCCAGCTGGCCATGAGCTCCTGGAAGACCATGAGTCTCATTTCCCTCCTAACCTAGCAAAACACAGCCCTCAAGAATTATCTACTGAATTGAATTATCGTTGAACAACACTCTCACACTCACAAGCTCAAGGACTCACGCAGATGATCATGTGTGATGCACCTAGTTTACACATGGAGAGAGTGAGTCTTTGGAAGAAGATACCATTCAATCTTTATGGGCTCTGAGGGGTTTCCCATGGGTCTTTTCAGCAGCCCTTCAAGGAGCAGGGGTTCCTCGGGCTCAACATTGCCTATTCTAATTTGGAAGTGAGATTTGGAAAGGACTTGGTGCTCAGCCACTGACCCCCTGCCTGACCTTTGAGGAAATGCATCCCCTTGCCTGGAATGGCTTTCTGGCCAGTGAGTCATGGGGCATCACCCACAGAGTGCAGGGTGGGGGTAGTTGGATAGCTTCTCCACTATGCATCCCCCTCCCCTTCAAAACCTGCTTGAAATCCACTCCCATACTCCTGGCCTTTTGGCGACTCTTCCACTTGAATTGTCTTCCCCCATGGCTCGATGATAATTCAACACAGCCTTCAGGAGCCAAAGGCCACCTCCTCCTGGGAGCATTCTCTGGTTTCCCTCCATCCCTTACTTCTGTTTGACAACTCAATTGATCGGTAGCATTTATCATATTCTCCTTGTGTTATCTTCATTTGATTGCATGGTGGTGTCTGATGTCTCCCATGCAGGCTCTCTTCTCTGCCCCAAGCTGCTGAGCATGCCTTCTGTCCACGTTACAAATGGGTGTGCACCCAGAAAGCAGGACCATGTGCCAAGTTCTTTGTCTTTCTTCCCATAGCGGCAGACCATCTTCCCTCAGTTTTGTACAGGGGTTTGCACACTGTAGGAGTTAAAGAAACTCATTTAAATTATTAATGGTTTGAGCCTCTATTGTGTCCCAGGCTCCATGCTGGGTGTGGGGACACAGAGATGGATCTGACAATGACAACACCATGTGATGTGCGCTATAACTTGGGTGTGGGGCAGAGCTTGAGCTGCGCTGGAAGGACAGACAGCAAAGGGGGGTGGGGTGGGAGGGAACCTGGGAGGAAGCAGCCCTGACAAGGCCTTGAAGTAGCCCAGCTTGTCCAGAGCCTGGGTCCAGGCATCAGAGAGATTGGTGCTTTGGGGCAGACCACGAAGGTGGGGAGGCTGACAAATGCCTGCTCAGAACCCCTTAAAGGCTAACGTTTGGATCATTATGCTCAGCTGCAGAAAACAGGAATCAGACCACCTTGGTTCAGATCAATCCCACCTCCACTACCTACCAGACTGGTGATGTCGGGAAGGTGACTTAATCTTTCAGAACCTCAACTTTCTCCTCTCTAAATGTTAATGGTAGGCCTGCCATAAATGGTGACACTTAGCACAGGGCTGCACCTGGCTAGGGGGAGGCGGGAAAGGATGCAAAATCCTTTTGGGGTTTGGGGACCCCAAACAACTCTCAGTAGTGGAGCTTTAGAATTAAGGGGGTGCCAAAAGACCCCTAACTTATCAAGATACATAATATTTTAAAGCAATACTTTTAAAAATGTCAAAACTAATGCAAAAAAAAATGAGCAATGTATCAAAAAAATATCATTAAGGACAGGATCCGCCTTACACAAGGTATGCAGCTTAAAAAACCGCCAGCTGGGATTGAACCTGGGAATTCTCAACCTTCCAGGGCTAGGGACTTCCGAAAACCTGAGGAAAACCCGTGGTCCCTCTCACCCAGAAGAATGCTCAAATGCGCATCCTCTGTGCAGTTTGGGGGTGTTCCTGCACCCCCTGGGGCTCGTCCACGTGGAGGTTAAGAACTCTAGTTCCACGTCGGGGTGCGGGAGTGGGGGGCTGGTTCCACGCACCACCCAGCCATCTGCGGGTTCCCCAGTACCAGGCCGGCGGCCCTCCTGGCAGCCATGGGTGCTCTGCCCCCTGCAGGAAGCAGCGCATAGCTATGCCGCTTCTTTTTCTTTCTGGCTTGGCCCCCCCCCCCCCCCCCCCCCCCCCCCCCCCCCCCCCCCGCCTCGGCTTGGGACTTTTCCTAAAGTTTGCTGAAACCAGACACCTTGCTCCACCGAGCCCGCGTGCAGCCACGGTTTAAAAGGCCGCCTTCAGCGCCCCCTCCCCGCCCCAGCGGAGACTTCAAAAGGCCCGGCGGGCGCCGCGGCCCCAGCACCTATGAGCCGCCCCCCGCGCCCGGAGCCCGCGCCGGAGTCCGAGGGCGGAGAGCGGACGAAGTTCGAGCGCAGGCGGACCGGGCCGGCGGCGCAGCCCCGCGCGCCCATGCCCCTCCCGGTGCCGCTGCGCTCCGAGCGCCCGCGCCCAGTTTAGGGAAGGGGACCCCGCACCCCCGCCCCCGCGCCCGCGCCCGGGGCTGCGGGGACCCATGAATACAAATGCCGTTAGGCGCCCGAGGAAGGACCGACCGTCCAGCCTCGCAGCTAGGGACCCAGTAAGTGCCCCAGGGCTCCTGGAGCTCTGGGGGTAGCGGTGCGTGTGCGCGCGTAAAGTTGCGCGCGTACGGGGAGGGGGGGGTGCACGTGTGGGGAGTGAATGCGTTTGTGCACGCTTGCGGTGGGCACTAGCAGAGAGCTGTGTTCAAGTGGGGGTGTGCGCGCGTGTGCGCACTGGGAGTGTGTATGTGGGGTGTGTGTGCACGTGAAGGTGTGTGAGGTGTGTGCGCGGGAGTGTGTGTTGGGGGGATATGGATAGGCTAGTGTGCATTTGTGTGCGTGTAAGTACTAGTGTGCATGCGTCCGCTTGTATGAAGTACGGGTTGCGTTCGAGTCCAGAAACCCCAGGGTGTGTTTGTGTGAGCCCAGGAGGAGTGCGTGGCCGAGCTTGCGTGTGAATGAGTGTGAGTGTGTGTCTGAGTTGGGGTAAGCGTGGATGTGTGTGGGAGTGCGTACGCACCGGTGAACAAATCGTGGAGGTGGAGGGGACTTCTGATGCCCGGGCTCGGACTGGGGTTGTGGTTGTGCGAATTTGCTGGGCGTTTGCGGCAGGGTCAAGGTGTGTGCAGTTGTGCGCTCCAGCGGGGGAACTGAGGGAGTCTTTGGTCGCCTCCTGAGGGTGTGTGTGTGTGTGGGGGGGATGTTCAGCTCCCATTTCTTACCGAATGGACAGGGAAGGGAAGAGGGTGACCAACGTTTAACAAGCCCACCCACTATGTGCCTGGGGAAGTCTGTTCTCCCAGGCGCTCTGAATCTGGGAAGAGGGGTGTATATGTGTGTGTATGGGCGGTAGAACACTGGGTCGTCGCTGTTGTGGGAGTCTAGATACTGAGATCTGGTCCCAGATCTGTCCCCGGAACACTGGGTTCTTTCAGCAGTAGTATCTGTCCCCTTTCTCCTTCTATCTCGGCCCCCCAACTCGGGGACCTTCCCCCATCCCACACCCCCCAGTCTCACAAACCAGAAGTCCCAAATCTCCGAACTGTGGTCGCCCTGCTGTGCAGCTTTGACCGTCTCTTTCCTCTTTGTGAATCTCAGTTTCCCCATTTTTACGGGGGGGGGCCCGGAGGTGGGGGTGTCTGCCGGGCTGCAGTGGGTCGGCCGAGGCTGTGTGACCGGCTGCGGCCGGCAGGGGGCAGCATGGGGCAGCAGAGGGCGGCTCGGCGCGGGGAGGAGAGAAGGTGGAGAGCCACCGCGGGCCGAGACTTTAAATCGCCTTCATTTCCCCCAAATCCTTCCTTTTCCTCTCCTCCCCCAGGCCGGCGGGGAGGCAGCTTCCACCGCCCTCCGCGCGCCCTCGCCCGGCCTCGCTCTGCCTCCGGGGACCGCCAGCAGCCCGCCTCCAAAAGTTTGATCTCTTTTTTTTTTTTTTTTTTTTTTGCCTGCTTCTTCTTCCTTTTCGGTGGAAGCAGAAAAAGAGCGAGGCAGGGGCGAGCGCGGCGCCGGGACTCCTGGGACCATGGGCCTGGCGCGGGCGCCCGCGGGGCCCCGGCCGCGCTGCCTGCCTGCTCCGGCGCCCCTGGGCGCGGGGCTGCGCTGGGGGCGCGGGGGCCGCGCGCTCTGAGCCGGCCTGGCGCGGCGGGGCGGGGGGCTGGCGGCCCCATGGGGCGCGCCCACACTTGCCCCCCGGGCTCGGGAGCATGAAGTAGGGGCCCGCCATGGGAGCGGGATCGGCGCGGGGGGCCCGAGGCACAGCGGCGGCGGCGGCGGCGGCGGCGCGCGGGGGGTGAGTACGAGCTCGGGGACGCCCCCTCCCCAGCTTCCTGCTGCTGCAGCCCGGGTTGGGGGGAGGGCTGGGGTTCCCCGCCGCGCCGGACGCTTCCCCGGAACGTCGGCTTCCTGCCCCTTCCCGCGCCCCTCTGAGGCGGGCCGCCAAGGGTTAACGCGGGCTGCGCCCCCGGCCCGGCGAGGCTTGGCGAGCGCTGCCTGCCCTGCCCCGCTGGCCCGGCTCCGCGATCGCGTTGGGGCGGGGGCCGTGCTGGGGAGGGTCCGTGCGGAGCCAGCCCTGGGGGTCGGGATTGGGGGTGGGTGGTGGCGCCTGGGGCGGCGGGCTGCGGGCGGCGGGGGCTTTGGGACGCTTGGGGGAGGAAGGGTGTCCGTTTCTGGCTGTCTCGGTGTGTTCCGGTGTCGGTGTCGGTGTCTACAGGTCCCGAGCTTGTAAGTCAGTGTGTTCTTGTGAAACTATCCGCAAGCGTCTAAGTCTCCGGGTCTCGGCTTCTCCTGTCTCAGCGTCTGTGTGGCTTTGCACGTCCCCTGCTTCTGGAAGTCTCCTCGTGTGTGTCAGTCTGTTTGGGTCTGCGCGTCTCAGTGTTCCCCCGCTTCTCTGGGGGCTGGGGGGGTGTCTCAGTTCCTGTCATTTTTCGTGTGTGAGAGAGAAAAAGTGAGAGTCAGTATGTCAGAAGAGAAAGGGCCCTGAAGACCACAGAGTCACTGCACAGAGGCAGAGACTGGGGGCCAGGGAGGGGCAGGGAATCTCCAAAGAGGGACTGCAGCGGAGCTGGGACCCAGGGGCTGGTGGGGTAGTTGTAAAGAGTGAGAGTGTGCAAGAGCGAGTCACTGAGTGTGGGTGTGTGTGGGAGTGAGCAAGGATGGGAGCAGCCCTCAGGGCCCTGTGCACTGTGGCTCATGCTGGCTGCCCAGAGAAGCGAAGGACTTGCTCCCTTTGCATCCTGCCCCCAGAATCAGAGGACATTCCCAAGGGGCTGGTCAGGGCTGTAGCTCCGCCCTGCTCCACCATGCCCTGCCCCCTCTGAGCTGGAATGGGGGGGACGATGCCCCCCCTTCTTTCCCATGTCTTGGAAAAAGCTGGCTGGCTGAGATTCCCCCACCCCCCACCACAACACACACACACACACACACACACACACACACACACACGGCACCAGTAAGCACACTGCTGACTCATTTTCTCCAGAAGACCCTGTGCCAAGGCAGATGCCAGTGGTTGGGCAGAGAAGTGGTGCCAGGCGAGCACCCCACAGTGAGGCCCGAGCTTTGGGCAAATGGGCAGTCACGCTGCTTTGAGGCCCGGCCTCTGCCTTGCCCAGTCTCGCTGCCTCCCTCATCACAGCAGTGCCCCAGATCCTGTGCCCTTTGGTGCTGGCATGCCTTGCAGCCTTGCTCTTCTTTACCTCTCCCAGACCAGGCTCCATGACACTATGGAGCACATCACTGGCCTCCGCTCTCCTTCCCTCTCCACCCTGTACTTGGAACACTCCCCGTCCTGGGGCTTTCACGTGCCCTGCTGCCCCTCAGGTCTCACCTCAATGGCCATCACCTCCCCTGGTGGGGTGCCCTGGCGGGGGGCCTGCCCTCCCTATGTCACTCACTCCCTGTCTCTGTCTGAGCACATTCTGCCTGTTACTTTGGTGGCATATTCTCCTTTCCCCGCTCTGTGTCCAGGGGACCCTCTTGGTATCCCGCAGCCTGGCCCGGTGGGTGGCAGGTTGCAGGGCGGAGGAAGCCCTGGGATCAGACAGTATGAATCCTGACTGTCGTGGGAGCTTGGGCAGGCCCCCCGCCTCTGTGCTTCCCTTCTTTCTGATCTGCAAAATGGGCAGCTTAATTCTCACCTTGAAAGGTTTAGTGAGGATTAATGGAGGACCATGCTCGTAAAGGGCTTAGAACGGTGCCTGGCATGTAGTAGGTGGTCAATAAATGGCCACCATTATTTGTATTATTATTCACTTCATCTTGAATGGATGTGTGAGTCAACTGGAAAATTCTGGGCTGCATCCTGTCCGCACAGATGACCTGTCTGTGTTCCCATGGAAGAGGTATCAGGTGTGAAGAGAGGAGCCTGGGTGCAGCTGTCTGGGCACAAGGTGCCTGGCCGGTCCACGGGGCAGATGGGACAGGTCTGTCCCCCTTTTGCTGTTCGGCGGTCCTGAGGCCAGCTGCCTGCCCAGCTTGTCCCGTGAGCGCACAGCCAAGCCTGGAGTCCACAGGGCTGCTTTCCTTGTGTGTCTTATGGTGCTCTGGGTCTCAGCTCTGAGCTCTTGGTGGACGTTCAAGTTGGTATGGCTCTCTTACGATCCTGTGTGTTCCCACCAAGCATACCAGCTGTAGGTTCTGGTAGTCTAGTGGTCCCGGAGTAGCCACATTTGGTGTGCGGGCAGAGGGCCCTTTGCAGGGGTAGGAACACCTGGGTTCCCTTCCTGGAGGGCTGTGTGGCCAGGCTGTGCCTCCAAGATCAGGTTCCCTAACGCGTAGGTAGCTGCCATCTCAGCTGCCTCCTGTCTGCTATGGTCTTCCCGACATTCTGGAGACCTGGGTTCCCTGAGCCAAAGCCCACGAGTCAGTGGTGAAAACAGAAGTCGGGAAGAACAAAGCTCTGAGCCAACACAGGCACTAAACATTATTAGCAGTAGCCTAAACAGCGTTGGAATGGGGGCAAAAGAGTCAGCAGGGCCTCCCTCTGGGAGCCAACTTTCCAGGCCTGGAGCTCACTTAGATGGCTTGTTGGCTCCCTAGGCTGCATCTCTCTCTTCCTGTTGGTAAAGGCTGGACTCCGGTCTCTGGCAAATAGGAAGCCCCTGTAAGTGTCCAATTTCTTCTCCATGAGAGACAAGTCAAGTGGAAAGGACTGTTTGCTAAGTAGCAGAGTCAGATGATGTGGGTCACTGACATGCTGTGTGGCTTTAGACAAGTCACTTCCCCTCTCTGGGCCTCGGTTGCCCATCTCCACAATGAGGGGATGGGACTGGAATCTGGCCTCTAGCTGATCTCAGAGGACCTTCTCCTGCTGTATATTCCCACTCTTTGCTTTGGCAGGATATGAGTCAAGTGCACACAGAATTCAGGTCTGGGAAGGTGTCAAGGTGAATGAACTGAGGGGAAAATACATTGGTAACAGGCCTTCGGGGCTGAAATTCTTGAGTTGGAAGCCATGGTGTTGGGAAACTTAATTGAAGCAAAGATTCTGATCCCATCGTCCTGTGAGTCTTTCTCCTGACCTTCAGGGATTAAAAATATTTCCCCCAAGTGTATCTTTATTCTCTCCAGAGTGGCCACCTTGGCCTAACCGCAGCCAGAAAAATTGACTAAGGACATGTATGGTTCTTACACCTTCTCCTCTCCACCCGGTCTCTCTCTGTCAGCTTGGGAAGCACCCTCAGCAGGGTGGACGTGACATCCTACAGCGAGACATTCAAGAAGTGAGGGCTTGTGCCTGGAAGTGGCCGGGAAGAGCGGATGGAGGAGATGGGACAGAAATGAGGTTGTTGGGACACTGGGAAGTGAGGTGCAGTGTCTTCAGAGCAGGCGTTCTCGGGAAAAAGGAGTTCACTGGTCCTCTAAGTCTGGGGACTGCCGATAGACAGAAAGCCCTGTCCATGTCTTCATTGCAGGACTTCTCAGACCCTTTGTTAGGCAGTTAGTTGTTTAGTTGTGCTTTGGAAATTGTCACACCTGGGCTAGCTCTTCCCCAGTTGGCCTGGCTCCAGTTTCCTGGAGTGTCTACCTGGTGCATGTGGGAAATAGTACTGAAGAGTTATGACCCCGGAGCCTACAGAGTGACCTTGAGGAGGTACCTGCCTTCCCTAAGCCTCAGTTTTTGTCACATCAAACAAAGCCTCCTGTCGTTTCTTTTCAGGGCTGATGAGGCTGCCATGGCTGCAAGTGGGCAGGTCATGCCAGAAGGGTCAACTTCTGCTCTTCTCCCCAGGCAACACCGGGCCGGCTAGGCGCTCTGACCTTTAGTCATTGCTAGCGGTGAGCCGGAGGCGAGGCCCATGGTGGCAGGAGGACTGGCCCCGTGGAAAAGGACATTTTCACAGCAGCGGCAGCGGATTGGAGAGGATGGGGGCGGGGGGGAGCTGAGGATTATCCAGGAGCAGTCCTGGAAAAAAGTCAGAGGTAGAGAGGGCCTTTGGGGAGATGCTTTTAAAGTCCAGAGTCCTGTAATAGCAGGTACCATTTATTTCTTCTACAAAGATACACTGAACGTTTACGACATGTGTGCCAGGTGCTGGGAGTACATGTGAACAAGACAGATGTGTTTCCTACCCTTTAGGGACTTGTTCTAGAAAGGGAAATAGGAAAATAGGCAGTGGGCTCACGCGGGATACCTGCTGTGGTGAGGTACGCGCAGTGGGCTGTGGGAGGTGACGCCCAAGCTGGAATCTAATGTGTGTGTGGGAACTGACCAGGCAAAAGAATGGTGTCAGGAGCACTTGGGAGCAGCATGTGCAAGGACCCAGATGCTGGAGAAGGCTTTCAAGGGATCACCCTCAGCATCTGAGTGCTTTTGCAGCTGGTTTGCCTTATGCTGCGGGTAACTGAAGACCCATTCGACGTGGCTTACACAAAGAGAGTTATTATCTCCCGTATCAAGAGGTCTGAAGGGAAGGCAGTGATAGGGTTTGCTAATTCAGCATCTCAAGTGCCATCAAATATCCACTGTTTTTCCATTCTGTCACCCTCACGTGCTCATGGAGCTTGTTAACCTCATGGGCACAAGGTGGCTGCAGCAGCAGCACATCCTTGCTCAATAACATACAAAGGCTAGAAGAAAGCCTTCCCTCTGTCCCTTTGAAATACTTTCCCAGGGGCCCTAAGAGGCGTCCCTTACCTCTTACTGACCATGTTTGGGTCCTGTAGGCATGCCTAAACCAGTCACTGGCATGGCAGATGAAATTCCCAAGGTTGGCTTAGGCTTATCCCGATTCATCCAGTATCCTCTGAAGTCCGTGCCTCCCTGAACAAGAAGGGCAGGGGGATGGCTGTGGGTAGGTAACCACCAGTGTCTTCCACGGTGCCCAGTCAGGATCACTATTGATTATAATTTGCAATTAAGTTGGAGTAATTGCCATTAAATCGGAGGGTGTGAGCTGGTTTTCCAGGGCGCCTAGGGAGCTGGGAAGAACGTGGGGCGCCAGACATCGGTTCCGGCAGACAGGTTTCCTGGATTACGTGATTCCCCAGAAGCACACCATTCTAGCTTTCCTCTTGGAAATGGATCCTGGGCCGGTGTGACCCAGCCTTAGCCCGCACTGCCCGCCCGTCTCCGTTTTCTCTGCCTGCATCCCGTCCGGCCGGCTTTGGCCACGTGCCGCCCTCCCCTCTGCCCGCTCGGGGATCAGATGCCCCGGGTGGCTTCGGGTGTCCGCCGGTGGCTGCTCCCACAGGAAGGTGAAATTGGATCACTGCCTCTGCCCATCTTGGCAGGAGCCGTGGAGCAGAGCATTAACCCTTCTGGGCCCCAGAGTTCACGGGCAGCCGTGATGCCGAAGGAGCACTTCTGTGGCTGGCACCAGGCCGAGCCCTTGACATGCATGAGCTCATTTAATCCTCACGCCTGGCCGGTGAGATAGGGAGTGTCGGCTGTGCTGCAGAGCCTGAGGCAGGCTCAGGGAGGCTGAGTGACTCATCCAGGGTCACACAGCTGGTAGGCAACAGGGCCGAGTTTGTGCCTGAGTCGGCCTGACCCCCCATTGTGCCCTCTGTTTTCTCTACTCCCTTTCTCTAGCAGCATGAAGCCCAGGAGGCAGCTTCCTTAGCACGCGCTGGTCCTGGTTAAGGGGCCTTCTCCCCCTCCACCTTGTGTCTAGAGAGGGAGTGCTCGTCGCTTTTGTCCTTTGAGGATGTCCGTCATCTGCGGGGACTAGTCTGGTCTTCCCACTGACCTTTCAGTCCTGGCTCTGCTGCCCACTGGGCCTCAGGATAGTGAGGCCATGGTACAGATGGGGAGGCTGAGGCCCAGAGACGGGGAGGGGCTGGCCCCTTGTTGACCAGTGAGTCAGTGGCCGATGTGAAGCTGGACCCCAGGTCTCCTGATGACCAGGGCATCCTGCCTACTGTTCCCTGCCCTGTGACCTTGGTTCATCGATCTGTAAAAAGCAATGTTTGTACTTGTGACTTGTGCCGCCTGAGCAGGTCCTGCCCCTAGAGGTTGCACCTGGAAACCCCAGGAGCGTGGGCTACCCTTTGGGGTCCTAGAGCCTGCCCCTGGCCTCCTCCGCCTTCTGTGGGCGAGCCTGGCCGGAGCAGGGGTGGGGGGGACTGGGTGGTGCCCTCCCAGTCCCCAGGCAGATCTGGGCCCCAGGGTAGAAGCTGATACCGCCTCTGCTTGTGTCTTCCTGTCCCTAGGGGGTTTCTCTTCACCTGGATCTTAGTCTCAATTGCCTGTCACCTGGCCTCCACCCAAGGAGCTCCTGAAGGTAATCCTCTCTTCTCTTCGTGCAGGCGGGGAGGGGGGGGGCAGAGGGAGGGACAAGGGAGGGCAGAAGAATCCTGAGAACTCAGGGCTAGGAGACAGCCATGCCCCTAGTTGGAACTCAGTGCCTCAGTTTTCCTCTCAGTAGAATGGAGCCCAGCATTGGCAAATTCTCTCCAGGCTGGGAAGAGTGACATTTGAAGTTTTGTAAGGGGCAGGAAGGGCTCAGTGGCAGGAATGTGGGACGGTGACCCTTTCTCTCCCACGGGGGCGGGGGGCAAAATTGGGTTGAATCATGTTGGTTCAGTAAGCCTCAGTTGTCCTGATTTGTACAGTGGTTATACCAAGATCTGTTGAGAGGAGGCATGAAGGCCACGGCTTTCCCCCCCTTGCCGTGAGATCCTGTTCTTCCCTGCCATCCCCGAGGACCCGGCCAGGGGACCAGAGTGGCGGTGCGCTGGCTACACAGCTGTCCGGGGAAACTGAAACCTCTCCCACATCCGTTTGTCAAACAGCCACAAGGCCTCCTAAAATAGCGGCTCTTCCCCTCCTCCACGCATGCCCGTGTGCTGGGGCAGGCAGCCGGGCACTCCCAGAGCCCCTGTGGCCTGACCTGGCTGCCGGCAGGGATTGGGTCCCCGGGAGGGGAGGGCCATGCCCGGAAGAGACTCCGGCTGCCCGGCAACATTTTGTGCAAATGTCATATTTTCCAAGCTTGCTGTTTCCCCCACAAAGTAGGTGAACAGCTGTCCAGAGTCCTGAGTCAGGCAACGGGGGGCGGGGGGTGTTGGGGAGAGGCTGGAGCCGCGTGGAGCCAGGTTTATGTAATAAAGGGATCTCGCGGTGGCCAGCTGGCAGGGTCCTTCCAGCTTGGCCTTGGGCTGCCTTCATTCCCCTGACCCCTAACTCCTTGCCCCTGGATTCTGGATGTCTCTCCACCCCACTTACCAACAAGTCCGAGGGGCTCCAGCTCAGGACAGCATAGTGTTAAGAACAGAGACCCTGGAGCCGGTGATCTGGATTCAAGTCCCGGCTGTGCCTTTTATTATAGGCTGTGTGACCTTGGGCTAGTTCCTGTAGCGAACTTTTCTGACCCTCCTCTGTAAAGGGTGGGGGGGGGAATGATAAACAGTATCTTCTTTATAGATGATTGAGAGAATCGGGCGAGATAGAGCACGTGAAGCACTTGGCACGTAGGAAGTGCTCAATAAATACTGGGGTTTATTATTGCTGTTAATTATATTATTTACCTGAACACTTGGGCAAGAACAGTCCTTCTGCATCCCCTATGGAGCCCACGGTGGTCAGAGGCCTCCGCCAGCTTGGGTATCAGAGTGTGGGGCTTTGCCCCTGCCCTGCAGACCGTCTCTGGGGTGGGGGAAGCCTGGAGACTGGCTGGTGTCAGCTTTGAAACCCACCTGGAGGGGACGGTCAGGGAAGCCTCATCAGTGGTGCCTGGCCAGGCAAGTGGGAGCAACCATAAGCTGCAGTGTGTGGGGACATGTAGTGGGGGGAGGCGGCGCTCCAGGGGCCGCTGAGGTGGGACGAGGGGAGGGAGAGGTGGCTTCCTGCCCTCCCCCTTTCCAGCAAGTGCCTGCTCCCTTCGAAGTTGTTCGTCGTGAGTAGTAGTTTGTGCTCATAGGAGCGTTTCTGTGATGACAACGTGTGGTATACACCACTACCCAGAGAATCCTCGAGCCGCGGTTTATTTTAGCTTAGGAGCTCAGGACAGACGGAGGTGGGAGAAGGGAGGAATTTGAAGTGAAAGGAAGGCCCGCAGATCCTTAGGGAGGAAGACAGGTCTTCAAGCCAAGCCAGCCCAAAAAAGCAGCCTGCGACTATAGCATTCTTAGAACATCGTCAGCACTTTGTGGCCGCCTCCAGGTCTGGTTTCCCTTGTCTTACAGGCAGGGAAACTGAGGCTCAGGGGTCAGGAAGAGACTTGCCCAGAGGTGTCTGGACAAGGATGGTGAGGACGGCCAACAACCCTATGATGTAGGCATTCTTCACCACCTCGTTTTACAGCAGAGGGAACTGAGGCTCAGAGTCCAGACTCCCAGGTGTCTTTGTCTGGCTCTCAAGTCCGGCCTTCTGACTCCAGAGCCTGCTATGTATGGCACTCATTTTCTCTTGGCCCATCTATCTGTCCATCCATCCATCTGTCCATCCATCTCACAGCTGCCGGCTGAGGGCCAAGTGCTAAGCGTGGCATCCAGCCCCACGCAGACCCCACATACCACCATGCTGAGCTCGGGAGGGGGGGCGGGAGTTGGGGGGTGGGAGGGAGCTGAGGATCCAAGCCAGACCCCAGTTCCAGAGGCAGCCTCTCCTTTCCGAGTTGGAGCTCTGGAGCTGGCTTCTGCAGACACTGGCAGCTCAGCCAACTGAAGGAGGTCGAATGACCCGGCGAGAGTCAAGGTCAGAAAGCCTTTCCATAAACACGCTGGAAGCCCTCCTTTGGCTCTGGCGAGCCCCACCGATGTAATTACTGGGCGGATGTGACCTGACCAGGCTGCAGTCAACATCCAAACGCTTCGCCAGAGGACAGAGGTTGCAGGGATGCCTCGATCACTTCCTCTGCTCTGTCCAAAGCTGCACAGGGAGGGGGGCAGTCACTGGACCTGTCCTCTTCTGTGCAGATAGCAGCTCTGGCCACAGACAGACCTAGGGGGTGGGGCGGGGGCTGGGGAAGTTCCTAAAGGGGGTCAAACCAATCAGGCCCGCCGGACATCCTTACCGAGCTCCTGTGACCCGTCCACTCCTGTCACCCTGCTCCCTCACTCATGGGACTGCTTCCTGGAGGAGACGGGCTTTTGAGACAGAGAAGGGGAAACATCCTGAACACTCGGTGAGGGTCATTATTTCTGGCAGAAACAGCTATCCTTTGCAAGCGCTTATTGGGTGCCAGGAACTTGTTTCAAGAGTGCTAGCTCATTTACCCCTCCCGACGGACTTCTGAGTTTGGCACTACTCTCATCCCAGTTAAGAGGTGAGGAAACTGAGGCACTAAAGTCACACATGAACTCAGGAAGGCTCCAGTGTCTGTGTCGTGAATGAGTACAGGCCAGACAGGGGACTGGTTCCGACTCCGCACTCCCGGCCCCGAGCGTGGGGCCCCGGGGGGAGGGGGGACGGGGCAGTGGGTGGACTGTCCTCCCCGTCTGGGCACCTGGAGGGGGGTCTGGCCCTGACCGCGCCCTCTCCCCCTCTGCCCTCCCTCTGCAGATGTGGACGTCCTCCAGCGGCTGGGCCTCAGCTGGACGAAGGCAGGGGGTGGCCGGAGGCCCCCGCCCCCGGGGGTCATTCCGTTCCCATCGGGCTTCATCTTTACGCAGCGGACCCGGCTCCAGGCCCCCACGGCTGCCGTCATTCCTGCCGCCCTGGGCACAGAGCTGGCGCTGGTGCTGAGCCTCTGCTCCCACCGGGTGAACCATGCCTTCCTTTTTGCCGTCCGCAGCCGGAAGCGCAAGCTGCAGCTGGGCCTGCAGTTCCTCCCCGGCGAGACGGTCCTCCACCTGGGGCCTCGGCGCTCTGTGGCCTTGGACCTCGACGTGCACGATGGGCGCTGGCATCACCTCGCCCTGGAGCTCCGTGGCCGCACTGTCACCCTGGTGACGGCGTGTGGGCAGCGCCGGGTGTCTGTCCCGCTGCCTTTCCCCAAGGACCCAGCCCTGGACCCCGAGGGCTCCTTCCTCTTTGGGAAGATGAACCCGCACGCGGTCCAGTTTGAAGGTGCCCTGTGCCAGTTCAGTATCTACCCTGTGACGCAGGTCGCTCACAATTACTGTACCCACCTGAGGAAGCAGTGTGGCCAGGCCGACACACACCGGCCCCAGCTGGGACCCGTCCTGCCCCGAGACTCTGGCACAACCTTCACCTTCCAGACTGACCTTGCCCTGCGAGGCCTGGAGAACCTGACCACTGCCGCACCAGCCCTGGGGTCACGGCCAGCAAGCAGGGATCCCAGGGGGACTGTGGTGCCCACCACACCTGCCAAGCCCCTGAGGACAGGCGCCACAGAGCCGGGCCGGCGTGCGGCCACAGGGGGCCCAGCCCGGATCCCGCTGCTACCTGCCAAGCTGTCAGCCGGGGGAGTGTTCCCTCCCGTGCCCCCTGCTAGCTCCTCCACACCTGTCCAGCCATTGCGGAAGAACGCAGCCACCAAGATCCCCAAAAGTCATCCAGCCAGGCTTTCGGTCCCTTCTCCTTCAGTAGGCCCTGTCAAAAAGCCCCGCCCCACCCAGAAGGCAGCTCAACCTTCCTTCCCCAAATCAGCCCCACCCACCAGGAAGCCAGTGCCCCCCACTTCCCACCCACTTCCTGCCAAAGCCTCCCGCCCCTCAGTGAAGCCGATCCAGAGGACCCCTGTGATGCCCAGACCTCCGCAACCCAGCGCTCGGCCTCTACTTCTGGCCACTGGCTCCCCCCAAAAGCCTTTTCCCCCAGCGGGCCCGACCGAGGCCAAGATGAGTAGTCGTGCGGGTGAGCCAGCCCCTGCCCGCACTGGCACCCACAGACCTCCCCGACCCACTGTGTTGCCCCGGCCACCTGTCACCCATCCTGGCTCTCCCAGGATTGCTCCCCCACCAGCCACAGTGACGCCTCCCACCCTTGCTCCTGGCTCGGTCCCCACCAGAAGCAAGAAACCCTCTGGATCAGAAGCCACGAAGAAAGCCAGACCCAAGAGCAACCCCCGGAAGCCCGTCCCCCTCAGACCTGGGAAGGCGGCCAGGGATGTTCCGTTGAATGATCTGACAACCAGGCCCAGCCCCAGACAGTCCCGGCCCCGCCGGTCCACCACCCCGGCCCCGGCATTGGCCCCAGCGCGATTGCTGTCCTCCAGTCCCTGGCCCACGAGTCAGAGCTATTCATTCTTCCACCTGGCGGGACCCACGCCTTTCCCGTTGCTGATGGGACCTCCAGGGCCCAAGGGAGACTGTGGTTTGCCGGTAAGACAGGGTGAGGTGTGCATGTTGCTTGGAGCTCAAGGGGGTGGCAGGGGCAGTGAGGGCAAGTGGCTACTCCTGGCATTAGGGCAGAGCTGGAGAAGCAGCTTAGAGCAGGGAGGTGGTTATGGGCAGGGCCTCAGCTGCACGGACGTCCCCTGTTCCTCCACCTCCGTTGTGCTTGTGATCTGCCCGCTCTGCTGTGATCCGTGGTCCACTGGGGCAGCCTGGGGTTTGGTGGCCAGCGCTGGGTGAAGAGCACCCCTGTGCTTGGGTGGGCCCAGGCCCCAGGTCATTCTTTGCTAACCCAACTGTGAAGGACAAGTGGCTTAAGGAAAACTACTGGCCCCCAGGTCACGCGGTCTCCAGAGTTCAGCTCTCCTGACTCCTGGAGGAGGGCTCCTCCAGCCCACTCCAGCTAGTCTGGGAGCACTGGACAAAGGTCACACACGGGTAGTCCTGAACATGTTTTGTTTGGCACATGCAGCATTGTTTAAAAATATTTAATAAGTTACTAACATTTTAAAAATGTGGGAGATTTCTTATAAAAGACCTGGTGACCAGCTTCTCTTGGAAGGTGGACAGATGCAGTAGCCCGTGGCCTGTGGCCCACTCAGCTGCCCCTTTAGACAGGACGGGCCCGTTCCCATGTGTCCCCACATCTCCCGATGTGGGGCTTCCAACCCAGTCCTTTCCCCTGTGTATTTTACCTGCCTGGTTCCTATAGATGTTTGACTTGTGGCCCCCGTAGAGGAGTTTGGGGTGAGGAGGGTCAGGGTGGGCCTGAAGAGTCAAGGAAAGCAGAAAGAACATTCCACGTGCAGGAGATGTTCTCAGGCCCGGTGCCTCCAGCATGCCTGGGACTGTCTCCAGGGGCAACGACCTTTCTGCAGCTGGAGGCCAATTCCTCCGGGCGGGGAGTGGAGGGGATGGAGTTTCCAGAAAGCTCAGGCCTCAGCTCTGTTCTCCTGCCTTGGAGATGTCCACCGTGTAGCTTTCTCCTCCCTGAGGCCGGGTTTCCCAACAGGCTCTGTGTTTGAGGTTAGGCTCCCTACAATGGGGAGATGGTGGCAGATGCTGGGAATTCCCAGGCCTTACAAATACACTTAATGAGTTTTAATAATCATTAGGAATAATATTTATTCAGCCTGTCTCCAAGGGGGCTGAGAGCCCGCTTTTATTATAACCATATTGTAGAACTTATGGAAATTGTATGCATTGCTTTGCAATTATGTCAACGCTCTGCTCAAGTCCTGTGCTCTGAGATTGTTAGGGCAGGAGGTTGGGAGCCGAGAAAAGAAGGACCGCTTCTCACCCTTCCAGGCTGCCCAGCCTGACTCAGGCACTGGGTGCCTCTGAGCCCTGCCAGCTTGGCTTCCCAAGCTGTGTGGGTGCTGGGCTCACTGGCCGTGAGGTCAAAAGGGGGTGAATTGTCCTCCCCTGAGAGAGGGTGTGAGGCTCAGGGTCTCCACCCCATCCAGTGGAGGAGGTCAACCCTGCCTCCCGAGGCTGCGTGTGGGGTGGAGAGAGGACAGCCATGTCCAAGCCAGCACAACTGGAACAGGAGTGGTTTTTAAGGTAGAGAATCTGCCTCTGGGCCTGTCGGATGCCTGGGCTACATACTTTCCCCTCGGGGTTCGGCGATGTGAGTCAGCAGGGGTGAGGCCTCACTCCAGATCTTCCTGAGCTTCCCCGTGATCAAAGGGGTCAACCTGTTCAGTCGATGGGCGCTTAGGGATCATTCCATTCAACCCTCTTCACTGGGCAGGTGAGGAGCTTAGAGACTGTGCCCAGAAAGGGCCAGGACTTGCCCAAGGGCACACAGCAAGAGTTGATGTTTATGCCCCAGTGCCAGATGCTAAGACCGGCACATTCCATCCCACTCCCCTGAGTGTCCACTCTGAGACTCTTAAGACTCAGGGCCCGGAGGCTGGGGGGCTTCAAAGATGTGTCAGGCCCTGTCCCTGGCCTCAAAGGAAGATAATGTCTAGAGAATCTGTCGTTTTTATACCTCTCGGATTTATGAGTAACAGGAGTGGTACCTTCCTTTAGAACCTCACGGGACCTGGTTCGGGACGGCAGGATGGGTATGCTGATCCCTGCTCTGTAGATGAGGGAACAGTGGCTAGAGGGACAAAAGGCTTGGCCAAGGGCACCCCGCATGTTCTTGCAGGGACTGGGATGCGACTCTGGGTCCCTGATGTCCAGGGAGGCCACTGGCTTTCCCTGCTTCTCCAACCCTGAAGGGCCGAGGGCCAGAGGGAGGGCGTCAGTCTGCTCGGGTAGCATCCTGCCTCTTGCCCTACACTGTCCCCTAATCCCACCCTCTCTCAGCTTGGAACCTAGCCTCACTCTAATAGGAACCCAAAAAACTTTGAGAAGCCTTGTCCAGCCCACCATGTGGCAGGTGGCAAACTGGTCCTTTCTATCTTGGCAGAGCCCAGAAGCCCCATCACTGAAGTGGCTTCTCTGAGCGTCGGTGTCAAGGGCTCCTGCTCTGTCTGTTCCCTTGTCCCTGCCTCTGACCCCCATACACATCTAGGATCTAGTCCCAGCGGAGCAGAAGCTGTGCTGCTCTGGGTCGGGGGCTTAATTGTCCCCCGTCTGGGGACGTGCAGACCTGGGTTCCAATTCTGACTCCACCCCTTACTGGCTTTGTGGCCCTGAGCCACGCTAAGCCCTGGTTTCTGCAGAATGTAAGTTAAGAATAGCTCCCATCTCCTGTGAGGAAGCGAGTTGGGTGATCTCCAGGGCCCCTTGGAGATCTGTTTTTGCTGGGTAACTTGGGGAACTTCTTTCCTCTCGCTAGGGCTGTCTCTCCTCTCTGACAGCTTTGGAAGAGCTCCCTCCCCAGAAATAAGTGGGACCTTATTTGGGAACCAGAGAGGGGTGCCGTGGCTGGCTCTGTCGGTTTCTGCGTGGTCCCCAGGGGCAGGAGACAGACTGGCAGAGGCCAGGACAGCTCTAGGCCCCGGGCCTGTCAGCAGTTGTAACCACGGAGGGAGGGAGCTCTGTGGGAGCCCCAGCAGCGGGGGGGAGCATGGAAAAGCTGAGCTGGGCCCCGGGTGAGGAGGGGCAGGGAGGCTGTGGTTCACAGAGACTGCACAGAAGCTGCACAGAAGCCCCACGCCTGGGAGGAGGCGGGTCAAGGCCTTATTTATTCATGATCAGGCTGCTGGCCTCTGCACACGCTTGCACTTTTTGCAAGCGTCACCTCAGGGAGACCCGGATGAGGGCCTGGCCCGCAGCAGATGCTCCATGACTATCTGTGAAATGAATGAAGGAATGTGATCCTTGCAGAAAAAAAGGTTGTCTTGACTCCCAGTCCAGGCTCCTTGAGGTTACACAGATCTCTGCTGCTGGTGGGTCAGGAGGCTGCGTGGAGGGTAACAGTGCACAGACTTTGCATTTGGAGTGACCTGGGTTTGAACCACTCCTTTATCCAGCCATCCTTTCGTTCTGTCAGCAGTTATGGATTGAGTGCCTTGTAGGGGCCAGGTGCTGTGTGACCTTTGGCAAGTCACTTAACCTCTCTGAGCCGCCGTGTCTACGTTTGTAAAATGGGGATACGGTACTACCTATGTTTCCAGAGTTGTTGTGTGGATCGAGATGAGGGACATAAAGCGTCCAGCACTAGAACCTGGTCCCAGTGGTTGGTTGTGGCTGTTTACTGATGTGCTGATGGTTGAGATGGGGGTATCGCTGCATTGAGATGACCGGAAGTATCTGGACCCAGGAGGGCCTTCATACTGTTGGTCGTTAGGAATTGGGGCTAGATCTTGAGAAATTCAGCCTTTACCCTAGTTATCATCTAGAACCCAGGGGAGTGAGGGCTGTTTTGCTTTGTCTTTAGCATACTGTTTTTTTAGCTCCTACTATGTGCCCAGCTCTGAGCTAAGCAGTTGGCATGCTGTATCCTGCAGCTCCACGTGGGGAACAAGGTAATTGAGGGGAGTTCGAGGCAGGGGCTATTTGCAGAGGTGTGGACGCTATCAAAGGAACCGATAGCAGCTAGCAAAGCACACAGGTTTGACCTGAAGGTACAAGGGGAGGGAACGTGTGACCAGAATCCAGTGAGAGTTAAAGTGTGAACAGTAGGTAGTCTGTAGTGTCCCCCCCGCCCCCCCCTGGCTGGGCAGAGACAGAAATACCCTGCCCACTCACTCTGTGCACTCTTCGGTCTCTTGCTGGGACCTCCCATGGGCCGGGCTCAGCCAGAAGCAGAGAGCAGGAAAGCGTGAGGTAGGAGCCTGTAGGCCGGATTCCCAGGGCCTACAATAGATCTGGGGAGCAAGTGGAGAATAGCCAGCACCCGCATACATTATCTTGGAAGCTGGGTGTTATATCCCCATTTTGCAGCTGGACAAACTGAGGCCTGGAGGCATGGGGAGATGAAGTAATCTGTGTAAGACCGCATGGAGAAGCCCTGGCCCAGGAGCCCCTTCCCTAGGACAGAGACTGGGGAAAAAGCCTCCGAGCCTCGAGGACTATTCTTGGGAATAACGGTGTGCTCAGATGGTCAGAGGTGGGAGGGTCCTTTGAGGTCCCCTGCCTCTCCCCATCAAGCCACAGGCACCGAGCAGAGGCCCAGAGACTGAAGAGTCCTAGCACAGGGTCACCGGCAGTTAGCAGCACACGCGGGCCGGGACTCAGGTCTCCCAGATCCTCGGCCTGTGGAACCTCTCTGCTTGCTGCCCGGGGCCGTGCCAGCCGGGACTTACTTCCTTCTGCAAGGCTTGGCAGGCGGGCTGTTGCAGCTGGACACAAGGGTGGACTTGTTCCTTGGGATGGGGTTCCCCTAGGTCCGGCTGTCGGAGGCCACGACCCCCGGGGGAAGCCCAGAGCTGCTGCTTGTTTGTTTCCATGGCTCTGTTTGTGTGAGCCCTGGAGCCCAGGCCTCCTTCACCTCCCCCAGGCAGGCCCGTGGCCCCCGCTCCCCTCCCCCTCTGCTCTGGGCCCTCTCAGAGGCCCCGTTGTTTGCGGCGTGGAGTGGAAAATCCCACCCCGGCCCTCGTGAATCATCCCAGAGTCACCCGCTCAGGCTTCAGGCCCTGGAAAGAAATGGCAGCGTTTTTCCACTGCGTGGAGAACAGGCAGGGTCCCGGATCAGGAGAGAGGGGGCAGGGGGCGCCCACCCTCACCCACGGACAAAGTAAGTCCTGAATGGGGAAGGGTTGGGCTTACGGCCGCAGCTGGGCCGCTGGGGGAGGCCCCGGGCCGGGGTTGGGTAGAGGAGAGCCTGGCCAGGCCTGCAGCTGGGGGCTGGGCTGCCATGACACGGAGCCGGGCTGGGGCCTGACATCACCAGGCTGGGCCGTGGGTCCCAACTGGCACTTAGAGTCTGCTCGGCAGATGTTGTGGGTGAGGTCAGACTCCCAGCCTGGATGCCCCTGTTTCTGGAGCAGAAGAAATGCCAAGAGGGAGTGTCCAGGCCTCCACAGCGGCTGCCCTACCGGGGTCCCTGAGGGAGCTATCCCTCCCGGAGACTGTCCCTCCCTGGAACCCGGCACGAGCCCTGCCTCGCTGGGCCTTGGCCTTCCTCTCTGTGAGATGGGCACGGTGTCCTCCTTTCCTCCCCTGCCAGATAACTGGAGAAGGAAGTCGCCGGCGCCCTGCAACGCAGGAAGGGCCCCGGGCTGGGAAGGTTCTGGGATGCTCATTCCGTAGAGGCCTACAAAGGGGAAGGGCCTTAGCCAAGGTTGCACACCGAGTCAGGACATACCTAGCCAAGATTCTCTGCGTGGAAGCTGCCCAGAATAGGAGAACAAATCAAATGTCCTGGATTGAATCCTGATTTTGCCTGTTAGCTATGTGGCCTTGGGCAAGTCGTTTTGTTGCTCTGAGGCTCTCTTCGGTTTCTCACCTATTAAAAGGGCTAGGTGATGATACGGCCGGTAGTCAGGCTTAGCCCGAGCCCCTGCATTTCCCTTTAATTCTGGGTCACCTGGAAGAACAGCGCCAGGGAGGGCCTTCTGGAAAGGGAAATCTTTGCTCTTCCTGCAAAACAGATGCCAAGGAGGGCGGTTTAAAGTTTTGAGCTGGGGAGCTTCCAGCAGCTTGCTTAACAGAAACAACAGCTAACTTTTTGGGCATTAACTGTGTGCCAGGCACCAGGATTAGCACTTTTTATAGATTATCTGTCAGCTAGGGGCCGTCATATCCTCATTTTACACTTCGAGAATGAAGCCTTGGAGAACAGAAGTAGCGTGCCCAGAGCCACACAGCTCATAAGTGGGGGTGCCCAGTGTGAACCCAGATCCCCTGGGGAGGAGCGGAGAGGAGCCAGGCCCTGAATCCCTGCAGGGAAACCCGCAGAACGAGATAGAAGAGTAGAAACACCCACCCAGCCCCCCCGGGGTTCTGGGTGGAAGGAAGACGGCTGCCAATTTGGCCAGAGGTCCCTGGAGGCTCAGAGGTGTCTGGGACTTGCCTGAGGCCACGCAGCCACTCCCCTCCCTCCACCCCGGCCTCTTCCCAGTGCCCCTGGAGCCTTGGTGCCCATATCGGCCTGTCTGGATCTCTCTTCTGATTTTTATTCATGGACGAGCAAGCACATGGTGTTCATAGGCCAGAACTGTGAACCGAGGCTGCCCAGCGTGAGATCCGGATTAATTACCAGCCAAACCGTACTGGGTTTTCAACACTGATTTTAACTCTGGGCAGGAAACCTGGAATCTCGTTGATGGTTATTTGAAACAAATGAATTCCCCAGGCCTCACACATCCTCGAAAGCCAGGCTTCCTTCGAAGGCTCCGTGTTCAGTTCTTCACATCAGGCACTTAGTTAATCCTCATTTATGCCTTCAGGGCAGACGGGGCCGTGGCCCTTGAACCCATGGGGATGGGGAGCAGTGGACACTCAGGCCGAAGGGTTTGCACAGTCTCCAGCTATTAAGTGGCAAAACTGGGATTTGAACAAAGGTCAGCCCTCCATTTAGTAAGTCTGCTTGGCTGCCTCCCTTCCATGCTACAGGGTTAGGCCTTTCTCTTGTGGGAAATAGGGAGCCATTGAATGTCGTTGAGCAGGGGAGTGCCTTGGGAAGATGAACAAGGCTGTGGGGTGGGAGGACAGGTGAGAGAGGGTGGAGGTAGGGAGACCAATGAGGGGGCTGTTGCAGGTTCTCAGGGAGCAGTGAGGAAAGTTGGACTAGGCTGCGACCACTGGAAGAGATGGAACATTTGAGTGATGATTAGACCCCAGTCACTGTGTTAAATGTTTACCATCTCTCATTTCATCCTGTGACAGTCCTGTGAAGAGCCCATTTTATAGGCACAGGCTGGCTAGAGAACTTGCCCAAACCCAGCTAGTGGGTGGCAGCATGGGGTTTGAACCCAGGCCTGTGTGATGCAGAAGCCTTTGCCTATACCCTATACTGCTGCCTCTCCTCAGTGCAAAGACACTTGGCGTGACCTTGGACATATCCCTTCTCGGCTCTGGCTCTGCGGAGAACTTGGCTGAGCTCTGAGATCTCTTGCCGCTTTATTTTATCAAACATTTAGCTGAGCCCTGGGGAGAGAGAATTAGTTCCTTTGAGGAGACCATGGTCTAGTGGGAGAGACAGGCTCCGGGGCAGACAATTCCCCAAATAATATATAAATCAAAAATGGAAAGAGGGGACTTGACTCAACCTGGGGGAGGGATCAGGGAAGGCTTCTTGGAGGAGGTAGCACCCTGGGTAAGTTCGCTGAGTAATAAAAGGTGAAAACTTCAAAGACCACGAAACAGCAGCTGCAAAGTCCTGAAAACCCCAAAGAGCGTGAGTTCCTTAGGCGGGGACCTCAGAGAACCCCCTCTTCTCCGCCACGGAGTGTCCATGCCCAGAGCTCTAGACAGGCTTGTGGAACGACTGCTTGAACCCATTCCCTGCTGCCCCTTGGCACTGACGCTGTCTTCTTGCTTTTTTCTTCAGGGTCCCCCTGGGCTGCCTGGACTCCCTGGACCCCCTGGTGCACGGGGGCCTCGGGTAAGTGATCACCCGTTGTCCTTTGGGGCTCCGGTTGGCTCTTTGGCCTGTGTTCCCCTACCCCTAAAGGGAGCTCCCCTGCTACCTTGCCGTGTGTCCTCAGGCTGTTTCCTGCCCCTCGCAGGCACCCATTTTCCATTTTGTCCGTTGGAGTGGACTTAGGGCTCTTGGGGGGCGCTGTGTGGATGGGCATGACATGGGGACAGCAACGACCTCTTACAGGGTTTCAGGTATTCATGGTGGGTATCACCCTTGGCAACCTGGAGTGGAGAAAGGGTTTCTGCAGACCACATCTCCTGAGCTGATGGGTTTCAGTGTCTGCCCAGGAAAAAAGCTGGCTTGGGAGGACACGGCCCTTGTATCCATCTTCCCATCTCTGCAGGGCCATCCTGGGGTGGGGATCCTGACACGGGCAAGGTAGCAGGGGAGCGCCCCATGCTGAGAGGTTTGATCAGAGGCGGGAGGATGGCTTCGCAGGGCCGCAGGGGCTAAGATGAGCTAGCCTTAGTCTTGGTGTGAAAAGGAACTCCTACGTGTTATGCCTGGCACGCATGTAACGCTGCCTTGTTTGAGCCCCTCTCCCCCCAGGACCCTTGTGGGCCGGGATAATCATTCTCATTTCGGGGATGAGGAAACCGAACATATAGGAAAAGGAAGAGCCAGGATGGGAACCCAGGCCCTGAACCATATGCTGGCACCCCTGGGGGTCCCCTTGGAGAAAAATCTGTCCTTTTCCCAAGAGGGCTCAGACCCATGACGCCTGGCACCTGTGCCCAGGCTGAATCAGCCTTTCCCACGCTGGGTGCCTGGCAAGGCTCTGGCAGAGACAGCTGCCTGGGGCATATTTTTACTTCGGAGCCCAGCGGATGGTTCTGGTTATGCAATTACTCCAGACCTGGCCCTGTGCTCTCTGGGCCCAGGGCTCTGGAATCTGTTGTCTGATGCGGCATTTCCTCCTGGCTCCAGAGTCTCCATGGAGCACATACCCAGAGCTGGGGACCACAGACGTATCAGGGCTACTGCTGGCCACAGGACCTTGCCGTCTGGGACCAGGCTGAGGCCCTTTGACTTAGCAGGCAGTTTGTCCATCCGAACGCCTCCTCTGCACCTTTACTCGGGTCAGCCTCTTGACCTGACCTTCTTTGAAGCTCCTCCTCCGTCCCCTGCTGAGATCAAATGTCACCTCATTTTCTGATGACCGCCCCCTTCTCCGAGTTCCTGCAGCAGTTTGTCTGCTGCTCTGGATGCCGTGCACCACTTTCCTAAAGCTCGCACAGACTGCTGAACCCTGCTGGCGGAGCTGCCTGTGTGTGATCTCATCCCACCAGCCCAGCCGTCCCGAGAAATAGGTTCCGATGTTGTCCCCATGTTACAGGCGAGGAAACTTGAGGCTCAGAAAGGTTTGGTTACTTTGGAGAAGGTCAACCAGAGAGTCCATGCTGGAGCGAGGACTGGACCCAGACAGTCTGAACCCAGAACCTGTGGTCTTAACCATCTATTGTGCTGCTTTATCTGTCTACCCAAACAAGCCCCTCTGGGCCAGAGCCAGGCCCTGCTTCTTTCTCTTTCTCACACGATGCATGCAGCAGGTGCCGGGCAAATGGTTTGCTGAAGAGTTCTAGCCAGGGAGTCAACAACATTGCCCCCCCAGAAGCTGTATGATCTTAGACAAATCCTTTCCCTTCTCTGGGCCTCAGTTTCCCATCTATAAAGCGTGGGGTCCGCTCAGGATTTTCCAAGGCATTTCCTTGGAACCATATTTCCAAGGTTCCTCCCAGCTGTGAAATTCCATGAGTGAGGGAATGACTCTCCCGACGTCCTTCTCAGGCTTCCTGTGTGCTCTCCCCCCCCCCCCCCCCGCCATCATCCTCTTTCTAGGCTGGAAATTCCATAGATCATAAAATTCCAGAGATAGTAGAGTGCGAAAAGTAGACCATCCAGCTCCTCTCTGCCCGAATGATGGCTCTGGGGCTTAGGGAGTGGCAGGGCCTTACCTGAGGTCGCCCAAAGCTCAGTAGCATTGCCCCTTCCCACCTCCACATACTTGCCCAGCCCGTGGAAGGCTGTTGGGGAATCCCTGGGCCCTCCCCATACCCGGCTTTCTGGGCTGCAGCATTTATAGAATTGGTCTGCTTGGCTCCCAGTCAACTATGTGCTCCGTTTCTTTGCAAGGCAGTGGCTGGAGAGGGGTGGGGAGGTGGGGGTGGGGAAGCAGGAAGCCCCCACCTCCACACACTGCAGACGGGGTAGCTGAGCGCTCCAGCCCGCCATCTTTGGGGCAGCTGGGGGCACAACTGGGGAGAAGGTAGCCACCCTTGGCCTCCCACAGCCCATGCCTGTTTCTGGAGTGCTGGTCAGGGGCCCCTCCTCAAACATGCCTACCCAACTTATGCCCGATTCCGTCTGAGCTCTGAGGTTAGACCCCAGGAGCCTGGGCTGGGGTGAGCATTTCAGGTCTTCCGGATTCCTTAGAGACCACTGGGGGTCCTAGTTACTCATAGGACTGTTGTGGAGAGCGAGGCTGGGGAAGGGGGGGTGCTCACAGCTGGTTCCAGGTCACATCCATGTGCCAGGTTGACCATGTTCGGTGGAATGCTGGAGAGGGCCGGAAAGCGGGTTATTTTAGAGGGAGGGTCGCCAGTGACACCGTTCTCAATTCCCCAGGTCGAGTGAGCTTCTGAACACTGTTCCTTTTTGACGTGTTTGGAGAAGGGGAGGGTCCCTGTTCAGGCATCAAGGAAGAGGGAGGTGCCTTGGTTGGAATGTGACAGGCTGCAGCTGGAAAGTTGGCTTCAGAGAGGGAGGAAGGAAGCAAGTTCATACACAGCTAGCCAGATGAGTCAAGAGGGGCCAGGGACAAGGGAAGTGTGTCTAGAAGCTGGTGTGGTGGGGCACCACTGGGCTTCTCGAGGCGCCCCTCCCCACCCCCAACACCCCAGATTATTCCTGCTGGACAAAGACTCTCGGGAATGACCCGGCTCTTCAGGCCCTGCTTATATTACTGGCTGCAGGACCCTACCCCAGGGCCCTTGCTGGAGAAAAGTGGACATAATAGGCTCTAGCTGTTCTTTAGGATTCAGATAGGACCTGGGAAAATCGAGTGCCATGAAAAAGCCCTAGACCCTAAGCCAACAGGCCTGGGTCCCAGCCCTCCCTTGGCCACCTCTCTGCTGTGTGACTTGGCCAAGACTCTTGGACTCTCTGGGTCCAGTCTTGCTAGCTGCTCCAAGGCCCCCGGAGGACCTGTCAGCTCAGAGCTCGTAGGAACCTAAGGGAGAGCTCTCTGGCTGGGCTGTGGCCACAGGAGGGAGGCACCTTTGTTCAGAAGACGCCAAGTCCTCCCTTCACTGGGCTCTCACCTCCAAAGGCTCACACCACAGTCCCGTTGGAGTCAAAAGGGAGCGGTGCCTTTAGGCAGAAGTCCTAGAAGATGCCCTCGAGAAGGTGGCATGTGAGCCAGGCCTCGAAGGACGGGGCGGGTGGCAGCTGGTGGGGATGGGTGGGAAAGGCACACATGATGAGAACGGCCCAGGCCAAAGTGATGAGCAGTGGTGGAGGGAAGAAGGTAGCTAAGTGCGCTTTGAGCCCCGGGGAGCTAGCCTTGGAAGGGCTGCTGGGCTGGGGGGAGAGAGCCGAGAGGCAGTAAAGTAAAATTCAGAGGTCGAGGCCTTGTGCTCCGAAGTCACACATCTCAGGTTGACCTCTAGCTCTGCCCCCGAGCAGCTGAGCGACCTGAGAAAGTTCTCAACCCCTCTGAGCACCGGCTCCATCTTCAAAATAGGAATAACGATAGCCCCTGCCTGGTGGGTTAGTAGAGTAAAATGAGGGAATGCATGACAGGTGTTTAGTGCAGGGCAGGCATCGAGGGGACCCTCCCTAAAGGTAGGCCGCCATGACAGTCCCGCTAAGACATGGCTAAGCTGAGAAGACCCAGCGGGTGGAAGGCATTGCTGTGTAAGTGGGGTGACCCCCATTTTTCCCTCACCTCTTTGTTTCTTTTCCCTTTCAGGGTCCTCCTGGGCCTTATGGAAATCCAGGCCTCCCCGGTCCTCCTGGAGCCAAAGTGAGTATTTGCTGTGGGGCCTGGGGGTAGGGCCATGGAGTGGGTGTTGGGGTTGGGGCTACATTTGGGGTGCTTCCTAGGGGGCCCCTGGTGGAAAGGCCTCTGTGCCACAGACACCCCCTGAGCGCCTTCTAAGTGCCAGGTGGTCACACAGTGAGGACTTAGGACTCGAGAGCGGAGCTTCTGGTTTGGGGGGATTAGGGAGAGAAGGGCAGTTGGAACCTAGAGCCCTCAAAGGAGAGCAGGAGGAAGGGTCATTTGCTCCTAAATAGGGAAGGCCTTGAATGTCGGACTAGGATGGAAATTTTACTGGGCCTTCAGACTTATCCTGGGAGGTGTGTCATCTTTTGAGCTGAGGGACATGGTCCTATTTGGGAATGATGGCTGGATGTCATGTGGACGTGGACGGGAGGCGGGGACCAGAGCAGAGGCAGGGAGACCCCGAGGGTGGGGGCAGAGGAGGGATGCGGCTAGCCCAGCCAGCTCAGAGGTGTGGGAGGAGGGGCAGGAGGGGAAGCGAATGCATTCACGATGTGGAGGGGGGCGGGGGGGAGAGGATGTGGCTATGGGTGAGCGATAAGAGACCAGTGACACGGTGGTGTTAGCCTCGGTGACCCACCCGGGCCACCCTGGAGAAGGAAGGCGAGGATGTTCATCTGGGAACTGGGAGCCCTGCCAGGTGGAGACGATACATGGACACAGACAATTCTGAAGCTCTCTGCAGAGCGCTGAGCTGGAGATGAGCCTTGGGGCGGTGGAGACTATGGCACAGAGATGCCACCTGCCACAGGGAGCCCTCTTGGAACGCTCCGGTTAACTTTACGATGAGACCCCAGAGACCAGAGAGCGCGGTGCCCTGATGCATGCTGGGAGCCCCAGCCCCGGAGCAGCCCGGTCTGTTCCTGGTGCTCCCGCAGCGAACAGGGCTGTCCAGGGCTGTGCTTGCAGCAAGCCGCCAGAGCGCCAAAAAGCGTGCCAGGCCAGCAACATTTAGGTCATGGGGAGAAGTCTCCAGGAATGGCTGGAGAAACGGGAGGAGGGGAAAGAAGTTGCAAGGTCAGGGAAGCCAAGAGCGCAGGGACTGTGCCAAAGGAGTGTGAAGCAGGCCTGGAGGGAGGCCAGAGGAGCTCCTGGCTAGGACACTGCCCGGCCCAGCCTGTCCTCTGTGGGGTAGCCAGGATGGCCAGGCCCAAGGTCATTCTTTGCTAAGCCCGTTGTGCAGATGCAGTGGCTTGAGGGAACCAATGGTCCCCAGGTCATGCAGCCTCCAAAGACCAGCTCTGGCGCCCACCAGCTTGTCTGGGTGTTTGGGACACACGGCCAGGGCTGGGCTGGGGTCCTTACTTGCAGAACAAGCACAGAGGCCTCGGGTGCCCCGTGGCCAGCAAGTGCCTGGAAGTGCTCTGGTTTTAACAGGGCAAAGATAACAGAGCTGTCTTCCTGGGCAAACACGGACAATAATAATCGCCCATATATGGGGCCTTACTGTGGGCACTATGCCCTGTGCATGCACTTGATGTAGCTTGTCTTCATTCAATCCCCACAAAGACCTAAAGAGACGGGTGGAGATACTGTACCCATAAACAGATAGGGAAATTAAGGCTCTGGCACATTAAGGTGCCGTCTAGGAAATGACTGCAGGACCTGCCCCCCTGGGGACCAGGCGGAGAGGGGGAGCCCCCTTGGGGACTTCTGCTCAGCGCAGGCCTCAGGCCTCCCAGGCCCCAGGGTACATCACGATGCTGAGGATCCACAGCTGTTCTGAACTGCCAGGTTTGCTCAGGAACACACCTTTCTTGGTCTGCTGGAGGACTGTCTAATCCTTCCGTTCCCTCCCGCTCCCGCCTGTTCTTTTCCGCCCCCTCCAGCTTCCAGATTGATCCCTTGCTTCTGTGGCAGGAGATGCTCCAGTGGCTCCATGCTGGCCCCACACGGCAGGGCCCCAGCCCCAGGCCCCGCAGCAGCCCCAGTCTGGCCTGCAGCCCACTCCCACCCTGCCAACAGACGTGCCACTTCTCCCTCCATTTGGAGAAGCAGCTCTGGGGGTGGTGAGTGAGGTTTGTACCTAGCAGGTGGTTCCTCCTCCTGCGGCCACGTGTAGCTGGAGCGTGTGGACATGGGTTCTCCTGGACAGGATGCCTGCCTGCTTCTGGGTATAACAGACCAGGGTGTAGTTTCCAGAAAATACACTGCAATGGGAGGCTGCTTCTTCCAGTAGCGCTTGCATAAAACTCCAAGGGGAAAAGCCATGCCCTTTGCCTGACACCTGGCCTGCAGCCCAGAGGTGAGCAGAGGTGGCCCCAGGACCGGCCAGTTGGGTGGGAGACCCCAGTTTGTTGGGCTTGGGTCCTGGGCTGCCCTTGATCTGGGGCGTGCCCAGAACAAGGTTAAAGCAGACGCTATCCTGGGACGGAATTTCCTGACGGAGCTGAGGTTGGAAGAGAATGTTGTGTATCTACACCCGTGGGGTGTGATTCTGGGGAGAGGGTCCTTCCTGTGTCTCAGATCCCCCTTGGGCCTGGGAGGCGACCTGGTAGGATTGGAGGGCTGGCCTCCCCCAGGCCCTGTGCTGGCTTCTCCTTCTTGTACATGATGTTGGCTTCTAGAGCTGCTCGTGGGGCCTCCCATCCAGTCATCTCCTTCAGTCAGCAGATGTTTATTGAGCGCCTACTACGTGCTGTTGATGGAGAAATCAGCCAAACGGGAGAGTGTGCCCAGGTGGCAGGGAGCCTGCACCTTGTCTGGATGGGTCACTGTGCACTCATTGCTTCAGTGAGCTTATGGAGCCCTCAGGAGCTCGTGGCCTTGTGGGATAAAGACTGAGGGGTAGGAGAGACCAGGATTGAGGAGGATCAAGAAGGGGAGAAGGATCAAATGAAGGACTTGAGGTCACAAAGACGCCAAGGATCATTGGCGGTGACCAGCACTGGCAGGACTGTCTTTGGGATCCTTAGGTTTGCCTGCTGGAAGACACCTGTTACAGGGCAACCTGCCTCCCCTAGACCCCAAGGCCTTATCCACGTGCCATAGGCCGGTACACCCCACGTTCAGATCCATCAGGAAGAGGGAGGGTCAGCTCCCACATGGGATCGAGATCAAGGACTTTGAGAATGAAGCAGAGAAGCCAGCCCCCGGGGAGGACAGCATTGGCTGACCTTGGAGGCCCAATGTTGAGTCATTGGATTGATTCATGTTGCCAACCGACCCATACTTGCTGCTGCAGGGAAGGGCAGAGGTTAAGAGCGCGGACTCTGGAGCCAGATGATTCAAGTTCAAACCCCAGCTCTGTCACCTCCTACTTCTGTGACTCTGGGTACATTATTTCAGCTTTCTGTGCCTCAGTTACCTTATCTAGAAAATGGAGGGAAAGAGTCGCTGCCCCCTTGAGTTGTCACGAGGAGTAACCGAGTCACTTAGAGCAGCACTGGCCTGTGGAAGGGTCAGCACGGGCAAGGTGTTGGCCCTGTATTGGGGCCCCGGTGCCTCAGCAAGGACAGTCCCTGCCCTCGTGGAAACAAGCTAATCACACTGATAAATGCAGAATTATGTCATGATCATGGCTCTACATGAGAGGCATGGGGTGCCTAACACAGTGGGGATTGGGCTGGTCTAGGAGGTGAGGTGCACCTTCCCGGAGGGCAGATGGGTTAAACTAAGGTCTGGAGTAGAGCAGGGGACAAGGTACAGGGTCGGGAGGAGGCCGGGTCAGGCAGCAGGCCTGGTAGGCAGTGGTAAGGCTTTTGGACTTCATCCAAGCAGCAACAGGAAGACACGCAAAGGTTTTTAGCAGAGGTGACACGATCGGATGAGGTCTGCAGAGGCCACTCAGGCAGCCTGAGAAGCAGGGCCTGGCCGGCAGCCAGCGGGGAAGTCCAGAGGTGCCCTGCTGGGGATGCTGATGTGGCAGGTGGGATGCAGGGCCATGGGCAGGTGAGGGGCTCTGGGCCAGAGGCAGCGGGGCTCCAGCTGTGCGGGAAAACCAGTGCTGCCCATGCCAGAGGAGAAGGCGCCTGACCCCACTCTTCTTGGCAGGCGGCCGCTCCATCCCTGGTGTGGCTTTGCTCAGTGTGCAGTGAATTACCCAGGATTATTATGGGCCCTCAGGCACCAGGGTGGGGGGTTGGGGGGAGATAGGTGGGCAGGAAGGAGCAGACTTGGTGGAGCCAGGTGGCTGCTAGCAGAACTGGTGGGTGCTGAGGTGGAGAAAGCCTACAGGGTTCTCAGGCCCTAGCCTCCCCTTCCCCTTCTTTTGATGACAGAGGTAGGGCGTGCTCATTAAGGAAAATGTGGAAGAGTCTAGAAAGTATCAAGAAGAAAGTAAGCTGCCTGCAATGGCCCTGCCCAGTGATAAGCACTGAGTGCCTTTTGAGGACTGGGCCAGGGACTGGCCAAGAGCTTTACATACTTTGTAGGGTAGATGTTATCACCCCCATTTTACAGATAAAAAAACTAAGGTCTAAGTGGCTAAGTAACTGGCCCAGGGTCACATTTCTGATAAGTGGCAGAGACAGGATTTGAACCCTCTACTGCCTAACTCCACAGCCTGTATGTACTTTTAGCTGCAAGGCACTTTTGCTCCATAGCTCTATCGCCTTCCTCTGTAGATTAAGTAACATATATATTATACATATGTTTGGGTATGTATATATTATATATATGAGTTATGTATAACTAACATATATATATTTTTAATCAAAATAAAGAAATCAGAATTTTTGTTTCTTAACATATTTTATATATGTCAACATACATGTAACATAATATATGTTAACCTATACATACATGGCATATGCATACACACAGATATAGATGTGTGTACACGTACATGCACACATACATAAATACGAATAATTTAAAATATGCCCTGCACGTAAGTGCTTTATGGGTTTACTTGTTTTATTAGCAGTTGCCTTCTAGAAAGATTGAACCAATTCAGGCTGTTGCTAGCATCAGAGGAGGATGTTTTAAAAAGACAATTTATTGTTTTCACTTCAGTTCATTGATCATCCAGAAGAAGAATGCTTTTCTTACATCTGTTTTCCATTTGATTTTATCATTTATGAATGCTGTCTTTTGTTATGTATTTGTGCAGTTATTGATATTTAAATATTAAGATTATGCAGGCTTCATCCACCTTATGAATATATTCCAGTTTGGCTGTTTGCTTATTAAGAGTATTCATGATGATATTCACAAGTAAAAATTTTATGTATTTTTTTTGGACTAACAATAACAGCTAACACTTACTTATTAGGAACTTATGTCAGATAGTTTGGAGAGAGTTCCACCCATATATAAAATTTATTGTTCTTCATTTTTATACTTAGACATTTCTTTCCCACCACATGATCAAATAGGCATTTATTTATATTCCTAGTCATTTCATAGTTTCATTTGTATTCTTAAAGATTTTAAACCATCTGGTATTAATCTTCATGGGGGGTGGGTATGAGATGGGGCTGTAACTTTATTTTTTTTCCCAATAGTTAACCATTTATTAAATAACCTTGACTCTACTGATTGTTGTATGATAGACCAGGGTCTGTTCCTGGCCAGTCGAATATATTTCATTGCTCTGTTTGTATATTTTGTGCTAAAATATTGTTTTATATGACATCTACGATCTTTATATGTCTTTTCCCCTTGTTCTTTTAAACTATTTCTGGCTATTTATTCTGTAGGATGAACTTTATGCCCATCTTAATAATTTTCTTAAAAACATCCTTGGGATTTTTATTGGAATTGTATTAGATGTGCATATTAATTTGTGAAGAAATAACAGCTTTAAAATACTACATTTTCCTATCAAAAACCATGGCATGTCTTCTCATTTGGTTGAGTTTTTAAACATCTCTTAGTAAACTTTTATAGCTTTTACTGCATAAGGCCTGTACAGCTCTGGTTTATGCTTAGAAATTTTGTATTTTTGTTGCTGTTATGAGTGAAATATCTTCCCCATTCCATTTTCTAGCTGGCTGTCAGCTACTGACGAGGACTGTTGACTTTTGTATTTTTGTACTTTTGTGTTTATTTTATAACCACACCCTGTACTGTATGATTTTATTGATTTTAACAGTATTTCAATTGGTTCTCCTGTATTTTCTAGACAGGTCCTCGTATTGTTTGCAAAAAAGTACATATTTTTGTCTCCTTTTCCTCAAAGGCTAGTTGTCTCATTTGTTTTTCTTACCCTATTGCATTGGCCAGAACTTCTAAACACATGACATAGTGATAGTGGGAGGCCCAGGTTATCTTCAGAGGAAGCCAGTCTGAGCCAATCCCAGCCTTAGAGTTGTCTCTTGAGAGTCTATTCATTCATTTGCTCGTTTGTGAAATATTTTATGATGCCTCCACTGGGCCAGGCCCTGTGCTGGGTACTTGGATTGGAGATGACTTACACAGGGGACTTCTGGCCCAGAATTTCCCAGTCCTTCATGATGTGTTCCTCCCTTGTGTCAGTCGCTCTCTAGACCTCAGCCATTCAGAGCCCTCTATTCCTCTGTTTCCCAATCCTACCTGCAGAAAAGGAGCTTAACATAGTCCCCACTCCCACTATATTTGTAGCATTTATCGTTAAGGATATACCTTCCCATCTGCCTTCTAGTTCCCAGAGACTTTGGTAACTAGTCCAGAGGGAGTACCATTCCCCATGCAGACAGGGAAGGGGGCTTGCCCAGGGTCACACAGGCTCGTTGGCTGGAGAGCTCGGTTGGCAACCGAGGTTCTCATTCTAACCAATGTGTAAGCAATTAATTAGACTTTATATATTCCTTCTATCTCTCACTGGGGAATCTGTAGGAGTCTGGCTGGGAAGACATATAGTCTTCTCCATTCCAGAAGTCACACCTTCACCTGACTAGGGGTGCCCCAGGCATCCCTGGAGTTGAAAGTTCATCTGCCTCCCTCCTTGTCTTCCTCCAGCCTGAGCTTAGCTGGAACTCCCTTGGGATTTCCCCTCAGTCTGGGTCAAGTTCTCCATGATGTCCTCCTTATTCCACTTATCATTGGATGGTAGTTTTTGATCTGTAGTGTACTGAAATGTAAAGAGCTTAGGCTCTGAAACCAGACTGCCTGAGTCTAAGTCCCATTTACAAATTGTATGGCCTTGGATAAGTGACTTAGCCTCTTTGTGCCTTAGTTTCCTCATCTGTGAAATGGGATGGTGATTGTTGCTACCTCACAGATTTATGTGTCCAGGGCTCAGAAGAGCACCCAGTAAATGCTAGTGCTGATTATCATTACTGGTCTCTGGTTTCTCCTTTGAGAGTCCCCCATGAGCATGAACTGTGTCGCCCTGCGGTATTCTCTGTATTCACCCCGAAGCTTGGCTCAGAGTAGATGTTCAATATGTATCTATATTTGTGGCTATTGTCCTTGGGCAGGGATTACATCCCAAGCACTGTGCTGGCTGCTGAGAATGCAGAGAGAAATCCATAAATAATGAAAATGGCTCAGGTAAGGAACCCAGACAAGGGAGCAAGTCCATCATCTCTGGGGGTCTCAGCTTCCCCCTTTATAAAATGACAGAGCAGGATACACAGAGGCCCACCCCGTTTCAAGCCCAGCTGCTCTACCAGCTGCAGACCGAGGTGGGCAAGGGCGGGGTGGGGAGAAGCTGCCGCCCATTTTTGGCCATTGGAATCCTTGGTAGCCCTGAGCCTGGCTTTGCACTCGCGCTATGGACATAAAAGGCATCGGAGCGGGGCTTGTGAGGAGCCAAGGGTGGGAGATGTGTATGAGGGGCGGCCGAGCGAGGTGGTAGATCCCAGAGGGTGGGTTCTGCGGAAGTGACCTGGAGGGGCCCAGGTGGACGGGCAGTTGGCGTTCCAACAAGGAGGGGCTGGTCTCCCTCCTGGGGAGGCTGTCATCTGGTCATTCTGGAGTGCTGGAAAGCATCCAGCCTTCTCATTCATAAACGAGTAAATGAGTGCTTCGAAGTCAGAGGGAGCGGGCACTAGCCAGACCTGGGAAGACCTTACTTCTTACCTGTGTGTCAGCCCAGGCAGTGATCCGGCCTCTCTGTACCTGCGGCTTGGTCCTGAGTTGCAGCCAGCGGGTGTTAAGAGGATGAATGGACACAGTGTTGGGCACGGAGTAGGTGGCTCTGGAAGACCTGCCCTCTTTAAGGCTCTGTCCAGTTTGAATGCAATGACTTCTCGTGGAGAGCAGCTGAGCGAGGATTTGGAAGGGCTGGGTTCTGATGAAGAAAGGAACCAAATGGGAATTAATTAAAGTTGGCCAAACCACCTCTCCCATGTGTCACATCCATTATCTCACTGGTTCCTTGCCAAGAAACCTAAGATGCTGGTGGATGTGTGTGCGCGCGTGCGTGTGTGTGAGCATGCACCCGTGCACATGTGCGCACGCACCCGTGTGCGCGTGTGAGCATGCACCCGTGTGCATGTGTTTGCATGCACCCGTGTGCATGTGTGTATGGGAACATGCACCGCGTGTATGTGTGAATGTGCCCATGTGCGTGCACCTATGTGTGAGAGAATGTGTATGCACACACCTACGTGTGAATGTGTGCATGTATGTGCGTGCATCTGCGTGCAGGTGTGAGCAGGTGTATGTGTGTGCCCTCACGCACGTGTGTGCCTGTGTCTGTGTGTGCGTGCTGTGCAGCTCCCATTTTAAGGCTAGGAATTGGAGGCTCAGAGAAGTGAGGTGACTTGCCCGAGGTCCCTCTGGGATTCCCTGCCTTCACCCCAGGACTTCTGACTCAGGGCCCAGCTTGGGGAGGGAGCGTGGGAGTGAGCATGAGGGATAGAGATCAGGGGTTCTTGGAAGGTGACATCAGGGTGGACTGCCTCTCCAAAGGACTGTTTTCTGAGTAACTGAGCCATGTTGGGCCAGAGAAGCAGGCTGGCAGCCAGGACCACTCTGCAGCCCTGTAAGAGATGCAGCTGGTGCACCCCTCAGGTCCTTTCCCTGAGCCTCGTGATGGAGACTCTCCCATATGCTAAGCACAAAGGGTGCTTGTCTCTGACTGGGAACCCGCTGCTTATTGGTTTCTCCCCGATTTACTGCCTATTCTAACTCATCGGGTCCCAGGACATCCCAGAACACACACCTCAGGGGTCTGTCTTAGCTCTGCCAGGGCCTCAACTTGGGGCCTTAGACAGTCCCTTTCCTCTGCCTGGCCTCAGTTTCCCCAAATGTATGGGGGGGTAATAACACTTCTCTTGCCCGTTTCATCAGGCTATTGTGAGGATCTCGTGAGACCAGGGTGCTGCACACGGTGAGGGGCTGTGTGCAGACATAAGTGGGTGTTGCCGCACTGACCTTCGGTAAATAGAGAACAGTGAGGTGAGCGTACTAGAAATCCAAGAAGAATCGGGCATGCTTCTTTGATGCATCTCTCAGAAGCACTCTGAGAGCCCAGGGGAACAAGTCAGGAGGAAGTCCTAGAAACACACATGCACGGACTGGTCACCAGAGATCTACTGGCTGGTTGGGAGGACACATTCCAGCTGCATCTTGAAGAATGTCTATGGTTTGGTGAATGCTACTTGAGGAATGGTTTTCTAGGCAGGGGTGATGGCCTGAGCCAGGACCTGGCAGCAGAGAACTGTAGGGCGTGGCTGACAATGGGCTCTGTGGTCTGGCGAGGAGCAGAAGGATCCTGTCTGTGGGTTTGCCAACTGGAAAGAGAGCCAGATTTGCAGAGGATGGGTGGGACCAGATGATAGAAGACACGGGACGCCAAAGGAGGAGTTTGGAGGTGTCATCATGCAGTCAGTGGGAGCCATGGAGGGTGTTAGTGCAGGGAGGACTGGAACTGGAGGAGACCCCCCCCCGGAGGTGTGTGACTGGGAGGATGGATGGGAGGGCGTTTTAGTAGGGGACAGGACTTTGAGCAGAGGTTGTGGGGAGATAGCCTCTCTAGACAACTCTAGAAAGAATTGTTTTTCTTTCAGGGACAGAAAGGGGACCCAGGGCTCTCACCAGGAAAGGCCCTTGATGGGGCGAAGGTAGGTTTCCAGGGACCCCAGCATCGAGGGAAATGGAGGGGTGGACAGTAGGGAAACCGCCATGCCCCGGCAGAGGCCGCTGCGTGTCAGAGGCAGGAGGTGGCCAAGTAGCCAGGGAAGAGTGTGGTTTGGTGCTTTTCTTGAGGTCCTTCAGCTCTCCCTGTGCCAAACCCAAAGTCATTCCCTGTATTTTCTCTGGGGGTGCAACCAATCAGACTGACAAATGTTTTGCCTGTGGACACACCCTTGGTGAGTGACCTTTTGTGTAATTTCCTGCATTTCTGTAGGACCCTCTAGGTGGCCTTTGGCATCCAGAAGCTTTTTGCTAGCATACACCCAGGAAGCTTCCAAAAACATTCAAAAGCCCCTCTGAGGTTAATCTGAGTGGACAGGTCTGTGGATTTCTAGGAGATGGGAAGGGATCGGGCCAGAGATTCAAGGCTCCCTAACTCTGGAGGGCTATGGGACCAGAAGTTTCTCGTGGAAAAGAGAACACTTAGGCCAGAGGACTTCATCCATCCCTGAAGCATCTCCCCAACACTGATTAAGGGGCCTGGAAGGAGCACAGGACAGGCAGGAACAGGGGAACCCAGACTCTAAGTAAGACCCCCAGCACTCAGACATACATATCCTGGAAGGAACACTCGAGTCTGTCTGGCTCATTCTGGACACGAGCCCAAGAGCCCTCCTGACAGACAGAACACTGCTTCTCAAACCAGCCTCCTGTGCTTAGGCACGTAGAAGACTCAGGTCCCTTTGATTTCCCCAAGACCTAGGTAGCTCATTCCTTCATATCGTCACGGGATCATTTTTTCATGCAGCAAACATTTGCTAGGTGTAAACATCCCCATGCACTCTGATGTGCTCCTCGTCGAAACCTTATAATGCAGGACAGACAGGCCCAGCTTGCAGATGAGAAAACAGAGAGGCCTCAGAGGCAGGTGATTGCTGGAGGTCACAGAGCTGGTCGGGTGCAGAGCAGGATTTGTATCCAGGTCTGACAAAGTCCAGAGGCCCGGGCTTCTCTCTTGCTCCTGACTTGTCCGTTCTTAGGTCTTAAGGCAGAAATGCCCCCTACTATCCCCCATGCCCAGCCAGGAGGAGGAATGGGCAGAAGGGAAGGGAGTCTCAGAAATGCAGAGAGAGAGAGCAAATTGGAACGGGACAGACAAGTTGTGTGTCCCCTGGGGCAGTGGTTTTCAAACACAGTTTTAGCAGCAGACCCCGTGCCCTAAATGGTATCCTGCACCAATATCCAGGGTATAAAATAGATCAAGGGGAGGGTCTGGGTTAGCGGGGAGTTGCTGGGTACCTGCCCACTTGGCTGCCCTCACCTCCCTCAGAGGCCTCTGGGCCTCCAGGAGTCCTGTTTGCGGACAGTTGGCCAAGCGAGGACGCGCTTGCCATTTCACGAGTGTCTCTGCCCCTGTTCCCCCCCCGCCTCACCCCTTTGTCTGTGTTTTGCAGGGCAACATGGGCTTGCCTGGGCTCTCTGGGAATCCAGGACCTCTTGGACGAAAGGTACACCTTGCTTTCAGTGCTTTGCCTTGTCCAGTGGGCTTTCTGTCTAGCTTCCTGGCCCAGGTCTGTCATCCTTCAGGTCTCAAGCACGCTTGTGCCTATTCCAGACAGTCCTCCTGGAACCGCAGCCTTCAGTCCAACAGCCTCTGCTCTGCTCAAGGAAGTCTAGACCGACCAGGGCGTGCCAGTCTGGTTTGGCCCTCTCCCTACGGAGCCTAGCACAGGGCCTGTGCATAGTAGGTGTTCAGGAAATGGGCTTGGGGGATGGGGAGGACAATGCAGGCCAAGGGTCGACTACGTTTTGCAGGATGGCTGACGGGGATTCCAGGAGGTCTGTCGGCCTAGGGCCACGTCTTCAGCTTCCGCCCTGGCTCCTCACTGTGGCTGCAGGCACCCGCTCTCTGGGCCATCTGGCTCTTGTCTGGACAGATGTGGTGTCTCCTGGCTCCATCTTGTCCTTGCTCTGAGGGTCCCAGTGGTACTTGGAGCATCACGTCTCCTCCATCTCCTTCTCCACCCTCCATGGCCAGAGCAGGCCAGAGCATAAATCTGAAGAGGCCAGACCCAGACAGGAGTCTATGGCTGTCTGTGAGCTGGGGAAACATGGTATTTTCTGGCTCAGAGAACACAGGGACTCCCTCTCGCCACTCACTTCCCCTCCATGCTCCAGCACTTTCTGATGGACGAGGTGTGAGTGGAAAAGTCTCTTTCCAGTGCCGGCTCATAAAGCAGCCCGTGGTGGTCTTGCTCTGCATGGGGGTGGGAGCCTAGCAGAGGTGGCAGGAGACGGGAAAAGCAGACCTGACTCGCTCCTGCCAGGGCTACAGGGCTCCCTGCACTCAGCAGATGTCCACGGAGGCCCAAGAGTCCCCATCCAAGAGGGACCAGCTCACCTGAGCAGGGAGAAGCATCTTTTCTCAACTAAGGAAGAGCCTCTGTGCAGTTGGGAAATTGGCAAAGCCATTTACACGGAGGCCCCCGGGTCCCGGCTCAGGCAAGCCTGCAGGAGTTGGGTGGCGGCAGGCTGGTGGGCAGAGCCTGGAGGGGCTCGGGGCCCAAGGCAGGGACCCCTGACCAGTCATGGGGGCTGGGGAGGAGGACCGATGGGGTAGAACGGTACCTGGAATCATCACTGTTTGTAAGCACTCTCTCCTCCCACGAGGGTCTTCGGTGACAACAGCAGCCACTTTGTCCTGATGCTCTTATGTGGCTTCTCTGCATCGTCTCATGTGGGGAGCCTTGGGGGAGAGGGGACATCAGTGGGTGAGAGGTGAAGTCAGCATCCTCTTTGCTCACCAGCCCATCGAATTGGGGTTTCACCTCAGCGCGACACCAATAATCCTATTCATTCATGTATTCAACAGAAGTGATCGAATGCTTATTATGTGCCAGGCAGGATGCGAGAGACGTGGAGCTGAGTAATTAGACAAATATCCCTGTCCCCCCAGAGCTGGCATTCTTGTGTGCGTGGTGGGGCGGCAGAAAATAAAAAGAAAAACAGTAAAAATGGAAGGACAAATGGAAAATGGACAAAAATAGGCAGGAGAAAAGGAGTTTTGGTTGGGAGGGTTCCCAAGTTAGAGGCGGTGCAAGGAGTAACAGTGCTTTGTCACAGTGTGTCCTCACGATAGCCTCCGAGAGTTAAAGCATTATTATGCCTATTTTAAGGCTGAGAAAACTGAGGCTCGAGTTGACCTCATTCATTCATTTGTTCATTCATTCTTCCAGTCGTTCAGGAAATATGCACCTAGGTCCCAGGCTCACCCAGGTCACCATGCTGACACTGGTGTTAAATGCAAATCAGCTCATCGAGGGTCTCGTGGAGAGGGAATTCTGTAGCAGTGCCCCCCCCACCCCCGACTGTGCATTAGGCTGTGGGCAGGGACTCTGGTCCCATTGGTGTGAGTGGGACCCAGGTACAAGATTCTGCAGCTGAGACTGAGAGCCACTGGTTTCATGGAAATACCTTCCAGAGTCCCTACGCCGCAGAGCTGGGATTTGAACCCAGGTCCCTGACCTTTCTGTCTGCATAACGCTGATGGAGACAGCTTTTCAAGTAAGAGAGGGCCCATTAAGTAAAAAGAGCCTCCCCGGCCGAGAAGGTTCCTTTGTCTGCCATCCACCTGCGATGTCTGCTGAGGGCCTTTGCCGAGCCAACTCCCGAGGGCTGGGCAGGCGCACAGACCAGGCTGGACAGGCCTGGACAGAACCCAGCTCTGTCCCTTCTCCTGCTGTGTGAGCTTGGGCAAGTGGCCTCACCTCACTGAGCCTCCGTTGGGATCAGGGGGAGGTTGGGGTTTGGGGAGGGGTTGGGTGAGATGAGATGTTCTAGCCCCAGCACTAGCATGTGGCTGGCACTTGTAGGCACTGCGTGCATGTTTGTTGAACCAATGAATGATCATGATCATGAAGGAAATGTGCTTAAGGTCTTGCCCATCTGGTACCATTGGTCATCTTGCCTAGTTACCAGGTAACCACCCTCCACTAGCCAAGAAGCCTACCAGAATCCTATTTGCACGTTGGGAGGGTGGAGTCCTGTGCTGTCCCTAGTCCGACTGTCCGCCTTCTCTCTTTAGAGCAGTGCTTCCCAGCTGGGGGTGATTTTGTTCCCCCAGGGAACAGTTAGCAATATCTGGAGACGTTTTTGGCCATCACAGCTGGGAGAGGGAAGCTACCAGCTTCTAACAGGTAGAAGCTAGAGATGCTGTTAAATATCCCATCCCAGCAAAGACTTACCCGGCCCACGGTGTCAGCGGAGCCCGGGGGCTGAGAGACTGCTGTACAGAAGCTCCCCTCCGTCCTGGGCCTTCCTGCCTCCCTGCACTTGCTTATGCTGTGCCCTCCCCAGTCATGATCTTCCACGCTCATCTTCACACATCTGTCCCTTGATTCTGTTCTCCTACACCATCTTCTCCAAGAGCACCCCCCGCCCAGCACTTCCCGGGCAGAAGTCACTCCTCCTTCCTCTGATCATCCAGCCCACCTTCTCAGCCTCTTTGGGACTCTGTGCGTTTGGCTGGCAGGAGACTCTGGTGTCCTTGGTGTATTTGTCAGCTGGAGCAAGTGCACAGAGTCCCTGTCCACCCTTGTTTCCTTATGAGGGGCTTAGCACAGTTCGGGACACAGGCATCTGCCCTGTCCCATACCTCCCTCTCCTGCCTGTGGCAGACATCACTCATTGATCTTTCCTGTCAAGCCCTGATGCGACCTCAGAATCCTTAACACATTGCCCCACGTAGACATGACTAATGGAATGAAATTGGGGCTCCAGTTGAAACTTCCTCCCGACTCCCTCACCCTGCCCACAGGCCCTCCTTGTGCCGCCTGAGTTGGCCACTTCCATGCTGACCTCCTACTGAGAACCTTCTCCAGGTTCCCCTGTTGCTGGGCTGCCCTGGGCTTCTGGGGCCCATGCCCACTGCCGTTTCTGAGCTCTACTCCTGCTCTGCTGTCCAACCTGGCCCCTCCTTCAAGCCTGTTTACGATGCCACCCCTGCCGGTTGGCTGTCTACACTGTTTTAGCACGCAGTGCTGCTCCTTCATTCCACTTAATATGTGTTACCTTCTAGAAGGTAGGGAGTGAGTTTGTTTTGTTCACCGGTGTATTCTTTGTGCCTAACACAGGGTCATGTTTGGGGCTCAGCAAACCTTAGTTGAATGAATGAACAATTGGTTGAATGGATGAGCCAGACAAAAATGGTGTGTTCCTGCCTGACCTGCCTCAGGTACCCATTAAGCAGAGTTTGATGTCAGGTGCCTGGCTGTGTCATGATGGATTGCGCTTTTGGACAGACCACATGTTTTTGAATCCTAGAGTTTCTGAGCCGACACAAGGCTTTTTGAGAGGCCGGCGGGGGGGGGGCGCGGGGGGGTACTGAGGTCCAGAGAGGAGTAGGGACTTGGCCAGTATCATGTAATGAGTCCTTCTGCCTCCTGGCACGTTTCTTCCTCGCCGATCCTTTCTGTCAAATAGGGCTCTCTGTCCTGCTGCCTGCCCCCGATGGGCTGTGGAGATGGTCGAGAAGTTTAGGGGGTCTCATGGAGTGCTCAGCAAGCATGGTGAGTTCCGTTTTACTGCAGGAGAAGCTGGGGCCTTGCACACTGAGTTGGAGCCGGGGAAACAGCTGAGGTCTAGGCACACATTGCTCCCCAGGACCCCCAGGCAAGAACAGGACCCCCCACCCCCACGCTCCCTGCCCAAAGCCCAAATAGCATCCCAGCCGACAGGGAGACTGTCTGCTGCAACAGTGAGGTGATGTCTGGTTTCCCCTTGTGCACTGTAAGCAATGATTAATCTGGCTCCCAAACCAAAATATAGACCAAGTTCTATTATAAACACGGGTCCTGTGGAGACCCGCCTGCTGGGCAGCCAGAGGCCCCTTGCAGACTACATGGTCCCTGGAGCTCCCCTGAAGCATCTGCTCTCCCCTAGTACCAGTCAGGCACCGATCACACAGGGGAAAATCACTGCCCGTGGGTCCACCTTGCGGTTAGTACTCACTCCGTAATTGCTGGGGCCCAGAAGAAGATAATGGTTTAGATTCTTCCAGGTCCTGGGGCCCTGTCATTTAAAGCTATTTGGCTGGCCCCAGCTTGGTAAACACTGTTAAGGTACTTCCAGGGAGCATAGGAACCTCCCCCCGCCCTCCCCCCATGCCTTGGCCTTGCCCAGCCTCTGCTGCTCTCAGCCAGGAGAAGTGGGTCGTTCACAGCAACATGCAAGGCCCTTCAGGGTCCACTGATTGGGACAGACCTAGGAATCGTGGCCTGTTGGACCCAGCGCAGCCCGGGGGGGTCTAGAGTCCTGGAGAATAGTCTGGGCTTGGCCACAACTTGCTAAGTAACCTTGGGCAAGTCCCTTCCCCCTGGTAAGTCTGTCCAGTGAGAAAAGTGGTGAGATCGATGGCTCAGGTCCCCTCCAACTCAGATGCTCCAGGATTCCGTGACGGTCCTCTGCCCTGGTGATGCTGCAGGGATCCATATGCTCTGTCCTGGGGAGGAGGGCCTCTAAGGGGGTCTTTCCCTGTGTGGCCCTGTGGCTCTTCTAGGTGGGCCTTGGGCCTCAATAAGTATGTCTTATCTCACGATTGGGTGGTTAGGACTTAGGGATTGGAGTCACACCCTGGCCTTTCCCCTGGGAAACTGTGTAGCCTCAGGAAAGTCTCTTCATCTCTCTGAGCCTCCGTTTCCTCGTCTGGCATGTGTGCATGGTAACTCCTACCTGCTAGAGGGTGATCACAAGGAGTTGATGAGCGGATGTATTTATTTAAGGCTCTAGTACCAGGCCAGGCAAAGGGCCGGCCATTGTCCCTATCCCGGAAGATCATGCATTCCCTTTTTTCTGTGTCCTGAGTAAAGGGTTTTCTTAAAATCTTCTGGGATCTCCCTGGCAACACTTGTCTGCTGGAACATTGGTTTTCAGCAGATTTCTTCCTGGCTGCAGGCAAAGCCAAAGGAGCTGGTGATGCTCAGGGGCTCCCTGGTCCCCTTTCATGGTTCTCTTGGGATTCTCGCCCCATTATTGCATCGGCTTTTGGCAGCAACCTGAGGTGGGCTCAGAATGGCAGAGTGAGGCTCAGAGAGGGCAGTTGCCTGAGCAGAGTCACACAGCCTGAGCTCAAGGCTCGATTCCGCTATTCGTGGGAAAGGCTTTGCTGTTCTTCCTCGTGTGCAAGTTCCAAGTGGAGAAACGATAAGAAAGACAGTTACATGTGTCCTATCATGACACGTTCCCGCTCAAAATCCTCGTGTGGGTTCCCACCATACTCCTGCCTTGTGTGGGCTGGCTTCCGGCTTCTTCTTAACCACCCGCCACTCTCTGCCTCACCCCTCACTCATTCTGCTCCCATCATGGAGGCCTTGGTCTTTGTCAGACCCACCCGAGAGGGTTCTCGCCTCAGGGCTTCTGCACCTACTGTTCCCACTGCTGGGAACGCTTTTCCCCAGGGGGCCAGCCCCGTGGCTGGCTCATGTCATTTGTCCCCTCAGAGCACCTGCCCGGCTGCCCAGCCACAGCCACCATGCCTCCCCCCAACACTGCTTCTCTCTGTCCTCTGACTCTGCTCACTTTTCTTCGTAGCGCCGGTCACTACTGCACAGTCGCCGTTTTCAAAATTTTAACTTTCAATTACGGCAAAAACCACACAACATAAAATTTACCATCTTAACTGTGTTTAAAGGTACGGGTCAGCAGTGCCGAGCACATCCACGTCGTGGTGCAAAAAGCATCTCCAGAACTTTCCCATCTTGCAAAACTGAAACTCTACACCCACGAAAACAACAGCTCCCTATTTCCCCCTCCCCCGGACATTATCTTTTATATTTATTTGTTTTTACATCTCCTTAATTAGACTGTCAACTCCATTAAGGCTAAAGGATGTTGTCTTCTCATTCACCCCAGGCCTGGAATGGTGCTGGCACATAGAAGTTCAGTGAGTGGTTGTTGAATGAATGAATGAAATATGAAGGTCATGACGGTGATGGCAGCAGGTCTTTATGGGGCGCCAGAGTTCAGTGCTGGGTACTGCACCAGGCGCTTTACGCACGTTATGTCACGTGATCCGTGCACCGGTCCTTATATACCCATTTATAAAAGAGGAAACCAAGGCTCAGTGAGGTGACATCAGTGGCCTCAGGTCATACAGCCATCCGGTAGCAAAGCAGGATAGTTCCAGATCAGCCTGACACAAGAGAGCCTAGCCACTCCGCATGTGAGCCCCTGGCTGTGGCCTAAGCTTCAGTTTGCTCCCTGGGGAAAAGAACACGGCCTCCCCCCGCCACCACCCCAGGTAGAAGCCGCTCGCAAGCCACGTTGCGTCAGTCTCATGGGCCCCGCGTGTGAGATGTAATCATATCGCTGAGCCGTCCTGAGGTATGAGTAGGTGCAGCAGGAATGCTTGTAAACTCCCCAAACCTCTTGGATCCAACCGACGTTGCTGTTTATAATTAAGATTTCTGCTTCCTGGGGGTCTGCGGGGCGTGCTGAGTGCATGTGCCGGTGTGTGCTCGTGGACATGCGTGAACGGTTACTGTGCCTGGGATGTCGCCCAGGCTCTCGGTGTGGCCTCAGGTGTCAGAAGGACCCGGCGGTGAGTGGGAGCCCACTGCTTCTTAGCGATGGGACTGGGAGCAAGTTCTCCGATACTCCGTTTTCCCCTCTATAAAGTGCAGGTGATAATCCCCCCCCAACACTGCACCTCGTTTGGCTGGTGTAAGGGCTAGAGGGGGTCATGCAGGTGTAGTCTAGGTGAACAGCAGTGCATGGAGGGACTCTACAGGCATCATCTTGTTTATCACCCTCTGGGGGAGCTGTAGAACTTCAGAGTTCCCAAACACCAGAGCCGAGGGGCACTGAGAGTTCTCATGCCTTCAGCTGAGGTCCAGAGAAGGGTGGAAACCCACCAGACTTGCACGGTAGGTGAGGGACGGTGTCTGAGCCAAGACCTGGGCTCTCTGTGCCAGGGGGTCTAACGGAGATCTGTGTGGCTGCTTTGTCTGGACTGGAAGACCCCTGCCTGGTCTTAGTTCACAGCTGCCCCGAGGTGATGGAAGTTTGAAGTCCCGGCTTTCCCTTCAGAGAGCCCCTAAGTCTTAGGAAATGGCTCTGGTGGTTGTCCCTAGGGCCATGAGTAAGCACACACTGGTTTGATTCTCTTGACCTAGAGACCTGGAGGTTGGGTCGTGAGGACAGAGGGTCAGCGTTGGTACTGGCTTGTTGACAGAGTCCTTCTCAGTCAGGCATTTGGGTGGCCTCTTGCTCCCTGGAATGGGAGCTGTGACGAGTGGGAGGAAGGGAGGCCCCTACTGTGGTTAATGTATTTGGTCGGTATGTGTGAGATCTTTTCTGATAGGGGATTTATGAGAAGGGGCAGGTCTTGACACAGATCCCAGCAGCACATGGTGGTTGAACGTATCCCAGAGCCGAAGGTCCTAATTGGCCCACCCATCCATTGAGAACTCACTCTACCCCGGCTTCGGATGGGCTCACCCCCGTCTGGATTTGGAAGGAATGGTTGGGATACAGCGTCACTCCGCCGTGGGGGGCTGTCTCCCAGTTCTGTTCACAAACCCTGCGGGAGGAGTGAACACCTCCCCTGATGGCTTCTGTCTGAGTGCCACTGGTGGGAGAGGAAAGCATAGCGAGCTGCCAACCTTGTATGCATCCATTCAGCGAGTGGTCGCTGAACACACACTCCAGCCCTGCCGTGCACAGAGCATGCCGTGCTGAAAAGGCGGGCAGGGTGGCTGGGCCTCTGCCATCTGATCCACAGTCCCAGACGCCTTGCTGGCCTGATGCCATTTTTTCTCCTCCCCCCTCACAGGGACACAAGGGCTATCCTGGACCGGCGGGGCACCCTGGAGAACAGGTGAGGGCCGCAGCCTCAGCTCTGCCCTGCTTGCACTCCGCCCCCCTGCTCCATCCCTGTCTGCCCCTGGCCTCCTCCCTGGGCCCTGTTCCATGAGTGAGCCCCAGAACCATCCCGTGGGGGGCAGGGGGACAAGCCTCCCCCTCCTCTCCCCCAGCCACCTCTGCCTGAAAGAGCCGGAGTCCACGCCGACCTGGCATTGGCATGAGCCCCTCAACTCCAGCCAGAGCCATGAATAGCTGGCCTGTTCCGGACGATGTTAGGGGATATTATGCACGCCGCCACGGGGTTTGCAGGAATTTGGGCTGCACTGGCCCAAGTCAAATAGCAGCCCCTGCCAGCGTGGGAGAGCCAGCCAGGGCTCCTTAGAGCTCTCTCAGTCCTGGGCGGCCAGCACAGGGGGTTTGTCCTTCTCAGCTCGTCTGACCGGTTTCATGGAGTGGTGGGCTGGGGGCCCAGCAGCCCAGCGGCTTCCCCTTCCTCCCCATTCAGCTCGCATTCCTGCCCTGCTCTTTGTCCATTGTGAATAAGCCCCAGCCCCCCACCGCCCCCCAGACCCAGAGCGGGGCAAAGTCTCTCCTTTCCTTATGTTTCTCTTCATTCCTTTGCAGGGGCGGCCAGGACCTGAGGGCAGCCCAGGGGCCAAAGGTTACCCTGGCAGGCAGGTGCAGTATATGGCTTCTGGAAGCTCGGTGGCCATGGTGGTGTGGAGATGGCCACGGGTGCCCCCCAGGCAGAGGGAGGCAGCAGGCTGGGGGCTGAGGAGTTGTGCCTGCCGGGTGGGCCCCAAAGAAAAGGCTATTCACGGGGCTGGACCAAGGAACCCTCTCTTTGAAGGCAGTAGGGCACAGGATGCTTAGAAAGGGACCTGGTGCTATGGGGGTGGGGCTTCAGAGGCTCCTCCCACTCAGTCTCCCCTGCCCCACCTCCACTCCCCTGGGACTCTGGGGCAGAGTGGGGTCCTCAGTGTGAAGACTGCACGTCTTTCTCCAGAGGGGGCAGCTGAGGCCCCAAGGAGGCAGGACTTGCCCTGGGTTGCTGGCAGCAGGAAGAACATTTCCCTATGTCCTTGCCCCTTTGTCTCTTATGTTTCAGGGGTTACCTGGACCCGTAGGAGACCCTGGCCCTAAAGGCAGCCGGGTAAGTGGGCCTTGGCAAGTACCACTCAGGTGGGGCCCTGGGTGGTCATTACCTGTCCCCCCAGCCGACCTGATGGGAGGTGAGGGTGCAGGGTCTGTATACAGTGTCTGGCACCTCTGCCCTCCCACCTGAGTGCTCTCTGGAGAGCAAAGGGGCAGCAGGGTGGGCAGGTGATGGGGGATCCTTGAGCGAGGTAAGCCGGCGTGGTGCCCATGCCAGGCGGACTAGGCAGTGAAGGTTCTGTTGGGTGCTCAGCCATGGCCCAGCTGCTACGGTCAGGCGCTTGCTTGCCGTGTCCCCCAGCACATCCCAAGTGCTAGGGGACCTAAGTTGGGGCTACTTTGTCTGCTGGTAGAATCCTCAGAGGTCTCTCTCCTGCTCCCCTCCCAACCCTTTTTAGAGAGCAGGGGTGGCTGATGGGTGATGCTGCTCAGGCCTGGAGGCTGATGGAGCATCTGCTCTCCCTCTCCTGGAGCAAACCCTGAGTAGCCAGCAGCCTGTTTGCCCTTCTTTACAATGGGAGTGAGGTCCATTCCTACCTCTAGCATGGTTATGGGGATACCAGGAATTTTGAAGCAAGTACTGCTGAAGATGGGCTCCCAAGTGGGTTGTGGGTGGTGGAGAAGATTCTGGATGCACCGAATGGGGGTTGATGGAGTTTAAAAGTCTAAGAGATAACGTGATGGAATCCCCACAAGAAAACTGGGTTCATGGTGAGGACTGGACAGCTGCAGTTTGCTCTGCACGCCTAAGGTGGAGCTGGAATGGGGACCCAGGTGTCCTGAGGGCCGGACTTGCTGCCTCTCAAAGAATGCTCGGCAAGTGGGTCACATAGCCCTCGGTCAGGCCAGGTCAGGTGTGACGTGTCCTCCACTCCTGAGCCAAAACTATTTATGGCCACAGGCTGGGCTTTAATCCCTGCAGCTGACATGCGGCCATTAGAGCGTCTGGGAGGTGGGCAAGGAGGTGGGTGGGCAAGTTCCTTGGGATGCCGTGATGTTGGTGATGATGGTGGTGATGTCATGCAGGGGCTGGGGAGGCTCCTGTCCTGTATCCAGCTGTTCCCACGAGCTGTGGCCCCAGAGGCATGCTGCTGACATCTGGGGCTGCTTGCTGTTTGCCATGCTGATGGGGCATCTTGAGACCACATGTGGGCCAGAGTTGGTCTGGCCCCAGCACCCTCCTCTCTGGGTTACAGGGCCCTGAGCAGCCCGGGGGAGCTGGGACCACTGGAGCCGCCCTCCCCACCACCGCCAGCCTTGTCGTTGGGAAAGTGCTAGAATGCAGCCTTTGGAATTAGGGCAACAGGCTTTGAGACCTGCTGTGCCCTTAACCAGCTGTGGGATGGTGGGCAAGCTGCTGGACCTCTCAGAGCCCATTTTTTTCTCATCTGTAAATCCGGGATATAAGCCCTGGTTGGCAGGATCAATAAATGTCCCTCGTTACAAGGATGACTGTTTATCACGGTGGATGCTGAGGAGGCTCAATGACCTCTTGCCCTGCTAGGGAAGGAGAGATGGTTGTGAACCTGCATTGGTTGCTTGTTTGTGGGAGGCAGTGTAGCCGAGGGGTTAAGAGGCCTGCCTGGGAGTCCGTTGACTGAATTCCAATACCAGTTTTATCATGTTCCAGCCGTGTGACCCTGGGCAAGTTGCTTCACTTCTGGGCCTAAATGTTCTCACCTTTCCAGGGGGCCGACTGCTAATCCCGTGCTTCCTGGGCTGTAGTGAGGACACGGTAGATGCTTGAATGCTCGTGAAGCCCTGAGAACCGGGCCTGGCACGTGGCTTGTGCTCAGTAAATGTTAACTTCGGGGAGCATTATTATTAAAGCATTCCATAAACATCTAGAGAGCACAGACAATGACAGGAGCTCTGGGCTAGGTCCCTGCCCTTGAGAAGTTCCCAGGCTAATGAGGACATGAAACATGAACACAGATAATGGAAGATACATTGGAGAAAGTGGTAAATCCTCTTAACAGAGGAGCAAATGTGGTGCGTGTGTGGAGGGAAGACATGGGTTCTGCTTGCCAGAGGCCAGGGCATTGGAGCCGGGCTTGGAAGGGATGACTGCCGTCGCTGGGCGGGGAAGGGCATAACTTGGAGGCAGAAAGTCAGGTGCATCCGAGGGCAGTGGACCCCTAGCTCCGCCCCGACTACTTGTGCCCCTTTATCTCCAGAGCCTGGGTGTCCTTGTCTTGCGGTGGGGGAGCGGACGGCCAGGCCGCAGTGTCGCCCGGTGGGTCGAAGGAAGTGGCATACGCGTGCCCGAGGGGCAGCCGCTCTTCCTGCAGGCATTCAGGCGGCTGTGGGTGGATGTGAGCCCCAGCCTAGGAGGAGGTGTTGTGGAAGCCACGGGCACCCGGCAGGGTCCCTCGGAGCGGGGGGAACCTGGTGCCCCTCTAGCATCTAACCCAGCCAAGAGCTTCCTTTCTGCAGGTCCGGGAGCCCCGGTGTGGGGCGGGCCTCCCCCCCCCCTCACCCCAAGAGCGCCCGCGCCCTTCCCTGGCGTGAGGGTATGTGCCTTTGGACTACATCGTGGAAGCCAGCACCATGCAGTCCATGGGCATATACACTTGCCTCAAGGCCTGTGTCATCGAGGAGCCGCCGGAGCTGCCACCACCACGAGCAAGGAAGAGGAGCCTGGGTGTGGGAGGGCAGCGAGGGGGGCTGGGACGGGTCGGGCCAGCCACGCCCCACCACTCGGTCCCTCTGACCCCCTACCTGCTCTTTCCTAGGGCTACATTGGACTCCCAGGGCTCTTCGGCCTGCCAGGGTCCGATGGAGAGAGGGTGAGTAGCCTTTCTTTGTTTACTTCCCGCCCACCTACCCACTCCTTCTGCCTGGAGAAGTCCGGGAGTCCCTCCTGGAGGAGGTGCCATTGAGTTGAACAGGAGTCTGCCAAGGGGTCAAGGCAGACCCCTTCCAGACATAAGGGATAGGGGGTGCAAAGTCAGGGAGGTACGGTAACTTGGCAAGTTTAACAGTGTGCACTGTCAAAGCTCTGAGCGTGAGGCAGGAAATGGTAAGGAGATGAGCTTAGAGGGGGTACCTGGGCGAAGTGACGTGGGTGCTCAGGGCCCAGGTCAGGAAGTGGACTCAATTCTGAGAGCATGGGCAGCTTCTGAAGGGCTTTCAGCAAATGAGAAATGGGCCCACTTTGTATTTCAGATCAAGTGTCTGCAAGTTGTCTGTTTTTATAAAAGTGTCATTGAACACAAGCATACTCATTTGGTTACCTGCTGTCTATGGCCACTTTTACTTGTGGTGCAACAGAAAAGACCACGTGGCCCACGGGCCTCTTCCTCCCTGTCCCCTCCCAGCCTGAGCCCATATTTGGGACTCATCAACAAGCTGGATAGAGAGGACCTTGGGGCGGGGGCGGGGGGGGGCGCAGCAGGAGCACCTGTTGAATACCAGGGACGCTGGGCACTCTCCTAGGCATTTCCACAGCTCAGGTCCACGCAGACCCCAGCCCTGTAGAGTGCAGGCACCTTCCATGTGATGGGCACATACCTGGCACCTACTGTGTGTGACCTGTGCTCTAGGCCCTCTGCGACTTCTTCTCGTGGGCGGCTCTGGGGCTGGTGTGGGACAGCACTGGCGGTCCCCGGTGGAATCTTGTCCTGATCTCTTCCCTGTCTCTTCCCTACAGGGCCTGCCTGGTGTTCCTGGCAAGAGGGGCAAGATGGGTAGGCCGGTAAAGATTTTCCGTGTCTATTATGCAGACTCTATGGGTGAATCTGACGTCCCGGGGGCCACACCGCCCCGTGCACCTGCAGCCTGGGCGTTAGCTCTGCTTCTGTCCGCTCGGCCGTCGCTCTGCTCTGAGTGTGTGAACCAGCATGCGGGGCTGTCTGGGTCTCGTGTCCTGCTGCCAGGACACTGACCGGCAGCTGCCTGGCTGGAGCTGGGGCCTGCCGTGGCTCTGGGCCCCTCTGGGATGGCTCCTGTGTGTGTGTGTGTGTGCGCGCGTGCGCGCGTGTGTGTGTGTGCGTGCAACAATTGTTCTGCAGTGTGGTCCTGCATCTGGGGCTTCTGTTGTCTGAGTCAGTGGTGTCTATGGGCTTGCTTGGACTGGGGGATCATGGCTAGACCCTGGTCTGGCCTCCTATCTCAGAACACCCTCAGTCTCCGTGTTGTCTTGGTGCTGCCAGAGTCACATGTGCACCTGCTAGGCTAGAGGGCAGTGGGGCTTGTGAGCAGGTTACGGTGGGTGTGACCCCAAGTGGGGCTGGCTGTAAGCCCTGGTTCATCGGCTTTGCGCATGACCCTCCAGTATGGCAGGAATTGCTTTCTTCCTGCTTGGGTATCTCCAGGGCAGGAAGAGAAAGCCAGGGCACAGAGAGGTTGAGTCACTTGCCCACAGCTTCACGGTCAATAAGAGAGCTGGGATTCTAAGACCGCCATTCGCCTCCAGGGCCTCTGATCTCAATGGTGGGTCAAGATCTCGGATTCACCGGCTGGCAATAATGTTGTAGAAGCCGATGCCCCAGAATCTTCACCTGGTGGGCGAGACATTAATTCCGATGCTCTCATTACTCACAAGGGGAAGCTGAGGCTCCCCCTGGAGTGATATCTCTGACATCCTTGCTGCCAGTGGAGGGAGACCCCAGACTATAACAGAGGCATATTTCTTTCAGGCCTGACCTCCATTGGTGGCTTAAAGCCCCGTTTGGCTGCCCACTTACTATGTGACAAGCATCATCAGCTTGGGGTTAGCCCCTAGACTTGGAAGCATCATCATCAGCTTGGGGTCTGCGCTTCCCTCTGCTGGTGGCTAATGGAGAAGGGACTGTGGGGGAGGTTGGAACTTGAGAGGTGGCTGGAAGGGGGCCAGGAGAACTCAGTGGTGCCTAGAAAGGGGCTTGTCTGTGATTCTGGGGTTGGCATGCATGATCACGGGCATCTTACCCGTAGCGTATGGATCTGGGCCCTGTGGGGCTGAGTGTGGTATGCAAAGAAGAGCAAGATCCAGGTCCTGGTCTCAAGGACCAGAGGGGCACCTCATCCTCAGACTAGACCTTTCTGTGGCCGACAGCGGCTCTGTGCCTGAGGGTCTAATACTTGACACCTGGATCTGGGCAAGGAGTAGCACCTAATGCTTCTTGCTTTAGGGCTAGACCTGGCATCTGTGAGGGCTGGGCTGGATTCCCAAGGAGACCCATCTATCCATCCATCCATCTATCCATCCGTCCGTCCGTCTGTCCGTCCATCCAGTGAATACTGAGCATATGTTGTGGGCCAGGCACTATGCTTAGTGCTGAGCAGTGAGCAAGACAAAGTTCCCATTTTCATGGACAGACAATGATTGAACAAGGGAATGAGCAATGAGTGAATGAATGTCAGATGATGCTGAGTGTTAAGATAGAGTGGGTTAGGGAGACAGTGAGTGCTTGGGGTATAGACTGTTAGGTGAGTTGATCCAGGAATCCTCCTCAGTTCTTGTGAAACCTTATTGAGGTGAGAATGGGAGCCCTGTGGCAATCTGGGGAAGAGCTTTTCAGGTTGAGGAGATAGTAGGTGCAAAGGCCCTGGGGCATTATTGGCTCAAAGCCTTTGAATTGCAGTTTTCCTCTGTGAGAAATGGGGATAATAACTTCTAGCTCATGGGGTCATTCTGCTTGTCACATAGTAAGTGCTCTGTAAATAGTAGCAGTTGTTATTCTTGTTTGTAGCTTCATGGGTGGCTGAGGCTGTTGTGTCACTTTGAGCCAATGGCTTCACCTCTCTGGACCTGCTTTCCCAAAGTCTAAGTTGCAGAGGAGGGACAGTTGACTTCCTTAGACGTTCTCAGCTGGGCCCCGTCCCCTCACCCACGTCTGCCTCCAGAGCCGCCCGTGAGGGATTTGCTCAGACTGTCTCCTGGGAGGCTGCCACAGCGCCAGGCACTGCCACTTTATAGATGAGGAAATGAAGCCTCAGGGGGTGAATGACATGGCCAAGGTCTTGAGGCTTCGGGGGGGTCATTGCTGGGTTGGAATGCAGCAGCCAGAGCTTTTGCCTCTTGCCCCAGAGTGTAGCTGTTGAGCGAATGGATTCCAGAGTCTCCTGAGCGTGGAGGAGGGATGCGCCAGGCCCCAGCTGCCCTCTTCCCCTTCCCCCTTTCCCTCCTCCCGGTGGCCTCTTCATCTGCCTTCTCCCGGCCGTGTACTTGTTTGCTCCTTGGAGCTGAAGGCCAAGCTGCTTGTGGCCAGGAAGGCAGCACCCTTTCGGTCTGAGGTGCTCAGCGCCATTTTGCTATCTGCACGTGAGAGGAGACTGCTCATTCCTTTCTCGTTCAACAAAAATTTGCTGGACACCTACCAGGTGCCAGGTGCTGGGAATAGCACTTGTAAACCAAGACGTACCCCCCAAAAGCAACCTTTATTGAGGCCCTTTTGCCTGCATGGCATTTGAACTATGTATGATTCCCCCACTGATGCTCCGAGGTGAGATTGACTACACCTGTTTTCCAGCCTCGGAAACCGAGACTCAGGCAAAGCCATTTGCTCAGACACCCTCTGGGGGCCTCACGAGCCTCGAAGCCCCATAACTGACAATTCAGTTCTGCTTCCTTGCTCCTTGCCTTTAACTTCTAAGATTGTGCCCTGTCCTTCATGATGGGGTGGTCTTTGGCACTACAGTGTCAGGCATGGGTGGGAGGAATCCCCCTTCTTCAACAGGGGGCCACACAGTACCCCTGAGGGCCGTGAAAGTCCCCTTGACCTTGGCCCAGCTGCCATGGCCAGCAAATGGGCAAGGTCTGCACTGGATATGATTTAATAGTGTAGGGAGCAGGACTGCATGGCACCGACTCCCTACGGCTTTGGCTCTGCCCATGCCGGACCCTAAGTCTGCAATACCCTCAGCCCACATGCTCCCTAAGTGGTCTTTAGGGCCATCCCCCCTGTTGCCAGTGCTCCTGAGCCCTTGATCTGGTTGGTGGGCTGTGGGGGCTGTGGGGGCGGGGGGCGCTCCTTCTGCAAATGTCCTCTTGTCAAAGCTTTGGGCCAGGTGATTTCTAGGCATGTATCAACAAAAGGAAATGTCGGGAGAATGAGCTGAATTCCCTCATACCATATCACAGCTGGTCTCATTTCTGGCAGGGCTGCTGATGATTTTGCTGTAGTTCATCTCTCTCCAGCGAGCAGAACTTCGGGCTCGGGCACGCGGCCTCCCTAGCATCAGGTCGGGAAGGAGGGTGTGTGGGAATCTTTTGCTGATCAGAGCCCTAAAGGAGACGTTGGGGGTCAGAGCGTATCAGAGCTGCAAGAACTTCAGTGATGACTTGACCTGACCTCTCTGTCAGACAGATAAGCAGACAGAGCTCAAAGAGCCCAGTAATTTGGCCAAAGTCACACAGCGAGTTGGTGGCAGGGTCAGGACTCGACCCCAGGACCCTTGCTTGCTTTCTACCTTACAGTTCTCTCTGCGCTCCTATCTTTAGCTCCAAAGGAAGGCTTATGCTAAAGCTCTCATCTCCTCACGTCTGCTAGAATGGAAAGTGTGTTGTGGTTTTCTGAGGAGGGGTCCAGATATAAGATGTTGCAGACTTGGTTGGAGCTGAAGGGGTTTCTCCTGGGCTGTCCTGGCTTGTTCTGGGCATGGCACAGCGACACTTGCAGCTGGGACAAGGGTCCCTCCCAGGAGTTAGGAAGACATTGCCGTGAATCCTCTTGCTGGGCGGGCGCTCTGTGAACTCACTATCAAGCCCGCTGGAATGCCTCGCAGAGGCCAGCCACTGCTCACAGCGTGTCTCGTGGCCTGTGGCCGGGCCTGCAAGGCTGGTCTTGTGCAGTGAGTCAGGCCGGCAGACCCCCAAGCTTACAGCTGGAAAGGCCCAACCCTGGCTTCCACTCCATCAGTGTGTGGCTCAGGCACAACTGGGACTTGCCCAAGGCCACACACCCATGGGGGGTGGGAAGAGCTGCTGCTATGGTGCATTTGGTTTCGGGACCCTTTCCAAATCCCGGACTGTGGGGAGCAGGGAGCAAAGTGATAGAGGTCTCGTGTTTCCTGGTGAGGAAACTGAGACCAAGATGGATGAAAATTTTTTGCAGTCATGATGCTGGGGCGGTTTTGGTTCCCCGGTGTCCCATACTTGAGCTAGAGCTGCCCTGGGGCTGTTGGTGACCCTGGGATCCTGGCGAGAACTTGACCTACCTATGTCCTACTTGTTTCCTGGGGTGACTCTTCTTAGATGGGCTCCTTAGCGGATTCCAGAAGGGCAGGGTGCAAACATGCTCAGCATCGTGACCTCAAGGGGTCTTTCCATGTCAGCACACTTGGAGTGTGCACGTGTTCTAGAAAGGACTACGGCAGGCTGCAAGTGCAACAGGAGGGATGCAGGTTAGGCTTGCCCAGGAATTTCCTGACTGTGGAGAATCTCAACACTTTATTATAAAGAGGCCCCTGAGATCCTTCTGGGGGCTCTTCCGAGAGGTTATTCTGTATTCCCATTGTTGGTGCAAACCGGAGCTAGCGTGCCCTGGCTCAGTAGAGCATGCCGGGGCTGCATTACGACATCCCACCTCTTCAGCCCAGCTCTGCTCGGGGAGTTGGCAAGACAGACCGTTTCAGGGAGGTCAGGGAGCTGAGCCTTCGAGGCATTAGTGGGACTTCTGATCCCGGAGGCTTCATGCCTCCTCTGCCTCTCCAGCCCCCCTTCCAGAGCAGACGGATGGGGTAGACATTGCCTGGAGGCAGGGGAGTGGCTGAGGTGGCCCTCAGCGGCCTCCTCAGACCTTGGCATCCTGCTGTGGATGTGGTGACAAGGACCGCCCTCTCTTCACATCTATTCCTCTGCATTGCTGTAGCTAAGATAGAATTTGGAGTCCCTTCCTGGAGTCTGGTTCTGTCTCCTCCTGGGCCTTGTTCTGCTCAAAGTACAAGGCGTCCAGTTCCCCGGGGGCCCCGACCTGGGGAAGTGGTAACACCACGTGGCTGGGGCCCCGGCAGGGTGCGGAGCTCATTCCTTGGGCCTCGGGCCAGCCTGCTGCAGCCGGGAGCTCAGGCCTGCAGAGGAAGGTCCCGCTGCTGGCCCGTCTGGGACTGTACTCCATGCACGAGGAGATATGGCCAGAGGGAAGCAGAGTGGGAGGAAAGTGGGGCCCCACATCTAGCTTGGCGGCCGCCTCTCTGAGATCCAAAAGGTCCAAGCATCGGAGCCCCGGGGCAAGTGCTGGAAATGAGATATGTCTCCAGCGGCAGAGGGGTGACGCAGGCTAGTGGGTGTGGGCCCTTGTACATGCTCTGGGTTTCAGTCTCTCCATTGGTGCAGTGAGGTGTAGATTGTCGAGAACAGCTAGGGTCTTTCTATCTTAGAGATTGTTCCAATCGCAGATTTGTTCCAGCGCTTTTAAAGCTCCTATCTTTTTTCCCAACCATTATGCTCTTAATTAGTCATCCCATTGGGCTGCTGGAGTTTGCTCTTACTTGTCTTTGTTCTTACCCTGCTGTTATCAGCCACTGGCTAGCTTTTGACCCTTTTTGTCTGCAGAAATGCCTTCCTTTGGGATTTTGACCTTTCTGATGGTCTCTTCCTTGCTTATACCCCAGAGATGTGCCTTCACGTTCCTGCCGCCAGCAAGGGACACCTTGGCTCATCCTGTTTGTACACCCCGTTGTACAGCGGAGCAAAACTGAAGCTTGGAGAGGCCCATGGGTGGTGGAGCCAGGACTGGCATGGGATTGCCCTGCTTCCAAACCTTCATGGGGGAGGCTGGCCTGGCAGCTGGGTCTGAGGGGAGTCCTTGAGCCAGCCTGAAGTGGCCTCTGAGTGCGGAACCATGGGTGTGAATATATTGGGCGTTGTAGCCAGGATGTGTGCCTGGGGGAATGGCATCAAGGGCTTTATCTTGCCCTAGGCTGGGTGGCATTCCTGTGTGTAGAGGAAGAGGCTCCTTCCTTCCAGGCCTCATCTAAGGGTTGGGACGAGTGTTCTTAGAGAACACACCCCGCACCCTAGCCTGAGCAGGACAGTGGGTCAAGTGAGGGTCTACCCGAGGTCATACAGCCAGAGCCAGTCTCCAGACACTGGACTTGGCGAGCAGAGCACAGACTTCCTGAGTTCTGCCCTTCATGGGCCATGTGGAGTTGGCCAGATGCCTGTCTGGATGGCATTGGCCTTTTGCCCTGATAGATGGTCCTCCTCTCCTGCCAGGCCCCTAACCCCAGCCTCCAAAGGTGAAGGCAGAAACGTAATGCCTTCAGAAGTCTCCCCTCACCACAGCCCACCCAGCTGATGTCTCCGGTCCCGGGAGGGGAGACGGATCTCCCTTACAGCTTGTCAAAGAAGGGCTGGGTTGGAGGGAGGCTGAAATTTGCCAGGGGGACTCAAAGTATGTGGGGAGAGGAATCTTAGATAGGATCAGATACACCCCCACAAAGACTTGACCTGGAGATGGGCCTGTAGACACACACACACACACCCTTGCCACTCTCTGAAACCAGCTGAACACACATTTTAGCAGCTTCTATGTGCCATGGTCTGCCCGTGTGCAGCTCATACAAACTTGATGGAGTTTAGAGAGATGGGGACCTAGGCTCAGGTGTCACCACAGACTTGCTTTTCTTTGCCTTAGCCAAGTGACAGTGCCTCTCTAAGCCTCAGTTTCCCCATCAGTTAAATGGGACTGATAACCTTTCCCTTAAGGGTAGATGTCAAAGGCAAATGAAGGTTTGCCCGCAAAGTGACTGGCTTGGTCCAAATCTCATTATTCTGTCCTCACGCCCTCCTTTTGGTGTCTGAACGAAGCCACACCTCCTCCAGGATGAAGGCCAACCCCTGCCCTTCTGGGCCAAGAGGGTTCCCTGGCCAGAGGAGGGATCTGAGGAGAATAAGACAGCCGAGCAGGGCAAGGACAAAAGCCTGGATGCACACACATTTCAAGGTCTCTTTGCTCAGCCAGGACAGACGTTTTCAGTGGTTTGGGGTTTGTGCTTAGGTTTAATCTATTCCCTGGATTCCCCCGGCTGTGTTAGAAACCAGACACAAATTGTCCTCTGTGAGGAATCTACTGAACAGCTCAGGCATCCATTTGGTCAGAAAAACATGTGCTGTGTTTTTTATTAAATTTCCCTGGAAAAACAATGATTTGAATTCAAGCAGGGGAGAAAAACAGGTTTCCCCAAATTCCAAGCTTGAGGACTTTCTCTTCCCTTTGAAATGAAATGGAATTGCCCCCTACCCCTACCCTGGTTCCCCAGAGGTGTCCCCAGAGCCGATGTTTTTCTAGCCGCCTGTCTCCCCAGAGAGTATGGAGTTGGGGTCAGGGATGGGATGAGAGGGCCAAAGCTGCCTGGGCTGGGTGGCCTGGCCCCTCTCTGGGCTGCTGAAATTTACTTCTGGCAGTGGGGCTGATAGTCACCCACCGTGTGACCTTGCATAACGTTGACATTTACCCTTCCTTCCAGAGTCTCGCTGTCTTTATCTGTAAAAATGGGGATCGTGATTGCATAGGGCAGCTTTTGAAGAGCATGTCACAGCCACAGAAGGTCTGAGCTGGAAGATGCTGCAGAAGCCTTCCCTTCTTCAACTAGTCAGGAAACTGAGGCCCATGGGGGAAAGGGATGTCCTTAGAACACTTGGCAAGTCAGCTACTGGTTCAAGCCTAGCCTCCGATTCTTGACCTCAGTTCTTGTCCGTCCTGCCTCCTTGGTCTGGGTCTTGGTGTTTGTTGAGTGCACCGCGTGACTGGGGACCCCACCGCCTGCCCAGATCCCAGAACCAAGGAGTGAGACTGCATGGACATGTCCTTGTGTGCCCCCGGGGGTTTGGATGGAAGCCGCGCCACAGGTATAAACACTAATCTGCAGATGTTTCTTCTGTCTTATGCCTTCAGGGGTTTCCTGGAGACTTTGGGGAAAGAGGTCCTCCCGGACTGGATGGGAACCCTGTAAGTATTTCAGTCTTGGGGAACAGGAAAGAGATTCCGGAGCAAAACACAGCAGGTTTGAGGAATCCAAGCTTTGGGGTCAGACAAGTTGGGTCAAATCCCACCCCTGCCACCTCTGAACCCCAAGCTCCTGTCCACTGTGGGTGTCCTGTACCCCCCAGGAAAGCACCCCTCAGCCCACTGAGCCCCTGGTTCTAAAGCCCCAGACCGTGCCGCGTCCCCAAGGACTCAGGAAGGTTCTGGGTCACTCCCCACTGGGGAGGCCAGGGCTACTACCGTCTTACAAAGCATCAGCAATATTTATGGGGCAGCAGTGCCCTGGGGGAGCTGATGGTTTGCAGGCCCTGTGTGGAGAGAAGAGCTGAGTTCTAAAGAAATCTTCAACATAGGCATGTTTATAGAGTTTGTAAATAATCGGAGGCCTGTCATCGAGGAGCCAGGTCAGCCTGCCCTGAGGTGCTGAGCCCGCCTTTCCCTTCCTGTTCCAGGCTCAGGCTCAGGCGGGAAAGGAAGCTTGTTCTCTGCCCCAGGGGAGCAGACTAAGTCCAAAGCTCTTTGGAACACCTGCCATGTTCCCACATCTCTCTTTGGGCCTTCCCACCGAAGCAGCTGTGGCCAGCTGTGCTTTCTGTAGCAGTGACTGCTGGCTCCACCATCAGCCCCCGATGACGTAGGGATTTCAATTCCACAAATGCTCCCTGAGCCTGACCCTGCTTGGGCTCACCCCAGCAACCCTGGGAGCTTACGCCCTGGTCTCAGAGCCGGGTGGACTGGGGTTTGAGTCCTGCTGCATCACTTGGACACATCGGTTGCCCTGTCCGAATCTCAGCTTCCCTCTCTGTAAATCTGGGGGTCGGAATGCCAGCCCCGGAGGGCTGGTGTAAGAATGAAGTGAGGGGAGGTGGGAAGGCAGTCGGCTCGCAACAGGTGAGCCCTGGATGGGGCGGTTGTGAACAGTAGGTCACAGCGGGCCCATCGCCTGCCCTGGAGGAGCTCACAGCTGTCTGTCCGGTCTGTCGCACCAGGCAGAGTGAGATGTGTGGGGTTAAGGGCCCCGGGTGCTGTGGAGGAGGGCTAGAGGAGCAGGGAGACTCCTGGGGAAGGTGACGTTGGAGTGTGTTGAGGAGAGAGGTGAGGGGACATTCCATGTGGAGGAAAGGTCACCAGCGAAGGCACGGAGGTGAGAAATTGGAGCCTCTCCTTCGGTGTATCAGTTATCGGGTCAGGCATTATAATACGTGGTGTCATCCCCGAAGCCTCCTTGGGGAGGGGTAGCAGTGTCTTTATCCTCAGGTCCTGGGGGAGCAGAAAGAGGGCCTCATGAATGGCCCCGGCTTGGCCACGCAGTTGTTGAGTGACCTTGGACAAGTCACTTCCCTTCCCTGGGCCTCGCTTCCCTCATTTTAAAGGCAAGGTGGCGTCTCCCCTCCTCTTCTTCTTGGTGGCTGTAGTGGTAGCCTCCTGTCTGGGCCCACCCGAAGCGAGACAAACACCTGGAGGGTGCTGGCAATTCCCACTGATAATCAGCATTTCTAGAAGCCCCCATTTTTATCCGTGCCTTGCATCTTGAACTTGATCCAGACCCCTCTACCTGTCTTTTCTGGTGCAAGCAATGGATGGTCCATTTTTAGAGATGAGGAGATGGAAAGTTGCCCATGCCACACACCGCCGCATCCCCCTGACTCCCAGGCGAGAGCCCTCTCCAGCATCTGGGAGGCAGAGACCTGACAGCCTACTTCGTGAAGGCGGGCTTCTCTCAGGGCCCCAGCACCTCCTCGCTGGGAGAGGGAGAGAGGCTGGCCCGGTGGCTCTCAGCCTCGAGCTGAGCCACTGTGTTATTTCCTTGCACTTGGCCTTGGGCACATCGCGTAACTCTCGAGCCCCAGTGTTACCATCTATGAAGTGAAGGTGAAATGAGATGTGGGCCAGGCATCTGGCCCATCTTTATTGTCAGGATCAGGATTCCACCTCTTCTTTCACACTTACAAGTGGAAAATACTGGGCCTGGAATTCCAGCCTCCCTGTTTTACAGATGTGGAAAGCTGAGGGCAGAAGGGGGAAGGGTCTTGTCCACACTTCAGGCCAGGCTCCGAGAGTCACTAATCAGGCACAAGGAATGGTCAGCTCCAGAGGATCCCACCAGGTGCCCACAGGGGGATAGCGTGGAGGGAGTGGCCCAGAAGGGAGACAGGGCAAGTAACCGCTTTGCTCTCTTCCTATCTGCAGGGAGAATTGGGCCTGCCAGGGCCCCGAGGAGTCCCCGGCCTCATTGTAAGTACACAGATGCCTGGGTGGCAGGGTGTGGGGAGCAAGCGACGAGTCCTGCTGGAAAGGTCCCTCTCTCGTCAAACCCCAGGCGGAGCTGGGGAAGCAGGACATACCAGTCTGGCCAGGGCGCAGAGGGAGGAAAGCCCTGCTGTGTGTCCTCAGGTGGATCACCCACCTTCTCTGAGCCCCTTTCTTCATTAGTTAAAGGAAGGCAGGTGCTTGGAACATGAGAGTGCTTATGTGCTCTCACACCTTCTGCCTGCCCATCGTACTGCAGGGAGGTCTAGGGAGGTGATAGCATGCCTATCCACAGGTGAAGTGGCTGGCCGAGGAGCTGAGGTCAGCTCATCCTTTCCTTCACAGCACTGACTCTGGAGCCAGACCCCCTGAGTTCAAGTCATAGATCTGCCCCATCATGACTGTGTGACCTGGGTGAAGTTCCTTACTCTCTCTGAGCCTTAGTTCCTCATCTGTAAGATGGGGATGATGATACAGTACTCTGGGGGTGGTTGTGAGGATTAACTGAGGCCTTGGCCCAGGGTCTAGCATTTAGTAAGTGTGCCCCGAGAGGAAAATATCATTATGTTAATCTTTGCTATCACCTCCTGACATGCCTGGGACTGAGAGAGGCCTGTGCACAGGGAGGTGGGAGGCAGGCTGACCTCTGACTCCATCCAGATTGGGGTAGGCCTTGTGGAGTGGTTCCATGAGCCAAAACCAGGGCCTCCTGCGAGGCCCTCAGAGTGGGACCTTGACCTTGGGTCTGGCCACAAGAGCCGTTGAGAGGTCCAGGCCTGGGAAATGACTCTAGGAGCTTTCCCCAGAGTCTCCTGCCCCTTTGCTCTGTCCTCTGGTCATTCCTCATGGGGCTGGAGTCTGGGGGGCCGTGGAGGGACGTAAGTAGGCTGTACCCTAGTTTGACTAATGGGCTGCCGACTTTGGCTACCCCAGCAACTATGCCACGGAATTCTGTTCAGAGGGAGGCTGGAGAAGGCCCCAGGGGAGTTCAGGGCCCCCATTGTTTAGGGGTGGCCAGTCCTGGCAAGAGGGCCCAGAGGTTCCCAGTGGCAACAGGTGAGTGCAGAACCTGGGCAGGGTAGGGGCGGAGGGTCTGCACCCTAGGCTCGCCTCCTGGTTCTGTGCTCTTCAGCTATGGCCCCAGGGAACCCCTTCATGAGATGGGATCCTTGTGCCCACCAGAGCTTTGTAAAGAGTCAGGAGGGCTTTGTAAAGAGTCTGAGCGCCACAGATGCCCACAGTCCAGTGCAGTCCTGTGGCTAAGGGGGCAGCCCCTGCAACGAGACCACCTGGGTTCAGATGCTTAGCTCTACCACTGGTTGAATTCAGATGCTGAGCAAATTTCTTAACCTCCCTGTGTCTCACTTTCTTCATCTGTAAAACGGGGATAATAGTAGTACCTAACTTAGACTTTTGTTGTGACGATTTAGAGAAACTAGTACATATAAAGTGCTTCGCACAAAGTAAGTACTCGAGAAGTGCTCGTCATAATAATAATAGTTATTGTTAGTTCACCCACACACATGTATGTTATGCGTGGTAGCAGCCCTCTGGATTGCTGTGTGGAGAAAGATTTCAAAGTCACATTGGAACTTAGGGGGAGACACGGGTTGTGATCAATGAGCGACATCTCCTTGGCTTGGGGCAGTGAAATGTCCACCTACGAATCATGCATTTGTCATCCCCGATGTCCATTCAGCAGGACTTGGCTGGGCGTCTTCTTTGGCACAAGGCACTGGCCTAGATGCTTTGGAAAAGGAATGTCTGCAACGAGAGGTAGAGAACCCCAGTTTATGAGGACCCCCAAAGTCTTGTAGTCCTGCCTCCTCCAAGCTCACAGGGATGGCTTCTGGAACATCCTGTTCCCACAGTGACTACACTCCAGCTTGAACAGCCTGGTGTCGGACACTCTTTCCTGGGGAAGCCCAGGCCATTCTACAGAGCTCCTGCTATGTGTGCTGTTGCTGCATCCTGAGCCCTAGTCATTCCCCTTCCCCTGGGAGAGGGTGTTTGAGTGACGAAAAGATGGTCGCTTTCTGTCCTTACCAAGGCTCCTTCTTCAGGCTACACGCTCTCAGTTCCCAAAGCTCTCCTGAAGGGATGTTTACATATCCTGGCTTTCATCGTTGGCACGTGTTTCTCTTTGTCACTGTCCTGGTGTCCACTAGGTTGGGTCCTGAGAGGAGCAAGAATATCATTTGGCCGAATGAATGCAGACTCTGGAGACTCAGACAATGCCCTTGGCCCGCCTGACTCTTTACAAAGCTCTTTCCCATCTATGCTCCCCTTTGCTTTCCTCACTGAGGGTTGCCAGATAAAATACAGCATGCCCAGTGAAATTTGAATTTCCGATGCAATATTTAGAACACATTTATACTAAAATATCATTCGGTGTTTATCTGACATTTGAATGTAGCTGGGCAGACTGTATTTTCATTTGCTCAATCTGGCAGCCCGAGTCACAGGAGCTCTTAAGAGAATCCCATTTGACAGATGGGAAAACTGAAGCCCCAGGTCAAGCTCACCCATAAGGCAGGAGAAGATGGAGGCAGGACCGAAAAGCATGTCCTCTAACTCTTAGTCCAGGACCCTCCTCCCGCTGCCTGCTTCTGAAGGGCCTGAGCTGGGGTGTTCCTGCGTTCCTCAGACTGTGCACCCCCTCATGATGTCCCTTTCCAAATCGCTGATCTATGCCTCCTCAGGGTTCCCTCTTGCTCTCTGTCTTTCTCTGCCACTTTCAGCCTCTCACTTCCCCTGTTTTAAAATTCCCTCTGCTGTCACGGGGATGTTCCCTTCCTCCTGTGGTGGTGGTGGAGGGGAGGTCACAAGCACAGACCAGACCCTGCCAAATCACCAGCACTCCCCGGAAGAGTGCCTTCTCTCACCCAAGGACCCCCTCCCACCCTGGATTTTTGGAAACAGCAGCTTCTGTGCCCCAGGTTGGGGGCAGGGCGGGTAGTGAGAATAGTGGCTTCCCCAGAGAGTTGGAGAGGAAAGGAATTTTCTAACCAGGAGTTAAAGGGGAAGAGGGATCATGAGTCACCTCTGGTTTTCCAGAGGATGTGGGTTTTTAGCTGAGCAAATGGGAATTCCACATATTGATAATCATTTTAGTGGAGATTCAGGTTTATTCAATGCCTTCTGTCTAGTCAGCTGAAGCAATTTGCATGCAGACTGAAGCTGAAACTTCCCCTGTCACTGCCCCCCCCCCACCCCCAGGTCCTTGCAGGCAGGAGGAAGAACGTGAGGAGACAGACTAACATTTATGGAACGTCTCTCTATTTTGTGTGTGCTTGGTGTGCACTAGGCTGAGGAAGCCTTGAGATAGTTGAAGGGGGGCGGCCTCAGCCCAGTCACCCCGATAGGGAGGCTGGGGCCTGAGGTCACCAGCTAGGACTTGCAACCCGGGTCTGTGTGACCTGGATCCCAATAAGCTGCTGGCGGCCCCCCTGCAGCCTCCGAGGGGGGACTCCCTCGGAACAGCCCCCTTTGAGTAACTGAAACCCTTTGGCTGGCCCTCAAGAAAAGAGTGCCTGATTCCAGAATCTGCCCAACAAAGAAAATTTCTGTCTTTTTTATTTTGAGTGACAGAGAGGGGATTTTGGCTCCTCCATGGGTCTAACGAGACCCAAAGAATATGTGGTCTGGCCAAAGCCCAGCATGTGGGGTATAGTGGACGAGTCCCCCATATTCTGTCAGTAAATGATCATCTGGCTTTGTTTCCTTGTGATGAAGCAAAATCAGGAGCCTCACTAGTGGACACTTACCAAGCCTTTGTGTGCCAGGCCTTGTACTAAGTCTTTAATGATCATGGCAAGCCTCTGAGGGTAGGAAGTGGGATTACCCATGGTACACTTAGGGGAACCGAGGTACGGAGAGGCTGAAAGTCATAGGTCACACAGCAAAAAGCTGGACCTGGGCCTGTGTCCGTAGGTCACGGACTTTACCACTGCATCCCGCACTCAGCTCTGTGTGACTTCTGGAGACAGAAGAATGGAGGCAGCAGATGTGTAAGTGCGGACCGCCCCAGGGGCTGTTCTGTGTGAGAGATGGTGCTCATTAAAACCACACAGGAGCCAGGACCGGCTCACAGCCCCCAGGTCCCTGTCCCCAAGCCACTGATCCCTATCAGTGTTTCTGAAAAGAGGCCTTATTGCCTTCAAAGGCAGTTCTAGGAACACGGAGGCGAGATTTCTCCCTGGAGGGCTTGTACATGAGAGTGTGATTAGGTTTCTTTTCCATCGGGTTGTTAAGCCACCCTGAGTGAACACCTGTGCCATATAGACGCACACATAAGTGGTCGCCAGTGTGGCAAGGGCTGTGAGACCTGACCGCAGGGGCCTGACCTGGCCTGTGGGGTTGGGGAAGGGATGTTGGCGCTTCAGTGGAAGGCTGAGTGCGCACTGACGGCGTGAGCACAAGGTAAAACCTTCTGGGCCTGAGAACCCGTGGCCAAGGATGCCACAGCTGCAGAGGAACGGCGGGGCAGGAAGGGAAGACGTGTGTGAGGGGTGATGGGAGGCCCTGCCAGCCAGACAGACCTGGATCCTGGTCCTGCCCATATCCCCTGTTGGTTGCTTAGTCTTGGGTGAGTGACTTCGCCTCTCTCTAAGCCTCGGATTTCTCCTCTGTAAGATGGGCCCCATGGGGTTACGGTGAACAGTCGGCGAGGGCCCGAGCAGCACGTTCCATCGGCGAGGGCCCGAGCAGCACGTTCCAGCTGGAGCCCACCGTAAGCTCCCGTTAACGGCGGTTGACGGGACCTTGAAGTCTCGCGCGCGGTGTCTGGCACACAGTAGGAGTTCTGGAAACGGTTGCAGACGTGGTTGGTTGTGTTTTGGTGAGAGTCAGTAAGACGAAAGGCAAGATGTATAGAGCGGTGTCTGGGAGCTTAGGCAAAAGTGGGAACAGGATCCAAATTCAGGGCATTACTCATTGTTCTTTCTTGTGAGGACATGACATGCCGTGTGTCGCTCCGTCAGGCTGCCCACAAGGGTGTCTAGCGCAGAGCCCCAGTCGGCTCTGTGGGCTGTACTGGGAGGAAAGCGGCCTGGAATTTTCTCTGTTCCTCCCCTGAGTGCTTTCAGAGCCCAGCCCTGGGGCCCTGCCAACAAGGGAAAGGCCTGCCCTAAGCAAGCCGCCACCTTCTCCCCATGTGCCCTGCAGCCAGAGTCCCTTTTCCACGGATTCCTTTCCCCTTGGCGTTGGATACCCATGCAAGCCCCTGCCCCCCACCACACACAGGCCTTCTTGGAAGGGCCTGCCGGGGCGGTGAGTGTGATGTTGCTGTGGCTCCCCAGGGCCCCAGGTGTCAGTGAGGCCCGTATTGAATTCAGTCCCCACACAAGCCACCTTCAGGCCTGCAGCAGGAAGAAGGAGCCTGTGTTCCCGGAGCTGCTGACTGGTGCCCTGCCCACAGCCCGGGCCCCAGCTGGAGCCAACTGTGCCAGGAGAGCCTCGTCTGTTTATTTGTGGATCATGGGGAGCTCTGGGCAGGCCCCCCCTGGCTCCCTTCATCCAGGGAAAGAGAGGGAGAGAAGCAGCAACCAGCAAGGCCTAGGGAGGCGCACTTCTCTGAAGGGCTGGCTTTTCCTCGGACCCCAGCCTCTCCTGGCCAGTGGTCCTGGCCTTTTCACTCCCCTCTCTCCCTTCTCTTCCAAGACGACTTCAGAATTGCCTAGAAGCTCTGGAGACGGACTGCCTGGTGTGAATCCCAGCTCCATCCAGTCCTAGCCCTTTGGAGCCTCCGTTTCCCCATCTGTAAAATGGGGATGGTAGGAGGGTGAATCTCCCAGGGCTGTTGTGAGGAGTCCTCAGGTCGAGGCAGAGGCAGGTAAGGTGCTGAGCTCCATGCCTGGCAGACAGTGCTGTTTGTGTTAGTCTCGGCACCTGTTGTGACCTTACTTCCTTCAGGAGAAGATAACTTGATGGGGCTGAAAGCACCATTTCTTGGCAGAGGTTCAGCTAGAAGGTTTGGTTTGACCTAATCAGGTAGGGATCCTGAGGTCCAGAGGGCAAGGGTTTTGCTCGAGGTCCCACAGCCCGTCCCTGGCAGGGCCGTGGCCGGACGGTGGTTGGCCTCTGTGTCAGCTGATCTGAGCCATTGCAGGGGCCGGGGGGTGGGGTGGGGTGGGACCCGACAGTGTCTCAGAAGACCGTGCCACCGTCTGTGAACTCCCGTCTGTGAACTCGTACCTTCCCTCCGTCTCTCTCCTTGGGCCCGTTGGCCCTTCTGCGGAAGCCGGGCAGGAATGCGATGGAGACCTCTCGGGGCAGCTCCCACAGGAAGCCTGGGGCACCTAGCCTTCCTCCTGTGCATCCATGCACTTGCCAGGGACCCCCACAGAGCCTGACGCAGGCACGGGGGAAGCTGAGGCCCAGAGAGGTCGAGCACATTGTTTGAGCACACATAGCAGCCGGACACTTTGACGAGTCACAGCAGACGGAAAGGGGGGAGAAGAGAGCATTTTTAGGGGCTCCCTATTTCTGGGCGTGGGCTTACCCTTATGGCTGCGACTGCAGGCCGTAGAGGTAGGGGCGGGCTGGAGCTGAGGACCCGTGAGGGGAGGAGGGTGGGCTCGTGCAGAGGGGATCCAGCCACCCCCTCATTCTCAACCAGGCTCCTCGCCTCAGCACTATGGGCATTTTGAGCCCGATCATTGTGCGTTGTGGGGCCTTTACCCACTGGATGCCGGTAGAGCCCCTTCAGCTGGGACAACCCCAGATGCCTCCAGACCGTGCCCGCTACTTTGTACGCGTAAGTCAGCTCTCCCTGAAACAACCCTAGGAGGCTCAGAGTCCTGATCCCCGTTGTAGATGGGGAAACTGAGGCACGGAGGGGCTAGCCACCCCAAACCACACGGTGAGCAAGCAGCAGAGGAGAGGTGAGACCAGGCGGTCTGACAGAGCCAGTGGGGTTGTGTCTGACAGAGCCAGTGGGCTAGGGAACACTGGGGATCATCCCTCCCAGGCCAGACTCCTGGGAGCCACCTCTCACAATGTTCTCTTCTCTTTCTCTTGCCAGGGCGACATGGGGGCACTGGGTCCGATTGGCTATCCAGGACCCAAGGGCGTGAAGGTAAACAAGAGCCATCCCTGAATCCGGGTTTCTTCCCTGTCAGCCACCCCCCCACCTTGATCCCTGGCAGCCCAGAGGGAAGTGTGCCTGGGCACAGTGTGGGGGGAGGGGAGGACGGGGGCCCAGAGGGGTGCTGGGATGGGAGCTGGCAGCTCAGCAGCTCAGTTCTTCCCGGGCCTGAGAGCCAGTCATCCTCTGTATGTCAGTTATGGCTGACATGTTGCTTGGACAGCAGTCCTTGAGCTGAGCATGAGTCTCATGTGGTTCCAGACGTTAGAGCACTGAAAGGCCAACGGGGTCGGGGGAGGGCATGATCAGGGGCACAGAAGCTATAGTGGCAAACCAGTGAACTTCGTACACCCCTGGGTAGGATGGGCGCGCGGGAAGAAGACGGGCCAGACCTGCTAGGACCTCGTTCCAGGGACAAGCCCACGTGGCCAACGTGCAGGGGGCAATGCTCGTGGAACCCATCTGTCCCCATGAGGAGCCTTCTCCCCTGGATTTGTTCGGAGTGCCATGGCTCAGGGGTCAGCTGGCCCTTTTCGTGCTCCTTTAGTCCACATCGTGGCCCTCCGAGCTGGGGGTCATTGCCCCCTTTCACGGATGAGAAAACTGATTGCTGGGTGGGGCATCGAGCCCCAGGTGGGCACGGCAAGCCAGTGGGTGTCAGGCGGGGCACTTGCCTTCCGTGGCTTTGAGACCGCCCCCCCCCTCACAGCAGGATCTGGCCTTTGTCTTGCAGGGACTGATGGGGAACGTGGGGGAGCCCGGACTGAAAGGTGATAAGGTGATCTGAATACTCCCTTGTTGCATTGTGTTTTATCTGCATGCGAACCAACCCCCCGCCTCAACACGGCTGCTGCTTTCTCTCCAGGGCCACCCCCCTGCACGCCTCCTGCCTTCCCTCCGGCCCCCCTAAATCTGTGTTCCCCGGCTTCTTCCTTGTAACTGAGGTGGAGCTCAGGCAGGTGGTCTGAGGCGTGCAGACCTTGGAAGATGGAGCATGGGGGGCTGTTGAGGCAAAGGTGGGGGGTAAAGCAAGGCAGGTCTCTGAATTCGGAGAGCAAAGCTGAGGCCAGCGTCTGGACTTGGAGGCCAAAGCTGGGGCGGGGGAGGGGTGGAGTGGGGAGTGTTGCTGAGATGACAGGCCCCGTGGCGGGCAGGTATGGGGTGGGTGCCGGAGACCTCTCCCAGCCACAGGAGGAAATGAACTCGCATAACCACCGCAGTAAGAACTGGGAACCCACCCCCAGAGAGCACGTGGTCTGACTGTGCAACAGAAAAGCGGGCACAGGCCTCTGAGCCCCTGACCCGCTTTCCTCCCAGTTGCCATGGGGAGGCCGCCCGTGCCACGTGTCCTCCACACAGTCCTGCTGCTGAACCCACCCTGTGCCAGCCCACAGTTGGATGGGGGTCGGTGGGACCCCGGGGCTCAGAGCAGGGCAGAACCTGGCCCAGTCGCGAGGGATGGAGATGTGAAGGGCTGGGGGTGGCGCTCCCTGCGTCCTGCCCTGCAGCTGTCTTCCTGCCCCCCCCTCCTAGCCTCTCACCCGAACCAGGCACCCCGAAGGAGGTGTGGGAGGGCTCAGGCCTCCAGGGACCTCAACCACGAAGCAGAGCTAGGGCAGAAGGGCAGAGTTGATGAGGCCCTGGGAGGTCACCTCCTCCAGTGCCTCCATTTCCCAGCTGGGGAAGCAGCCCCAAAGAGTTCAAAGAGATGCATCAAAGAAAACTCAGCCCTCAGGCTCTTAGAAAAGGGGGGGTGGGGGGCTGCAAAGGGTAGCCAGGGGTGCAGTGCTTTCTCCATCTGTTTCCACCTCTTCTGCCTCCTCACTGTCCCCCTCCCCCCCCCCCCCCCGGCCCTCCCCCTCCCCCCCCCCCCCCCCCCCCCCGGCACCTCCAGAGGGCGCCCCCCCCCCCCCCGGGGCTCCCTCGCTCCACCTCCGGCCCTGCCCCGCTGACTTCTGAGCCCCCTCCTCTGTGACCCTCCCCTTGAGTCTCCCCCACAGCTACCTGTTTGCTCTGGGGTTTGAGACATCAGTGCTCTGGAAATGTTAAGTCATGGACAAGGGAGAAAGGAAGAGGGGGTGCGGGGGGTGTAGGCATTGAATTGAGCTTTTTATAGGCCCCTCTGCAGAGCTGGCCTCCCGCTCACTGGTCCTTCAGGAACATGGAAATAAACGTGTGTTACATGGAACTCGGCTGGCTTGCTGACTGACTGCTGGTGCCTGGCTCATTTCGAGATGTGAAAGCTCTGGAAAAAAAAAAAAGAAAGAAGTGGAGGAAATTGTTTTCTTGCCCATAGTTTTCAAGAAAATCAAATAAGTCTTTGGAGTTGAAAAAAAAAAGAAGAAGAAAAGAAAAAGGACTTTCTTTTCTGCCCCTTTGGCTGGGGAGGGGTCTTAACTTTGCTGAGAGGGCCTCCACCCCCTGGCCCTCCCCTGGGATGACGGAGCCATCCCTTCATGTTCCCTGGCCGTCCTGCCTAGAATCCCAGATTTTCCATGACCCGGCCTGGCCGTGGTCCCACTTACAACCACTTGGCTCCGTCTTCCTGCATGGAGGAGCCTTCTGGAACCGACACTCCTGCTCCAGCCCAAATCCATTGTCCTGATTTCTTAGGTGTCTTTTTAAACTTTTTTTTTAAATTCCCTCTCTTCCTCCTTTGGACATTAAACACACACACACACACACACACACACACACACACACACCCCGAAAAAAAAAAAAAACCCAAAAACTTTCTTGGCTCCCAAACCTCTGGAATATTATACAGGGTTTTCCAGATTGGAAAAACCAAAGTAAGTTTTTTTTTTTTAAAGCTATTTATTTATTTATCTATTTTAATTTTGGCTTTTGTTTTACCAAAGTTTTTTTTTTTTTTTTTTTTTTTTGCGGGCTCATGGCCTTAGCTGCATGGTGTGGGCTCTCTAAGAGTCTCCATTCTTCCCAGTTTCCTCCCCATCCTTCCAGTTGCTGCCGGGGCTGTGAGTGTTTTTGGAGTGCTGGGGCCGGGGTGCCGTTGGGAACATCCAATATGGCAAGCTGGAGATGATGAGGGCTGCGTGATGGGACTCCGGCTGTAAGAAGAACCGTCTTCCCGTGTGGTTCTCCGATAGCTCGTTTACCGGGATGTGGCTGAAAATAGGGAGGGACCAGAAGAGACCCCTGAAGACCGGAATCCGTGTCACCTTAGGAAAGAAACACTCAGAACTAACTCAAGACCCGTTTACTCGCTGTTTACACATAGTCTTAGCCAGCCAGACTAGCTGGTTTCTCATGCTATAGCTGATTACAGGCAGCTAATTAGAAGTGGCCCCATGCTGATGGCTGGCAGAGAGACTCCCACAGGAGGAAGAGTGACAGCTCCCAGCCCAGGGGTGAAAAATGCCAAGCAACAGATGCGAACGCTCAGAACCCTCCGTGATGGGGAGCGGGGGGAGGCAGTGAGGCACTGTACGGGCTGTACCTGCCCCTGTGTGACATGAAGCTGACGATGAAGACGTTGAAGGATCAAGAAGCAGTTCCTTTGATCTGCCAAGTGTCAGTTGTCCAGGAAAGGCCAGGCAGTTTGGCTTTTTTAGTGGTGTTTTCAGCCACCTGAGCAACCCCAGGCTGGTGTGCAGCGAGGCCAGCTACATGCTCCCCGAGGGCCTGCCTTCCCCAGCCAAGCTTTCCCGGGAGGCCTGCCCTTTACTCTCACAAGGCTGCTGCTGGTCAGATCCACTCTGGGAACAGCCTCAGCCAAGCTGTACCTTGCTGGTGGGTCTGGAAGTGGGGAGGCTTCCGGAACCCACCGTGGTCTCCATTGTAACGTTCTTTGCTGGTGTGCATTTAGGGTGAACAAGGGGTTCCAGGTGTGTCAGGAGATACTGGATTCCAAGGAGACAAGGTAATTGCAGCGGATTCTCCCCTCCCCCGCCCTGCTCTTCTCTGGTCCAGGCTTCCTTCTCAGGCTCCCTGATGGGCCAGGACCCCCCTGTAAGATGGCTTCCTTTCACATAACCCTGTCTTTTCCAGCCTCAGTCCCCCATCACCATCTCTTCCCTGGCCTTGACAACAGCCTCCTGACTTATTGTCAGGCCCCCCCGCCCCTTCTCTCCCCGTCTGTCTTCCTCACTGCCACAAAGCTCTTCTCTGTGCTCGCAAACCATCCTTGGCTCCCTACTCGCCCCAGCACCCAGGGTCCCAGTGAGCGAGCCCCTCGGACCCATTCCTGCCCCTCGCCCTTACAGCCCCGTACTCCACCGAAGGGCCCTCTGCCCCACACACTGCTGCCTTGCCTGGCACACCGTGCCCTCAGCCTCTGCACGGCCCCATTCTTCAGAACCCTGCTCAGATGCCATTTCCTCCACCTGCTTGGACAGTGGCCACTTCCCTCTCCGCATGCCCTGAGCAGCCTGTCCGTCCGTCATCTGTGGCTGCACCTGGTTGAGGGCGACTTGGGCTCAGCCCTGTGCCAGACAGCCAGCTCCCTAAGGATATTGCCCCAGACTGCCCTGGCAGAGCTCAGCTCAGAGTCCTGCACAGAACAGTGAACATTTAGGACATGTTTGAGTAAGTGAGTGAGTAACCGGCCTTACTGACTGGTGGATGAACCGAGGCAGCTTGCCGAGGCTGGCTCCTCTTTGCCGGTGTCCGGCACCATGTGGCCACATCTGGACCTCGCCCAGCCAGTCGACAAGGCCCAGATGTTGGCCCGCTCTCCCTCTTCCTCTTCCCTCCCTCCTGTCTGGCCTGTCCTGACCCAGCCTCGGTGTCTCCGAAGTGCGAGCCATGCGGGCCTGGCTGCTTCCCCTGCTGGGCCCCTGTCTCCAGAGTTCCTCAGGCATAAGGGGCACTGCAGTGCTCGCTTGGAGCCCCCCCGGGGTCCCAGGTTCCAGGACGACTTGCTGAAGACAGGGCCTGCTGTGTCACCTTTGCATCCCTGAGGCCCCGCCCACAGGGGTGCCCCCCTGGAGCTTGCAGGCAGGGAAAGTGAGGGGGGAGCTCATCTCCCCCAAAGGTGGGTGTTCTCTAGCTGCAGGTGGGCAAGGGTGACTGAGCAGCTGTTCACCTGGCCATTTCTGTTCCTTACTAACCCCAGCCTGCTCTTGGTCTTTTCCAGGGGAGCCAGGGATTGCCAGGGTTCCCAGGTGCACGGGGGAAGCCGGGGCCTCTGGTAAGTACCTTTGGCTCTGACACCCCTAAACCTCACACTCTCCAGTCATGAAATGTGGCCAGGGACACGGTCACATCCTGGACCGCATTTCCTCCTGCAGCTGCCCTGGTTGCCAAGCAGAGCAGGACAGGAATGAGATTCACCCGTTTTACAGAGGAGGACACTGAGGCCCAGCGGGGCAGGAACTCACCCAGTCTCAGAGATAGGCCTCGGTCACTGTCAGAGTTCTGGGGAGAATCAGAATCTGGGGCTCCCAAAGCCTTGAAAACAGCAGTAGCATTAATAACGTGTATTTCTTGAGTGTGACTATGTATCGGATCCTTGCCATACCATACTTCTTTGAAGGCTGCCAACCACCCCAAGGGCTAGAGGAGTATTATCCCTCCCATCTTACAGATGGAGAAACTGGGCTTCTACAAGATGAAGTGTGTTGCCCAAGGATCCCATGGCTGTAAATATAGGAGGCGGGGTTTGAACAGTAGCTCCTGGTTATCTAGGGAGATCTCATGCATATGCTCCTGAGTTTTTCCAGCCATCCACAGCCAGGGGTCTAATACAAAGGATGGTGGAAGGTGGGCCCTCACTTACCCCTGCCTCCCCTGCCATCTCTTCTCTTCCCCAGGGCAAAGTTGGAGACAAGGGATCCCTTGGGTTTCCTGGGCCTCCGGGACCTGAGGTATGTGAGGCCATATTTCTGCATCTGGATATAATTGGGACTGGGTATTATCCTTGGGAAACCGAGATCCAGAGACTGGGGGAAGGGGGTACTTACCTGAGGCCATGCAGCAAATGAGAGATGGGGCTGAGAATAAAAATTCCAAGATCAGAGATCTTTCATTTTCTGCCTCTGTGCCCCTGGTGGCTTTCAATGACAGTGGGACAGAAGCTGGCTTTGGAGACCCTCCCTAGCTTTGGGGTCACCTTTATAGTTTCCAGAAGAAACATCAGGAAAGCCCTCTGAACTCGGGCCTGCACCCTTGACAGGAGCTCCTGTTTCTCTAGCCTGAGCCCTGGAAATTTTCCAAACACCCAACTCCCCATGGAAAAAGTTCAGGGCTCAGGGTTCCGAGGAATGGGGAGCAAGAGACAAACATGAAAATTCTGGTATTTGAATGGAGAATGAGAAATCATGAAGTATGATTTAGCATTTAGTGTAACTTGCCTGAGAGGTTCTGATGCACATGAGAGTTAGGCACAGGTCTGTGCCTCTCAGTTAGCATTCACACTTCACATAGATACAATGGCGTGAGGCAGCCGGTTGAGCTCTTCCCTCCCCGCCCGCCAACAGGGGGGACCATCTCTGGAGAATGGGGTGGTCCTGCCAGGGCTGCCGTCTGCCCAGGATCCTCAGCACCCAGGCTCTCTGGGGGTCTAGGCCAACCCCAGCCAGTCCCCATTGTGTACATACACACACACACACACACACCTCCCCGTCTTCCACAAGGTCTCAGAGACAAAAGTCTCACTCTGCCGGGTTCTCCAGACCCTTCCAAAGATCACTCCTGGTATCACCCAGATAGATGAGGGATCGTTTCCTGCAAGGTCCAAGTTCTGACTTCCCACTGTGTTGACTTTGGCCGTGACACAGTCCTATCTTTAGACGAATGAAGTTGGCCCCTCTTCCATGGCCTCGATTCCTTCCCCTGGCCGCTGCGGAAGACTTTTCTAACAGTCCAGGTTTCCCGGCTGTCTGGCCACTGAGGGTAGGACCCATGCTGCCTCCCATTTATTTATTAGGCACCACCTCGTGTCAGTGGGCTGTGTAGTAGCTCTGGGATGAGAACATGTTGAAACGCCGCCAGAACCGTGTGAGGGACGTAGTACCGCCACCGTGTTACAGATAAGGAAACTGAGTCACGGAGCAGTGAAGTGACTTCCTGGGGGGGGGGGTCACTGCTGCTTGTAGCAAATAAGTTCTCTCCTGGGTCCCTGGACAGATCCAGGGTCTGCCTCTCCCACTTTTGTGTTCTCTTTGGATTGGCTAACTCCGTGTCCAGAAGATGGTTCTGCTCAGCTGACGACAGAAGCTGAAGAGCATGTCAGCACCTTCCTGGGTCTCTGTGCCTTCTGAGAACATGCCCAGTGTGAGGGGTAGGGCCGTGTGGCTCCTGCTCTGCGTCCTTTTGGATGTAGATTTTTATTGAGCACTTACCAGGTGCCAGCTGCTGAACTAAGCACTTTGCTTGCAATATTCCCTTCAAGCCTCAGAACAGCCCTGTAAGGTGATGTTGTGGTCACCATTTTGCAGATGAGCACGCCAAGGCCCAGAGATGCTCAGGAACCTCCCCAGGGTCACACAGTGCGTCAGTCACAAAATAAGACTTTGAGCCTCTTGATTTGAGGAAAAAGATGTGGTAGCGTTGGCTTTCTGTGTTAGCTTAAAATTCAGACCCATTCTTGCTTTTGCTAGTAAGAAGGGTGAGAGGATGTTTGAGCTGGAATTTAATAGGAGTCACCAAAAGATCAGAGAGGAAGGAAAAAAGCCACTTATGGAAGGGACATGGGAGGAGGCATTTTGGTCTCAGGGATTCATATATGAAGATTTTGGTTTCTAGTTGTCAGGAAAGTAAGAGAGCAGTGGGGCTGCCCTAAAAGTGACTGTTGTGCTAGGATGAATTAACAGAGGTATTACACCTACAACAAGGAAGGGGATGTTCCCATGCTGGCCTCTGCTGGTCTGTTCACACCCAGAGAAGCACCAGCATCCTAGTGATTGCCAACAACGGAAGCTGACCGTCTGGAGGTGGCAAGACTGAGGGGCCCTGGGCCCCAGAGTAGAAGCCATTCAAGGGACAGCAAAGGGCAGGCCTCTGGGGAGGGGAAAACTGGTCTCCAAATTGTGCAAAGACTACTGTGGAAAGGACTCCCACCCCTGTGCTTTGTGCGGTCGTACGGGGCGGTACGATGTTGTCAAGGGGAAAGGGAGGGGGTTCTGTTCCATGTCAGGAAGAAGCCTCCACTGCACGGCCAGCCATCGGGAACAGGCTTGATCTGGGAGCAGTGAGCCCTCCTTTGTGTTGTGGGGCAGAGTCCAACACACCCAGCCAGGATGCAGGGAGCATTTCAGCTTTTGAGAGGAGGAGCTGAGCTTAATTAGACCAGCATTTTGCAAGCCCTTCATTTTTTTTTTTTTTTAAGATTTCAATTATTTATTTGACAGAGAGAGGGAGAGCACAAGCAGGGGGAGTGGCAGGAAGAGGGAGAGGAGGAAGCAGGCTCCCCGCTGCACAGGGGGAGCCTGCTGCAGGACTCGATCCCAGGACCCCGGGATCACGACCTGAGCCGAAGGCAGTGGCCTAACCAACTGAGCCACCCAGGTCCCTGCAAGCCCTTCAAAGTTGTAGCAAACCCAGCACATCCTCATATCTGCAGGATCACTGCAATCAGAGGCTGCCATTTCTTGGAGCAGAGGAGGGCTGGCTTTGGGGCTCCGGCGGCCACAGGCCCAGGACGTGGGAAATTCTGGGTTGCACAACCTTGTGTGTATCATGCGCTTGTTGCAGCGTTGAGTATTTTCTTGCATTATCTCATTTAATGTTCTCAGCAACTCTCTGAGCTGTTACCAAGATCCCTGTTCTAGAACAGAGGACTGAAGGGTCCAAGTGGTTAACGGACCTGCCCGGGGTCCCATCCCACGCAGGAAGGTCTCCCTCCAAGACTGACACTCTTAGCATTTCCCTTCACCCATGGGTGACCCTGCTCTCTGCTTCCCCTCAGGGATTCCCCGGAGACATTGGCCCCCCTGGGGACAACGGCCCAGAAGGCACGAAGGTGAGTCCCTGCCCAGGGTCGCTGCAGTCAAAGCTCCCTGCTTTGCAGAAACCACAGGCCTCTGGGGCTGGCTGCCTGGCTTGGAATTGTTGGGGGTCTTGCCAGCCTCTGATGGACGTGGAGGTGCCGCCTCTGAGACCTCTTTCTGTTCCCTTCTCACCAGGGTAAGCCTGGAGCTCGAGGCCTGCCGGGACCCCGTGGGCAGCTGGGGCCCGAGGTGAGACCGTCTGGCCCTGTCCCCTGCCTGTCCTCTGCCTGTCCCCTGCAGCCCTGCCTGCTCCATCCGGGGTCCTAGAGGCCTCCACTGGGGGCCCAGGGCCCTTCAGCCCGGACGCCAGCCCCGGGCTGCCCCAGGCTCACCCTTCTGCTCATCCTTTACGGCCCTACCTCATCCTCTGGCCTGGCCTGGCTGGCAGGTGACTTTCTGCCTTCGCTGCCTCCCCATCGCCCAGGGTTTTTCTCTCTGGAGGCCATTGCCACTGCCCCTGCCCGTAGCACAGTTTCCCAGGGTGTGGGTATGGGAGAGTAGAAGGTGAAGCCCTGAGACTCAGGGTGAAGACACTGTGTTGGGTCCCCTGGTTAGTGGATTCACATGTCTGCTTGAGCCCAAAGCCCATGACAAAGACCCTGTGCTACTAAGTCTGTGCTCCTGGGAGCTGCCCGGGGGGCATCCCAGAGAAAGACATGACTTGCAGAGCCAGTAAGTGGCAGAGTGGAGATTTGCTTATTTTCTCATTCACGCTGGAGGGGATTGAGAAGTTCTCTGTGGGAGGGCCTGTTGAGCACCCCACGGGCTGGCCCTGGATTTTGCCTATGCCTAAGGCCCCGCACCACCCCCTCAGGCTCAGGCCCCAAGGCCCCCGTGACACACAGACAGCCCCGGCTGAGGGCACAGGAGGCCCGGACTCACCACAACCACAGGCAGGCATCCAGCTGACATGGATCTCTTTGCAGGCTGGTTCTGGGTCTGGCGGGGGCCCAGTGCTGGCTCTGCGAGCAGCCACGTGGGGCTGCTTTCCTGGAAGCTGGGTTGGGGGGTAGCCTCTGGGTTAGGCCTGGCACGCCATAGGGGCCAGTTTGGAGGCTGCCCTGGCCTGCGGGAGGACCCAGAGTGGGAAGGGAGGGGCGAGGAGGGAGAGACGGCGCCAGCCGTGTGCCTCTGTCTACACCCACATTACCACCCGAGAGCCTGCCACTTGCTCACACCCCCATTGATTCATTCATCCATCCCTGCATTCATCCACTACTCCGTCTCCTCCTTCTCTCATGCCCCTTGGCCCCACCTGCACTCACCACACATCCATGAGGCACTGTACGCCCATCCTGAATGATGTTTGTGACAGAGTAGGGGATGGGGCCTCATCATTGTCCTCTAGGAGCTCCACTTAGGCTAGTCGTCATACGTTAGGATGGTCCTCTTCGCTTGGCACCATTTTACAGATGGGGACACTGAGGCACAGGGAGGTTAAGGTCTGCCACTGAATCAGTGGTGGAGCTCAGAATAGAGCTCATATCTCTGAGCGGCAGCTGAGGCTCTGTACCCACAGCGTATGATGAGGTTTGACTTTCTGCCCAGCCCTGCCATGAACCCTGGGCCTGTCACATTCAGATGACACTGGGAGCGCCCTTCATGTGGAAGTCCCTGTGTGGCCTGGGTGGGAGCCCGGGGGTGGCGGCGGGGTGGGGGTGGGGGGGACCAGGCGTACCATTTCTTTTGGTCCAGGAGAGCTCTCCCCTGGCCACCTCTTTCCCTCCTTACAGGTCAAGTTCTCCAACACCCTCACTGGATTAATTTCTCCTTTCTCCTCTCTTGTGTCTCCCAACTCTAGGGAGATGAGGGACCCATGGGACCACCTGGGGCCCCCGGCTTAGAGGTGAGTGTCACCGGCTCCCGGGGAGGTGGCATTTGTCATTCCTGAGCCCACTGTGTGCAGATAGGCAACACCCAGGTGGCGCTCTGCCAAGAAGTCATCAGCAGGAGCCTTGGGCCAGCCAGAGAAGGGACTAGAACAGACGCAAAGGACAGAGACAAGAGTCGGGAAACCAACCAGCTGTGCTTGCCCAGCTGCCATGTGCTGGGGTTTGCATCCGCTTCCATGCATTTAACTCTCCATGAGAGTTCCATTGCTGGTCTTAGTTTCACCCACGGCCATCAGGCTCAAAGACCAAGGGGTTTAGCCCAGTGTCCCACAGCCCAGACCCTCACCTTGTGCCCTCCCCGCTGCTCTGCTCCAAGTGGCCTTCCACAAGGCCCACGCCAGGGAGGGCATAAACCAGCAGTGCACAAATATTTTGGTCTTGGGGCCTGTTTATCCTCTTAAAAAAAAAAAAAAATGATTGTGGACTCAAAATGCTTTTCTTTGTATGGGTTCCCTCTATGGATACTAATAATTAAAAGTGAAAACTTTTAAATGTATTTATTAATTCATTTGAAATAACAATAAGCCCATTTCATGTTCACAAAAATAATAGTTTTACAACAAAACAACACAAAACAACCAACTGGCTATATTTTCCAAAGCAAAATAATCTAATGAAAAGAATGGCATTGTTTTACTGTTCTTGCAAATCTCTAATGTCTGGTTTAATAGAAGTCAGCTGGATTCTCCCATCTGCTTCTGCATTCAGTCTGTTGACGATACCACATGTCATGTAGCCTCTGGAAAACTCCGCATACACTCATGAGAATGAGAGAGACACAGGCAAACAGCATCTTAGCGTTATTGGGAACCTAGTCCTGACATCATGCATCCCTGAGAGGGCCCCAGGCACCACAGGGGTCCCCAGGCCACCTTTTGAAAACCACGGGCATAAACTTTCCATTCCCCCTGGACCCTGTATCTTCTGTCCAGTTCCTTTCGCTTCCTCATTCCTTGAAAGCAGGTTTCAACATCTCCATTTACAAACAGGAGGGGGAGACTTCCCTGAGGTCACACAGATGCAGACCCCTGCCTACCCCCCACCCCTGCATCTCCAGACCGGCTGGCAACCTGGGGCCCTCCAAGCTCTGCATCCTTTACCCACTGGGGCATTGCAGTCCTCCCCTAGGCCAGGGCTGGGACCTCAGCAACGCTGCCCCCCTACCCCCTGCCTAGCTCCCCTCACTCACCTCTCTCTGTTGCAGGGCCAACCTGGCAAGAAGGGGTTTCCTGGCCGGCCCGGCCCAGATGGCATGAAGGTGAGGGGACCCGGAAATGACTGGGCTTGAGGGTTGGGGGGGGGTTGTGTGTGGAACACCTGGGAAAGAGCGAGTAACTGAGGGCCCCAGGAAGAACCCCGATCCCAGGGGCAGTTGTGGAAAGGGGGATCAATAGTCCCCATTTATCACAACATATTGGTAACAGAGAGGAAAAAATGAACAAGAACCTCAATGTCCAACAAGTAATGGGATGCAATGCAGCCACCAAAGGTGGTGTAGTGGAAGAGTTTACAAGACGGGAGAATGCCTGTGTGGGTGGAGGTGGCGGTGTGGCGGTAGTAGGAAGCAGGTTCCAGATGGAGGGTTACAGGACAAACCTGTTGCGGGGGCCTGTTGCACCACGGTCCTGCATGCTCAGAGCAGGGGCTGCAGTGTGGATGGGGCCTCTCTCCGGGTGGTGGGAGTAGAGGCCATTTCCGTTTTCTTTTGTGGGCCTCTAGCTTTTCCCCACGATGTACAGTCAATACGTATTACATTTGGTAACAGTATTTTTTGTTTTTTAACTTATCAAAAGAGAACTGGCCTGGGTAGGAGAGTGATGGTCCTCAGCACGTGGGCAGCCTCGCTTAGTGGCTTTCCAAGGACTCCTCTTGCGGGTTGAATTTTCCAAGCCGTGCTGGACAGAGTGTGTTGGGCCACGTTTACAGCTGGGCAGACACACGAGGGTGAGGGCAGAGCCAGGGTAGCCCAGGACATCCACGTCCCCCTCCACTCAGCAGACATGGCCCATGTGTCTGTCTGTCTGGCCCCTCTGGGTCTCCTGAGCATGAGGTCTAGGGGAGGTGCTGGAGGGAAGGATGAGGCTCGGACCCTGATTGTGGTGAGCCACGTCCATTTGTGAGCCAAGCTCCTGGCTAGTTTGACTAGTTTAGCCCTTGTCCTGCCCCCTGAGGTCTCGGTCTTACTCCCTCAGATCCCAGCTGGCTTTCTGTGGTGAGAGCGGTGACATAGTCTGGGTGGATTTATCCCACGGGGCTGCTTGCCTCTCTCCAGCTCACGCTGTGGGGAGACCAGGGCGGCTGTGGCTGCCTAAGGAACAGGAGCTACCCTGGCATGGGATAAAGCTGGCAGATAAGGCTATACAAGAGGCCACCAAGCGTGAGGGCTGGAAATAGCCTATGAGACAAATGAGTCTGATTTCCCTTATTTATAGCTGGGGAAGCTGAGCCCAGAGCAGAGACAGGGCTCAGCAGTCATGTTGTAAGCCAGTGGCAGAGGTCTGGTGGGCTAGGGTCTAGGCTCTAAGTGCCCTGACTCCCTGGCTCCCTGATCTTCCTGTGGTGGGGCAGCCTGATCCAGGAGGAATGGGGATTTCAGTCAGTCAGACCAAAGTTCCAATTCTAGCCCTGCCTCTAGCTTGCTGTGTAGCCTTGAGCAGACCACCTTGCCTCTCTGAGCTTTAGTTACCACCTCCACAAAATGCGATGGGTTGATGAACAGCCCAAACGAGATACAGACCGGAAGGTACCAAGTCATCTGCCAAGGGCCACTCAGAGGGAATGCGTGGCTAGGGCCATGTCTGGGGTCAGAAGTTCTGTCCAAGTGTCTCATCATTTCTGCCATTTGTTTGGGGTCTACAAGGCCAGACTCTGGAGTTGAGGTTCCTGTCCTTCCCTACTGGTGGGGACGAAGGCCAGTCACCTGAAGGTGTTCCCTGGGGGGGCCTAGACTACCATCACCCATCCCAAGTGAGCCTCCTCCTTTCTTTGCAGGGAGAGCCAGGAGACCCTGGACGGCCAGGACCCGTGGGTGAGCAGGTAAGTCAATACTAGTCTCTGAACACAATGACTCTTTACTGAGCACTTACTCTGTGCCAAGCCCTTTGGTAAAAGTCTCTGCACGCATCCCCCTTTCATTTCCGCGCTAGCTCCTAGGGTCAGTTAGCTCGTCTCCCCGCTTCATTGAGATGGTCACTGACTCTCAGGTAGGTGAAGTCACTAAATGAGAAAGCTATGAATCATAGTCCCATGGCCTGGCTCTGTGGATGTTTTTGGAGCATTTGCCCAAAGGGGTGACATGACTTTTCTCCCAGAACATTACAACTGGAAGATGCTTCAAGAATCACCAGCTGTGCTCCATCTACAGATAGGGAAGCTGAAGACCAGAGAAATATAGCCACCTGCCAGGGGCTTTTGGTCCAGGCTACTCTAACTTACAAGGAAAGCAAAATTCAAACCAGTGGCTCCGGCTAGTTGGGAAGTCAGGCCAAGGTCTGAAGAGGAGAGGAGGTTGCAAGTCGTTGTTAAAAAGGAGGTTTGAGAATCATGACCTTCATTATTGAGGCCCAGGGCCCTCAGTGCTACCGAGAAACAGCTGTGAGTGCTGGGGGGGTGCAGACAGCCTGGCACCACCTGAAACCTTAACCTCTGGGCTTGGAGGTCAGGTTGAAAGGTAGCAATCTCCTCCCCTCCCTTAATGAAGCCCCCTGAACCCTGCAAGGGGCTGCCTCGTCCCAGAGACCAAGAAGAATCTGCTTCGGCTGAGAAACGCCATCAATGGCGTGAGAGTCGCGCACGACGGGCTTCCTCACCAGGCCTGCAACATCTGTTGGGGGGAAGAAAGGAATTAAAGCAGGGGGTGGACTGGATTTTTGAAACCTTTCCAGTGTCATTCGAGCGCATTCTGTGGGAAGCCCAGGAGTTTGGAAGGGCTGTCACGGCCTGGATATATTTCCTGATTGGAAAAAAAGGCCATGCGATCAGCAAATTTAATTTCATAGTTAGGCTGGTGGTAAGGGCCCTCGGGAAATAGATCCTCAGAATCCTAAAATGTCGGGACATGAAGGGTCCTTGCAAAGCACTCTGTCCCAGGGTCCTAACCTTTTCTGTACCTTGGACCCTTTGGCAGGCTGGAGAAGCCCACGGACCCCTTCTCAGAATAGAGTTTTAAATGCATAAAATGCACAATGAAAGATTAGAGAGGAAATCAATTCAATTGAAATACAATTATGAAAGTATGTTGAATGTGATCTACTCATAGATAGGCTTCTTTATTAATTCATTAAATAATGAGATCCGGCAGCAGGTCTAATAACCTCACTTTTGAAGCAGTGACAAGCCTTAGTGACACATTTTGAAATCTCCTTGACAATGACTCTAAAGTGACATGTAACTAGGACAGTAACAGGTACTGTGGGTTTGTCGCCTACACTCAGATTTGAGGGAAATGCTAAATTTTAATTAGAGATCCGTGAAAATAAAAGTGATTTTTTTTTTCCCTCCTCCAGTTCAGGGAGGCCCTGAGTTCTATCCATGGGGCTTTCCAGAAGCCCCAGTTTAGGACCCCTGGATCCTTGCCCACATTGGCAATCTGATTAACAAGGATGACTAAGTAAGGTAGTGGCAAAGCTGGGGCCAGGAGAAGCGGACAGCTGGCCCGGGGCCACCCCAGGCCCACCTGGTCGGCAGAGCCCCCCAGCCAGCTGCCTGGCTAGCTGGGGCCACAGCTGGAAAGAAAGGCCTGTCTGAACAGTGAGGCAGAACCTGAGCCCCGTGGCTGCCAACAGGCACACAGGGATGCCACGCCAGCTATGCCCTTGGCTCCCTCCCTGTGTGGGAAGTGGCAGGCGTCTCTTGTTCACGGCAGAATCAGAGGGTCCCCAGGAAAGGTTATAAGGTCCTCCCTAGGATGACAGTATCAACTCCACTGATTGGACCCCCATTAAGTTACCAGGCTCTGGTGCCTGCCTGCCCGCCCTTCCCTCAGCAACCCCAGGGTGGTAGTTAGGTCACTTGACAAGATCTCCTGAACAGCAACACAAGTGTCAGAGCCAAGGTTGAACACTTGGTGCTGCTGGATTCCCAAGATCTGCCTTGGAGGGACTGGAAAATCCTTTGACCTCCTGAGCCCTTGCCATTTTGTAACAGCTAGTGAGAGCGCAGGGGGCTTGCCAGCAGGCCCTGTCCTAGGTGCTGGGGACACAGAGATGCTCACAGGCTCGGGCCTTGCCTGGAAGAAGCTCCCTCTAGCCAGGGAGAGGCCAGGCGTGCAAACATTTACCCCGAGATGCCTGTTCTCACAGAGGACCCACAGCTGTCTTGTTCCCAGTTGCACTTCCAGTGCCTCACAGAATGGCATATGAGGGAAGAGAAGGAAGGAGGGAGAAGAGCAGGCATAAGCAAACAACAGCCCTTTATCTGTAGACAGCGTGAGGACCAGGGCCGACCCCTTCCCAAAATCAGACCCTGCCTGTGCAGGACCCGTTGTAGGTGACAGAGCTGCCTCCTCCCCCGTGTCCTCGTGCTGGCTTGAGAGAAGCCAGCTGTGCCCGCAGCGGTCAGAGCTGCTTCTCCCCCCACCCCCCAGCCAGGTGGAAGCCCTGGGCCTCCGGGGCTGGCTTCCCGGCCAGCCTCATCTCCATCCGCAGGACGGGCCTTCCAGGATCTTCTGGGACAGTGCCCCATGGGTGTCCTGGGAGCCGGGGTGGGGAAATGGGGCACTTGCTGTATGGCCCTTATTCATTAGGATCCTGTTTGGCTTCTTGTTTGAGGTTTATGACCCGCCTGCCTTCCAGGACCCAACAACTCATAAATTTAAAGTAGCTATGAAATTTCTGTTTCTCTGGGCCAGTCGGCCGGGGGCCTCTTAACAGAGCCGTTTTTATTCCCATTGCTTTGCATCCTCTAAATGTCTGAGTGCTCCCCTGTGGGGCGCTCGGGCCTCTGTCTTAACCCTGTGCCCTTTTAAAATAAATTAGAACGGGACGGGAGGGAGCTAACATTTATTGAGTGCCTACATGAGCCATGCATTATCTTCAAGACTCAGAACAACCCCAGGGAGATAGGGAGAGACCTTTCTCGAAAGCGCCGCCCTTTGCAGATGATGAGGCTCGGAGGGGCTCTGTGACTTGCCCGGGGTCTACAAACCTAAAGACTGAATGATGATGCCAGAAAAAGTGTCCGGTGCGGGGCTTGGCACTCAGTAAGTGCCAGCTTTTGTTATTAATATTGCTGTCACCTTGAAGATGCTCTAATTGTTTTTTAAAGTAGGTTGTTGCAAAAGTCAAATACTTGGTTATTGTCTGTGGCTTACTGGCCGTGACCTCATACCTTGTACCTCACTCCTCTTACCTCATACTTCAACCCTGAAGGGTCTCTGAGCTCAGGGAACCAGGACCTCCACGGTGCGGTGATGGGGTGGGTGTGCCGGGGGACCTGTGCCCTGCTCACGGCCACACACTGGGGAGGCCCCGGGGTGGAGGGAAAGGTGCATGGGCCTTGGAGCCACAGCAGCAAGACACACACGGTCGTGGCCTGAGCTGTCACTTTAAAACGGTCTCTGAGACCCACAGAGCTAAGCCTTTGGAAATGGGCACCATGTTTTCACCCTAGTTGATGGACAGGTCGGCCCGCTTCACTGCCTGAGCATACAGCTTGCAACCTCTGACCTGTGTCCCCTCAGCTTCGAGGTCTCATTCCTTTCTGGACCCAGTTGAGGGACAAGGAGCAGATCGCATGGGACAGATCCACTCCTCTCTCAGTCTTTCCCGATTTTCCCGGAAACTCTCCCAAAGCCACTGTTGCACCTCTGAACTGCACAAGACCCCCTCTGCTCCGATCTTCCTTAGCCCGGAAGAGCGGGGGGCCTGGAAGGAGGGGCTCATCCAGACCGGTTGGCCTCGCCGCACGCGTGCGTGCGTGCGTGCGTGCGTGCGTGCCTTGTTGGGCCCAGCGAGGCCGGCAGCCGCCTCCAGGCCGTTCGACCTCGCTGCGCGGGTGCGTGCGTGCGTGCGTGCGTGCGTGCGTGCCTCGTCGGGGCCAGCTAGGCCGGCAGCCGCCTGGAAGAGCCCCTGGAACACAGAGGCAAGCTATCACCCAGTGGAGTTAAAAAGAGCAGCGGGAGCCACAGTGTGAGTGTGTGTGTGTGTGCGCGCCCTTCAGAAAGGAGAGGAAGCCTTTCACAAGACGGTATAAAGGCCTCCACTTTCCACGTTTGAATCAAGTCTTTTTGGCGGAGGCTGTTACACTGTTTCCATCCTGGTGAGCCCGTTTGTTTCTCTCTTTGAAGCAGTCCCAGAGCCCTGAGAGATGGGGACAGATTTCTAACAGGCAGGGCTCTTCCCAGCACAGCTTAAGGGCCATCCCTGCTCCCCCCCCAACACACACACACACACACACAGCCCGCCCCCCCAAACGTGGCCGCCTCCCAGCCTGCTTCTGGCGCGGGAAGAATGTGTGGCGCTCCCAGGGATGCTGGCAGCAGCCCCACCGCTTGGCTCCGAGATCAGAACCATCTGGTGGAGTGAGGGAAGTCAGGACAGTGCCTGGAGAGAGGCGGCCCTCCTCCGTGGCACCCCAGGCCTGCCGGATTACAAGGCACGGGGCGGGAGGCGTGGGGCAGGAGGCGTAGGCCAGGGGCTCCAGGGACGGGGAGATGCAGGCGCCTTGCCTTTGAAACTCAGCACATCCCCGAATTCACGCGGCTTCCTCTTTTCTCTTGCCGTTTGTGCATGTTTCTTCTAGGGACTTCTGGGATTCATTGGTCTGGTCGGGGAGCCAGGGATCGTGGGAGAAAAGGTAAGTTAGGTTGAGGAGAATCTATCAGCAAATAGAACTTGTGGTGGAGATTTTAAGAAGATGAAGGGGCCAGGTGCCCTGGAGATTTCAGCCTTCTTTCTCCTGGCTTCTTGCTTCCCTAGCATTCCAGACCCTCACAGTGCCATGGTCCCCTTTCCCAGCATCCCCTGGGGCTCCACCCTGCCCTCCCGTCAGCACCACCACGTGCAGTCAGACTCCTGTGTGACAACCAGCTCACGCACGTGGCGTGGGCCCTCTTGTCTGTGCACTGGAACCTCACAGGGGTGGGCGACAGAAGGGAGCTAAAGAGCCATCTTTTTTAAATGGGCACAGTTCCTTAGGCTGTCTTGGGACTCCCCCAGCAGCTCTGTTTCACAGACCTCATCGCATTGGAGAGGTGAGTTAATTCAGGTCACCCAGGTAGGAAGTGGCAGAGCTGGGATGTGAATCAGGTTCAGTGCCCGAGGCCACATTTCACCCTGCTAAACCACCCTGCCCCATGTTAGCTCCCGGACCAGAAGCCCCCCGTGGCTTCCAGTTTCCCACCATGGGCCCTGGAGGGGCCCTGCTTTCCTTTTAGGGGCTTATCTGATCAGCAAGCTGGCCTTCTGGGGAGCCAATATTATGCCCACTGGATAAACAGGGAAACTGAGGGCCAGAGAGAGGAAGCCTCTGCACTAATCCAGCCCCACCTTCCTTTCCAGGCTCTTCCTGTGCCTTCTCATCACTCCACATCCCAAACCCTTCCTTCTCCTCCCCCTCCACCTTCCCTATTTTCTTCTCTTCCTCTTCTCTTTTTAACTTTTTATTTGAAGTAATTATACAGTCACAAGATGTTGCAAAAAACAGTACAGAAAGGTCCCGTGTACCCTTCACCCTGTGGCCGCCGATGGTCACATCTTGCATAACTATAGTGCAATATCAAACCAACTCTGGCCTTCTTTATTGCTCAAATGTTCCATGTCCCTCCCCCCCGCCCTGGCCAGGTGTACCCCCCTCCTCCCACCCCTCTTCCCTCTGTGCCTAGATGAGTTATCCTTCAGCTCTCTCGGGTCAAGCAGGCCTTCCCAACCACTCCTCTGCACCCGGGTGGGTCAGATCCCCTGCTGAAGGGCCTTGGCACCGAGACCTATGCCCTCACTGCGCTTACTCGTTTGCATCTGTGCTGGTGACTTGTGTCTGTGGATACAAAACACAGGGCCTCACAAAAACAGAGGCAGGATTCAAATCCAGACCCCCTTCCTCCAGCCGTCTCTGTCTTCTGCACCCACCATCTCTGCCCTGGTCGATCTGGATTCATCAAGAGGAAAAGAGTTGCGTCTCACATGCTCCAGCATCTCATCTCTGTTTGGGCAGTGGGTGGAGAGAGCGAGAGTGCCTTCTTTTGCCATCTCCACCTCCACAAGCCCAGCCCAGGGGATGCCAGGCCCAATGAGGACCACGTGACGTGGGCCAGCATCAAAGGGGACAATGTCATTAGTACATCCCTGATCAGGACCATCCTTGCCTGAGGGCAGCCCACTGCGGGGCATGCCACAGTAGATGCTGAGGCCTCCCAGGGCTTACTGGGTTCCTGGCTTCTGTGGAGTGAAATCCCAGCACCCCTTCCCCTGACCACCCTGGGTGATGTGACTGTAGACTTTGGACAAGTCCCTACCCCTCCCTCTTTGGCCTCTGGAAGGCCTCTGGACCCGCCCCCCACGGAGCCACCCCACAGCCATGACCTCCCTGCCTTGCTGTCTCTATCACAGGGTGACAGGGGCATGATGGGACCCCCAGGCGCACCCGGACCCAAGGGATCAATGGTAAGGAGCAAGTGTGTGCCACTTGCCCTCCCTCCTGTCACAGGGCTGGTGACAGCTCTGCTCTCCTCTGCCTGCTCCCGTATACCCCAGGCATTCAGGAAGACGGGCTCCTTCTCCCTCCAAGAGGCCTGGTGGCTGCCCTTGTGGCACTAAGCTGGGGCCGTGGGGCCAGGGACAAGCCAGCCAAGGCAGAAGGAGGAAGAGCCACCTGCTTCAGCTGATTCCTTCTCTCTCATCTCTTTCTTGGTAGGGTCATCCTGGAACTCCTGGTGCTGTGGGGACCCCCGGAGAACCTGGACCCCCGGTAAGCCAAGCCCTTGAGCTCAAACCCACTGTCCAGTAATAGTGAGGAGTCCAGGTCTCAGAGTCAGACAAACATGGGCTTGAATCCCAGCTCTGTATTGCCAGGAAAGATCATTGAACTTCTCAGCACCTAAGTTTTGCTCATCTGAAACACAGAGAACATAATCGCGGTCATGACAGCATAATCCCGTGGGTCAGATGAACCCAGGCAGCTCATGTTCATTGCACAGTGATGTTCCTGGCACAGGAGCACCGTTTCTTTTTTTTTTTTTTTTGTAATTAAAAATCTTTTAATGACCATATTAACATTGGCAGAAAGAAACGGGAAATTAATTTTAACAGTGTTTTTTATTTAACTCAATATAGTAAAATTGTTTACATTTTGATTTGCAATATAAAAATAACTAATGAACATCTAATATCCTTTTTTTAGTATGAAGTCCTCAAAATAAAATATGTGTCTTAATTCCGACTAGCTATATTTCAAGGGTTTAATAGCCTCATGTGGTAAGTGGGTACCATATTGGATGGTGTAGACTTAAAAACTGATGGAGTGCTTATTGCTTCTCAGAGTTCTGGCTTTGGTCTGACTTCTGTAGACCTTTCTGAGGTTAAGGGCATCTTGCTCCACCTGCCTCTTCTTCCCAGAAACTCCCTAGAGTCCCAGTTTGCCTTCCTCTCTCCTTAGAGCTGCTGTCACCCACTCAATGCCTCTCTTCCTGTTCCTCTTGAAGCCAGCTGTGGATGAGACCCAGTCCTTCTCTCTGCCTTCCCCCCATCTCCCTAATTCGGGGCCAGAAGTGCCTTCCACATTGGGCTTTCCTGTCAATATCATGCAAACACAGGAGATAAAATAACAAATGTGGGGAAAATACAACATTAAGGAACAGCTTCAAAATCCTTCAATTCTTTCCCTGTGTAATGCCTGACTTTTCACTGAGATGGAAGCTGGAAGCTCTAGCTGCTCTTTTTCCCTCTGTGGTGTGGCACAGGAGCATCTTGGTCAAGGCGCCATCGTTGCTTTGTTCATTCACTCGGGACATACCCTGTCATGTGTGCCTGGAGCCGCTCCAGGAGCCGGGGGTGCAGCCATCAGCAGGGCAGAAAACTCCCACTGCCCTTTAGGAGCTTCTATTCTGGCATTTGGGGGTGAGACAACCCAATATATAAGTGACACCTGCTCTGGAGGAAGTGTAGGGGAGACGATGGGAAATGCTGGGGACACGGGGGCTGAGCACAGGGGTGAGGACACAGAGGTCCTGGACTTCTTGTGATATCTGAGGAACCAGGGAGATTCCTGAGGGTCTCAAGGCAGGGAGGGGTGGGAGAGGCAGGGTAGCTGGGCTGGGGGGATCCCATCTACTTTCCCGAGGGTGATATTGGGGGCAGGGAGGGGTGGCTCTCATCCTGAGCCCTCGCAGCTTCTTCTCCCTCTGTCTCTGCCAATGGAGGATGGAGCCCAGGAGGGGCTCTCACTTCAGCCAAGGCTTGGGCTCAGGGCTGGGAACCTCCTCTGGGGAGGTGGAGAGGTGGGCTTCAGGCAGGTGGAAAGGGTATGGAGGAAGGGACTAGCCCAGGCAGGATCCCAGGGCAGGACTAGGGAACAATGAGTTTGGGCTGCCCGGGTCCCTCCAAAGGCCAGACTGAGAGACTCCCTGGAGTCTGATGGGATGAGGGAGGAAATGGGAACCTTGGAGGGTCTGAATCCAAGGGAAGCATGCACATACCAGTTCTCTGTGCCAATGAGGGAAGCAAAGCCAGCTCAGTTCCCAAACTTTTCTGTGCACCGGCTGTGTACTGGGCCTATGCTCAGCCCTGAAGATGCAGGAATGATAAGAATCACACCTGCTGGGGCGCCTGGGTAGTTCAGTCGGTTAAGCGTCTGCCTTCGGCTCAGGTCATGATCTCAGGGTCCTGGGATTGAGCCCCACATTGGGCACCCTGCTCAGTGGGGAGTCTGCTTCTCGCTCTTCCTCTCTCTCTCTGCCCCTCTCCCCCTGTTCAGGGTCTCTCTCTCCTGTCTGTCTCAAATAAAATCTTAAAAAGAAAAGAAAATACATCTGCTTTTAAGATCCTGTCTAGTGGGAGTGCCAAGTATAAACATCTTCTCACTCATTAACAGAATTTTACCGAGCACCTGCTATGTGCCAGGCAGTGCTAGGCGCTGAGGAGGGATATGGAGGGACTAGCCAGGGATGAGAAGCCTGGACACTAGTAACCATCATCCCAAGACAGAGGTGCTGAGCAGCAGGTGGCTCTGTCTGTCCCCTCTAATCCTTTCGATGAGGTAGAAAAGTCAAAGTACAGAGGTGAGATGAGAGCCAGCACTCCGGGCTCCTGATGGCGTGTTTTCCCCTGTTAATGAGGAGGAGGAGAAGCCACTTCTGGCCCGGGGCTGGAGGGGCTGGTTGGTGGGCCGAGGAGCCCAACCTGTGATCTGAGGTTTCCTAGCCCACCCAGCCTGAAGGCTGCTGTCCCATCCCCCTCCCCAGGGTTCATGGGACCCAAGTTCTAGGGCCCAGCAGATGCTCCTGGAGAGGCAGTGATTGGGGACCATCCGTGTGGGAGGTGCCCAGGCAAGGGTCCATCATCAGACTGTAGCTCTTGGGCCTCTGGACCTCAGCCTCTCAGGGCCTCCGTCTCTCCATTTGTCCAGTGGGAGGAGGAAAGCCTGGAATGGAGTTGCTGGGACAAAATGGAAGGCCAGTGGAAGACAGGAAAACAGTGGGGCTGTCCAAGCCAGCGCATGGAAGGAAGCTCCTGGCCTCCTCTGAATCCCCTACCTCCAGGGCTCCACTGACCTCCTCCCTGCTTTGTGTCCTCGCACGTCCCACTGCTCTGGAGGGTGGCTCAGCCTGAGTGAACTCAGTCACGTGCTGCTTTCAGCCCCCAGGGTTGCCGTTGACCCGCCACTGCTGCAGTATGGGGCTGGTCGCTTGGACCTCTTGGGGATCCTTCTAAGCCAGCCAGCCGCCCTGGTGCTGCTGAGGACGCAGCGTAGCACCAAGGTCCAGAAATCTGACTTCAGAATCAGACACATGTGAGTCAAGTCCTGGCCACTTACCAGCTGGGTGATTGTTGGCAGTATTCGTAGCTTCTCTGCGCCTCCATTTCCCCATCTGCAAGCCAGCATAGAACTCCCTTCATTATGCGATTACTGTGAGAAGTCAATGATATCAGTGTATGATGTCATGCTTAGCACATGGTCTGCGTATACTAAGCATTTAATGACTGGCAGTAGGAATAATTACTGTTTAGTAGTTATGTTAATTCCAGTATTCCTTTAAGACTACTACCATTAAGGTCACATTTCTGATGACACTGTTCACATCTGATGAGCAGTCTCCCACTTTTCCAATCATGTGAACATCCACGTTCTCCTACAGCCCATTGAGGTGAGCTGAGATCGTTATCCTCATGGCCTGGGGGACTGGAGACCAGTCAGACTCCCATCTCTGACCCCCTCCCACACTGAGAGAGCTGAGAGCTACCCTTTACTGAGGACTTTCTGTGTCATTTTGCCTTCCCAGCAACTCCAGGAGCTAGGGATTCTTCTTACCCCATTTCATAGATGAGGAAACTGAGGCCCACAAGTGGAAATCACTTGCCAAGGTCACAGAATTAGGAAGCAACAGAGCCGGGATTTGAACCGGTTCTCTGAGGACGCAGTCTGTTCTTTTGAGTACTCTCTTCTACTGCCTCGAAGTTAAGACTTGGCTCCTGAAATTTCCCAGTGACCCATCGCGTGCCTTCTGCAGTCCGAGATCCCGCTATAAAATGGCTTGTTCTCACCCAATCTTCCTGTCATCTGCCATCCGGGAGTCTGCTCTGCCTTCTTATTGGGCCAAGTGTGGGTCCACACCCTGCTTGCTCTGCTGACAAGGGGCAAGTTAGAACCCAGCCCCACACGTCAGCCCTTCAGCAGCAGCTGACTGAGGGTCTGCACCGTCAAGGCCACGGGGAGGGAGAAAATGGAACAGCAAGTTTTTCCCGAGGCCCCAAATGGAACTGGGCCTCTCCCTGGTATTTGGAGGGGGATGAAGCCGCCTCTTCCTTGTAAAAGGAGCACGCCCAGTCTGAGACTTGCTGTTGAGCTGGGAGGCTCCTGGAGGGGTCCTGGCCAACCGGCCATGGGTGAAGGCGCTGTTTGGTGGCTACAGCTGGGTGGGGCCGGAACCCGGAAGAGAGATCAGGCATGAGGCAGCCCGCCGCCTCTCTTCTCCCTTCTACCCTCTGTCCTCTTCTGTCGTTAGATGGTTCGTAGTTTCTCCCAACAGATCCCTCAGTTCTAGTCATAGGCCTGTGCCGTGCCAGTGTTGCGAGTTCAAAGAACAAAGGCAATCCTGTGTCAGCCTTCCCTCCCTCCCTGTCGCTCCCTCGCCTCTTGTCATTCCTGCATCAAACCAGGATAATGGGGTGGCTTTCCTGGGCCCGGCCCTGCTCCCTTCTCCCCTGCCTCCCCCTCCCTCACCTCGGGGCTGTGGTCTGCTTCTTCCCCCTCGTACACCAGGGCTCTTTCTGCCTGATCAGAGCCTCCTGGGCAGCTGTCAGGTGATGTTCAGGGTCAGGGCGGGGGACAGAACATGGGCAGCCGTATTCTTCTTGCTAATGGAAGGAGAAAAGGGGAAATGGACATTTGAGGAGACTTTTGGTCAAGAGTGTCATGGTAGCTTCTGGTTGTTGATTTTGAGATACAGAAGGAAGTGGCTCATCCATCCAGGGAGGCTTCTCCTCACTACCAGATTCCTGGGAGAGGTGGAGGCCCACCACATTGAACTGACTTGTGCTGAGGGTTATAGCCTGTGGGCTGCCACTTCCAGTGGGACAGCTTTTCCCACTGCGCCAAGTCCTTCTGTGTGCAGCCAGGCTTTGCACCCACACTCCTAGCCTTCCCTGTTGCCCTTGCTACCAGAAAGGGGGCTTCTCCAAACTCTTTCTCGTCCCCACAGGGTCCTCCAGGATCTCGAGGCCTACCAGGCATGAGGGGAGCAAAGGGACGCCGGGTAAGTGGGGCCCAGCCCCCGGGAGGCTGGCACTGGCAGGGGCCACCTGACAGGGAGACTACCTCCTGCTCCTTGCCCCCTGCCCAACCCTGAGACCTGTGACTTTCACGGCATCAGGCAGGGTTTCCAGCTCGTCTTTTCCAGCCCATTTCTGAACACCAGGCCTTGCCATCCCGTGGGTACAGACAGGGTCTGTGGTACCAATGTTTTGTCCATTCATTTGTTCATTCATTCATTCCACCACCATTTATTTAGCACTGACTATTTGCCGGCCACTGTTGGAGGCTCTGTAGATACCACGGGAGGATGGGAGAGGCATGACCTCTGCCTGCCCTCACGGCTCAATCAAGTAGGTCAAAGAGATAGTTTCGGGTCATAGGCGCATAGGTGGTGAAGCAGCTTGGGAGCCTGGGTAGAGTATCAGAGCGTGCTTCAGGGCTTCAGGGAGAGGAGGGTACTGGAGCTGGTGCCAGGTTCCAGGCAAGGGAAAGCCCTAAGGTGAGAGAAGGTGTGGCATGTTTAGGGGTCTCCACTGGCTCCCCAGAGGGGCAGGGGAGAGGGACGAGACCAAGAATTAGCAGGTGGCAAGCCCGCAAACCACAGTTAGGCCTATGGACTGTGTTCCCAGGGTAGTGGGGAGCCATAGAGGATTTTAAACGAGGGCTGGCCTGAGCACAAGCGCCAGAGGTGATCACTGGTACTTACTATGTGTCAGGTGCTGTCCATCACATATATTAACTCATTCAGTCTTCAACACTACTCTATAAAGAAGGTGCTGGGCTTCGTTCCATTTTACACACCAGGAAACTAAGGCACTGAGAGGTTAAGTCAGCTGTCTCGGGTTGCACAGTTAGAAAGTGGCAGAGCTGGGATTTGAACCCAGGGAATCTGGCTCTTCTGCATAGTGAATGTAGTCTCATTTTCAATCGTGCAGGGAGGGCTGACGGAGTGGTTTTTTTGCCCCCAACTGATGTATGGGTGCTGGGATAGGCAGCCTTGTAGAAGGGAACCACGATGGCACAGGTAGAGCCGACAGCCCAGGCCTGATATCCAAGCTCCATACGGGGAATCTGTGATTAGTCTCCTCTTGGCTGAATTTCAAGCGGTTTTAAATTTTTCCCCAAACCAGATGGCCAGCAGTCAGCCTGGGAGAGGGGCGGATTAGGAGGCATTCCTCTGGCCCAGCAGGGCCCCTACCACTGCTATGTCCTGGGTCTCTGCAAGTGGACCCAGGCCCATTGGCAGCCAGTTCCACCTTGACCCTGTGCACATGGCCTCCTGCCCCAGGAAGCCAGATTAGCTGGAGATTCAGGTCCCCAACTCACCGAGCTTCCCCCAGCTGTCTCTAGCACCCCTTCCCAGCAGTGGCTCCAAGAATGTATGTCCTGCTTGAGGAAACCCAGGCTCCCAACCACATCAAAAGTCTCCAGGGCTGGGAGGGAAGTGTTGAGAACATGAGCTCCTCCCTCCTGCTGGGTTTGGCAGGAATGCAAAACCTGTGGGATCGGCGCCCTGGGTCCCCGGCCTAAGAGTCCACCATTGGCCACTTTGCAGTGGGGGTACCTAGAGGCGCACCCATCACGCCTGCAAAAGAGCTCAATACTGGGCAGGCCCCCATGTAACAACTGGCTTGCCAAGTGACCTTGCCACCCTCTGAGCCTCAGTTTCCCCATATGTGCCATGGGTAAGGTACAAGGCCCTGCCTGCATCTCTGTTGATATGCAAGAGGGGACAAGATGGGGCCTCAGGCCCTCGGCTCCTGGTAGAACTGCTGACAGGGTCTGGGTCCACAGGCCTCTGTTGGAAGAGTGGGGGCTCTGGGGTCCGACAGAGACAAATCTCAGCCTTCCCAGTTACCAGTTCTGGGACCTCAGGCCAGTTTCTTAACTGCTCTAACACCTAGTGGATGACATTCGGAGGAGGTTGTAAGGACCCAGAATTTGAACTCACATCAGCTGGATGCCCTTTTTTTTTTTCACCACCACCACAACTCACTGCTTATCAGTGTGGGAGTGAGCACCCCATCAGAGGGGGTATGCAAGTCAGGGACTAGAGAAGCCTGTCATGAAGGCTCTGGCCTGGGACAGGATGTTGGAGAAGACAATGTCTAAAAGCCCTGTTACCTGGGAGACTCCACCATCTCCCTCCACCAACCACTTTGAGGGAGTCTCGGGGATTCTGAGATACACGTGCCTGGCACTGGACTCTGCTCCCATGAATGGGGCTAAGAGCTCAGCAGACCTGGCCTCGAATCGTGGCTCTTCCTCTTTGACCTTGAGCAACTGATTCCGTCTCTCTGGGCCTCTAGTTTTCCTCTGTAAAAAGGGTGAGCCACAGAACTGACCTCTCTGGATGGCCATGGGATTAAATCCCTTGGCATGTGCCTTGCACATGGTGAGCACCTCCCTTTGATCATCCATCCCTTTGTCATAAGAGCTGCAATTGACCAGATTTTCTGTCCCAGCCTGGCTGAAAGGTAGCCCCAGCTTTGACTGCAAGCATCTTCCTGGGGACTGGCTATAAGAGAACAGACATATGGTTCTGATGGAAACCCGGGCCTGCCTCCAGCAGGGCTGGCTGGCCTGCATTCACTTGGAGCAGGAAGGACGAGGACGGGGGCACCCTTGGGACACAGGACAAGCTGCAGAGTGGCCCAGAGCAAGGGTTAGCATGTGCGGCTGCCCTGCTCCTGTCCCTGCCCTGGGGAGCCAGGGAGCGAGGGTAGCTGGGGCCCCGTTGCCGCCTCCTCCCTCTAGACAGCAAAGGCTGTGGCCCTATTTCCCCCAAGCAGTGCCGGCTTCCCCCTGAGCTCACTGGTCTCCCAAGGGATCGCAATCTCCCAGGTACCAGGAACTTTAGACATTGTCTTCTCCAACATCCTGCTCCAGGGCAGAGCCTTCATGGCAGGCTTCTCTGGGCCCTGACTTGCACACCCTCATGACGGGGAGCTCACTCCCACACTGATAGGCAGTGACAGGTCGTAGTGGAAAGAAACGGGCGTCTGGCTGAGTTGGGTTTAAATTCTGGCTCCTCCACTTCCTAGCTGTGTGACCATAGGCTATTTCCTTATGGCAAAATGAGGATAATAGCTTTTGGTATCATTGCTGCTGTGGCCGTTGCTACTGCTATTATTACAGATCACATAAACTTTCTTTCAGAAAGGCTTGGATTCTGGGGATGAATAGGGTGCCGTGTGATTCACACCAAACCGTCAACATTTCTGGGCCTCCACTGCAGTCCCAGAGCAATCCCTGTCCAGGGAGGTTTATGGCTCAGCTAGAGACAGAGGCCAGGGGCCAGAAGCCATCTCTCAGGAGGGCCCAGATGTCCACCCATCAGCTCAGTCTCTGTCCCAGCTCCTAAGACCTGGGATGTCCCCACCTCAGTCTGGCTCCATCTCCACCAGGCACCTGTCCATGAATCAGGGGCGGAAAGTCTAACACACGGTCTGACAGTGTCCATCTGAGAGAGAGGGGCCCAGAGAGGGGAAGGGGCTTGCCTGGGGCCACACAGCAATCCAGCAGCAGAACAAGGACTAGCACCCACAGCTTCTAATCATATGTTGTATTGGATCTGTGGAAACTCTCAGCTGGTTCTCTGTAGCTTGCTCTAAGCTGCCTGTTCTGAGGAAGAAGGGACTGAATCCAGATCTTCCAGGCCATTCCTCTGTGTCCCTGGCCCTGGGGAGCCTGATGCCTCCTCTGGCAGAGCCAGCTATTACTGAGCACTTACTAGAGGCCAGGTGCTGAACTGCCTGTGTGCAGTATCTCCTGCCTTAAGGGAGAGATTCTCATCCCCATTTCAGAGACAAGATAACTGAGCCTCAACAAGGTTGCCTGTCCTGGGTTTATTCAATCCACGAGGCACTATTTAAGGCTGTGGGAGCCCCGGGTAGCTGATAAAAGGAATTGTTGCTTTTTCTGGCTCAGTTATTAATGAAAGTTCCCTTGCTTAATTTTTAAATGAATTCTTCGTGCTGTTTTTCTCATCCCTCATCCCACCCCCCGCCACCTGCACATATGTTCCCCAGTCCCCTTTTGTGGCTGGCCCCACGCTCCCAGGCCAGGGTGGGCCAGCCTTCTGCACAAGACCCTCTTCGTCTCCCCCACATGACCTCTTTGGTCCCCTGCAGGACAAACACCACACTGTTCTCTACAGGGGGCCGTTTCCAGAGGACCCCATCTCATCTGCGTCTCTGTGGGAGTCCCTGTAAGGGGGTCACATGGACCAGTGGGTAGAACCCTGGAGGGGATGCACCTGCTGATGTGCTAAGGGACCTTAGACAAGTCACTTCTTTGACTGGGCTTTAGTGTTCCCATCTGTGCAGTGGGGGAAGGGCCTGCCTCAGGCGGTGGAGGGGTGGGGCTCCCAGCTTTCAAAGGGGTAAGACTGCTGTCTGGGGCTCCGCGGAACGGCCGCCTGACCCCTGCCCCGTTCTTGCCCCTCCACACGTCAGCTCCTCCCTCTGTGAGCAGGGCCAGACTGACTCGCACCTCTGGCTGGAGGAGGCTGCTCCGCACACCTAGCCACATGCAGACCGTCCCCGGGTCCTTCGCTGTCAGTGTCCCCCAAGGGTTGTGGTTCAGACACCCGTTTCTGCCCCCCGTGTGCTCGGGGAAGAGGATGCAGCCGCCGAGTCTGAGGGGCTGACTGTGCGGACCTGGCCACATGTGTCTGGCCCTCAGCCTGCCTGGCTCTGAAATGCATTGGCTGCCTGACTTCCGAGGTCTCTTTAAACAGGGTCGTTCGTGCACCACCAGCCCTATTCCAGAACGACAGGGCCTCTAGCGGAGTCCCTCCGTGCCTCGCCATCTCAGCAGGCACGCCGCGCATGGGTGACCCGCCTCAGGGTGAGGGTGTGCGGGCAGTGGGAGGAGAAGAGAGCCCCAGGCTTGTGCCGGGAGAGGCCCCGGGCTCTGGGCAGCCCTGCCCTCCTGGTTCCCAGCCCAAGGGAGACCCCTGCTGTCCATCGTGCTAGTCCCTTTTTCCTATTCCAGGGCCCCCGAGGACCAGATGGACCAGCCGGGGAGCAGGGGTCCAGGGGCCTGAAGGTACCAACCCCAGGGCCTGCCCTTCCTCACACCTCCCATGCTGCCTCAGGAATCCGGGAGCCAAGGCTCACACCTTCCTCGGCGCCAGGCCCCTGGGGGTGGCAGGGAGCTCATGGGCCACTCCTCCTGACCCTGGAGCCTGAGCCTGGGGGCGGGGGAGAAAGAGCACAGAGAGAGAGAGAGCAGTGACTAAGAGGGGGCCGGAGGAGGTAAGAGTAAGAGAGGGTGGGAAGGAACCTCAGGTGCCCTCTGGCCCCTTCCCTGGGGCCCCTAGCCCCTCCAGAGCCCCCGGGAGCCAAGATTGCTTCTACTCCCCGCAGGAGCAAGGGGTCCTTGGTTCTCCAGAGCAGATGGTGACGACAGCCAGCCACTCCCCTTGCCAGGCCTCAGTTTTCCCACTTGCACAATGGGGAGATGGGTGCGTCTGGTGATGACACAGGTTCCTTCCAGCTCCCATGGAGTGCAGAGCCTGTGCCGTGAAAGGTCCTCCTAAGCACTCTCTCCCACCCTCACATGCTTTGCTTCCTGCAGGGCCCTTCAGGACCGCAGGGCAGACCGGGCCAGCCTGGGCAGCAGGTATGTCAGCCAAGGCTGCCAGCCCCTCCCTGCTCCCTGCTTGGCGAGACGCGCCTCTAATGACCCCACATGTGCTTGCAGGGTGCGGCTGGTGAGCGCGGGCCCTCGGGCACACGAGGCTTCCCCGTAAGTAGCATCGGTTCTGGGAATTCCGTGGGGCTCTGCTGGGAGATAAGAGCCACGTTACCAGGTTCCCACCCTGCTGTGGAAACCACAAAGGTTCTGGCTGCCCACTCTGTGCACTGAAGACCCTCTAGCCTGCCTCTTTCCTCTGAGACTCGGTCTCCCCATCGGTCACATGGCAGCGGGTGGGGGTGGCACCCTGACACACTGCGAGGTCTTCCGGGCAGGGTGAAGGAGGCCATGGAGGGACTAAGGTCACCTCTGTTCTTCTCCACAGGGCATCCCAGGTCCCTCAGGCCCCCCAGGCACCAAGGGCCTCCCAGGAGAACCGGTAAGTGCTCTCTCTCCTCCCTCTCTTGTCTCTTTGCCCCTAGCAGGCTGGTCTCAGACGGACCACCGCCTGGGAGTGTGGCACGTGGTCAGCCAAGAAGGGAGGTTGGAGAGGGACGGGGCCAGGGCTCTGCTACCCTGCTGGGACAGGCGTGGGGGGAGGTGGGTACTGGCCAGGGAGCTCGGGAGCTCTGGGTTGGAGTCTAAGCTTGCTTGCCCTCCAGCCTAGTTTTCTTACAAGTAAATGGGAATAATTGTCCCCACCATGTTATCCTGTTGTAGAGATGAAATGAAGAAATGTATAAGCTGAGGGAACAGAGTATTCAGGTCTCCAAGGGAGGGAGGATGGGAATTGCAGGGTCTGGACAGGAGCCAGTGAGGGGTTTGAGACCAAGATAACCCTTCAGGAGGTTCCCTGGAAGGATGGGTTTGGGGGATGGCCCAAGGGTCAGGGCGCCCCTTGAGGAGGCAGTGGAGTGGTACCTCTGGAGAGGAGAGGACAGCCTTGAGGGGTATGGGAGGAGGGATCCCTGCATGGGGCAGGGGGAGGACAGGAGGCTCCTGCCCCCTGGGGCCCCGTGCTAGAGTCCCACAACTTTAGGCCCAAGGAGATGCCGTTTTGAACAGTGAATTGACCAGGACCCGGGTGGGGGTTTCCCGAGGTGGATCCCAGGTGGAAGGGCATTCAGACTGAGGGAAAAGAGTGAGTGAGCCTTCTTAGAAGAGCTGGAAGGTTCCTGAGTGGGAGAGGCCCCCCCCCCGCCCCAGGTTTGAGGAAGAGGAACAGGAGAGAGCGCAGATGGCTTGAGGGGGTGGCAGGAGACCAGTGGTGAGGAGGGAGCTGCAGACAGCGGGTCCTTGGCATGGCCGGTTGGGGGCATGGCCGCAGAGTTCCAGGTTCTGGGGATCCTCTCCCTCACCTGCCCCCTCCAGACTGCATTATTGGGCCTCAGGCCCCAGAGAGGACCCAGGCTGCCTTCTCAAAACTGTGTGTGTCTGCCTGTCTTACAGGGCCCTCAGGGACCCCAGGGGCCTCTTGGCCCTCCGGGAGAGATGGGACCCAAGGTGAGCGCTGAGGGCCCCTCGTTTGTCCTGAGATGTTGCCGGGGAGGTATCAGTCAGCCCCTCGCAACCCTCCTCCACACGGGGTCCCAGGCCTGGCTGCGTCCTGTGTCCTGCAGAAACCGAAGGGTAGATCCCCTGGTGGGAGGGCAGATCCACCCTAATGGCATAGGGTGAGGAGCTGGGTTCCCAGTCCCAGGGGCAGCTCATGGCATGTGGGGGTGCCAGGACCCTCAAGCGGGTTGGCGGTGCCTCTTTTGCGGGACCATGGGAAGCCGCAGTGCCCCCACCCCAATCCCTGCTGGGACTTCCCCTTAGCACCGAGGTTTGACTGCAGAACCAGCCCTTTTGAGGGCATGCAGCGAGGAGCTCTAGAGGGAACTCCAACACCTCTGCCTTATCCAGAGGAGAAAGCTGAGCCGCAGGGTTTGTGCAGGGGCTGTAGCCATGCTGATGGTGATAACTCGAACCCCTTCCCACCCTTGTCATCGAGTAAAACACAGGGATCTGTCTGCCCTGAATACAGCCTTGGTTGGCTTCCTCCCCTGTTGTTATGTGAATCATGCTATTTTCCTCCCTGTGCTGGCCAAGGGGCTCTTAATGTGGTAAACCACACTCGTGGGGAAGGAGAAGGCTCCAGCAGCCTCTGAGCAGCCCCAAGGCTCGGCACTGTGGGCCCAACCACCACCCTCCCTGTGGTCCCAGCTCCAAGCTCCAAGAAGGCTGTAGCCTGGTCCCAGCTCTGTGTCTCTCCTGCTGTGTGACCTCAGGCACATTCCTTGCCCTCTCTGAGCCTGCCTAAGTTGTCTCCTCCCTTACAATCCAAGCCAGCCCTTGCTGTAGGAGGGACCAATGGCATTTTCTTGCAGGGGCCTCCCGGTGCGGTAGGAGAACCGGGTCTTCCTGGGGAAGCCGGGATGAAGGTAAGGCAGGATGAAAGAGAAAATTGACTTGTTGAAACCAGCTCCCAGCTGGCGGCCACATCCTCCCCACGGAAGAGAAATGGGCCTTTCTTGTGTGGGGATAATGAGTTCTCTGTGTTCCTGGCTGGGGAGCGGGTCCTGGCTATGACCACAGTGGCGGGCCCAGCTGGCCCGGAGCCCCCGCCCCCCGCCCCTGCCCCCTGCCCAGCGATGTTTTCCCTGGCACCTGCCCCACGCCCGGGCGGCCACATCTCCTGGCCTCCTGAGATACCATCTGCATTTCAGCCCCTGAGCCCCTCATTACCTGCGGGGAAACAGGCGCCCATTGATGCCTGGGCTCTGGGGAGAGGCCCCCTCGCCCCCGGCCCCGTTCTGCTGTGGAAGAGGATGCAGCTCCCTATGCAGGCCCCGGAGCTGACGAGGGATGCTGGCAGCCTGATGGCCTTGCTAGGCAGGGCCTGGGGGAGCCGCCAGGGTCTGTGGGACTAGAGACAGACACCCCCTCCCCAGCGGTGCCTGAGCCTCCCTGCCATTCAGAGGGACTTGGACCAGCCCTGGGACTTTAGTTGTTGGCTTAGATCTAGAAACCTTTGCTCCAGCAATGCAGAAAACCACCCCATATATAAAACAGACAGAAATGGGATCCTCCTGGTTGGGGCAGGGCTGGGGGCTCAGCGCTCCTCCTCCTCCTGGTACCGCCCCCCCCCCCCCCGCCCGCCCTGGACATCAGCACAGAGGGAGACTAGTTTAGAAACCCCCACATGGTGATCTTTTGGGGGGCAGATGACATTTATTCTGGCTCATGTAGGGCCTGTTCCTCCTTTGGGTTTCTCTCCAAGGCTCTCAGGGAGAGTAAAGAAGGTGGTCAGCCACAGAGTTGCCATCCCTGCATCTGATCCTCCCTGGAGCCAAACTACCCAGGTTTGGATCCTGAATCTGTCCCTTCTTAGCCTCATGGGCTTGGGCTAGTGACGTAACCCTTGTGCGTGGTCCCTTGGTTTCTCCATTTGTAAAAGAAGATCCCTTCTCTGGCAGGGTTGTTGTGAGGTTTCAGTGTGAAATTGAGAGGCCCTTAGAGCAGCGCCGTGTAAGCGTGAGCTTGATGGTGGTGGCGTTTGCGTGGCCCCGACATGGCCAGGGCTGGCCTGGAGCAGGGGCTCTGGTTGGCATTTTACAGTGTTGCTTTGGTCCTTGGGAAGGAGGGGCTTCCCCAGCTCTCCGCCCAAATCAGAGCTGGTGAGGACAGGAAGGTGAGGCAAGGGCTGGGACTGGCCCTGCCCACCCCCATGGACTTGTGTTTGGCTTCTCCTAGGGTGACCTTGGGCCTCTGGGCACCCCTGGGGAGCAGGGCCTCATTGGGCAGCGGGTAAGTCGAAGCAAATTCATTCTTCCTGGAAAGCCACCTGAGGGGCACTTGGGTCTGGGGGAAGGGCTTTACTCAATCTCCCTGAGCCTCAGGGAGAACGAGACTATGAATTCCTATAGCCTCATTCTGTCTCTCTGGGTGAGCCAGCATTTCCACAATGCAAAGGCACTCTTGGAAGAAAAGGATCCAGTGGTCAACGTGTTTGAGACTCACTGCATGCTCCGTGTTCCCTCTTCCACATTAGCATTTTCAAGGCTCTGAGAAGGACTGCAGCCAAGACAGTGGTTCCTGACTTACTGGGATGCACTTTTACTTTTGAAAAACACCTGTTATCATCCCTGGAAACTGTTCCATGGAAGGTTATCTTCCCCTTTTCTAAAAGAAACCCACAAAGCTTGTCTTTGAGAAGCTTTGGGATGGCTCTCTGTCCACTTCTCCGTGCTCCGTGCCTCCGTGCCCAGTTTATACAGTCTCTGCCTGAATATGGCCTGCAGGCGTACTGGGGAGGGGTACAGAGCAGGCATCCTGTAGCACCTGCCAGGTACAGAAGGTGGGGTCCAAGAGGGAGGGGGAGTTAGCATGGGCCTCAGTTCCTGGGGGCACCAGGGGCAGCCCAAGTGCCCTTCATTTCTTATCATTCCTGTTTTTCCAATGCTTCGTGCTTCCCCTGCCCAGAGTTAACCAAAGCTCCACAAATTGAGTTAAGACATAGAAGGAGCAAGAAAGACCACAGGGCAAGGCAGGATGTGTGTGCAGCCCGAACCCCTGAGATGGTAAATCTTGTGTGTCAACAAAGACTGATCCATAGTTTTCTTAGAGTGCCGTGTTAAGAAGGATCCTGAGGCACAGTAGGAAAGAGAACGACGAGCACTCACGACGAGCACTCACTTGAGGCCCACTCTGTGCCAGGCCCTTCTCTCAAAGCAGTGGGAACAGAGCAGTGAGTAACAGAAGGCCTTGTTCGTATGGAGCCACCTTCTAGTGGATCCATTAGTGACATCTGCCACAGGCACGAGAAGCGTGGGGTCTCCACACCTGTCATGCCTTTGCCACCCCTGCCTCTGATGATCTCTGAGGCCCCTTTGGGCTCCGGTGCTGAATAGCCATGAACTCTGAAAGCCAAGAGAGAGACAAACTAATTTGACGGCCAATTTGAGAACGGAGACATCCAGGGGCATCTCTGGAGCTGGGACTGCAAGCAGAGAACTTAGCTGAGGGTCAGATGGGGATTCGGGGTCTTGGTATCATTCCCAAGCTTGCTGGCCAAAAAGTCTTAAGGCTGGCCTCACTTTCCTCATCTGAGAAATGGGATTCCATGAGGAGTTTCATGGGAGCTCACTCCAGTTCCAGAAATAATATATCGAAAGGCTGCCATCTGTGGGGTGCTTACACTGTGCCTTCCAGGCACCCTTAAAGGAAGTGGCATCAGCCCAATTTTCCGATGAGCAAACAGCTGCCCGTGGGGGCGAGGTATTTTGCTCGTGGTCGTACTGCCTGTGAACAGGAAGCCCAGTGTGGGAACTGAGGTCTCTATGACATCAGAGCCTTTCTCAACCACTGGGCAGCAGTGTTTCCAACTAACCAACCAACTTGGACACTTTGTAACTCGTATCTCATGTGGCCCCCACCCGACCCACTCTGCAGACAGAGCAGGCTGGGGCTTGGGGGTCTGCTCCTCCTTTTTGAAGAGCTGAGAGTGGGTACCTCAGCCCCCCTGCTCACTCACTAATTCAGCCACTGTTTACCGGGCACCTGCTATGTGCTGGGCGCTCCAGGGCCCTACTGCCTGGAGATAGGGGGTTGGGGTCCTGCCCCAGGGAGAGGGAGGAAGTAAAAGCACGTTGGGCTCCTTCCCTGGGAATGTCTCCTCATCTTTCCCCACCACCCTTTCCAGGGAGAGCCAGGCCTCGAGGGTGACAGTGGTCCTACAGGGCCTGATGGGCTGAAGGTAAGTGTCCTGCTGCTGTAGGGTCTGGGGAGGGGGATGTTCTGGAACTGCCTTCTACCTCTGCTCCCACTCCCTGCCTGTCCAAGACCTCAACTTTCTCCTGGAAGCACTGTATTCCCATAAAGGGAATGTCTGAGAGCAGACCTCTGGCTCCTATTGCAAGTAGCCTGTCCAGCATCCGCCCCACCCCCCACTGCCCACCCCCCGCCCACCACTGCCTCCTGCCCTGCTCAGATGGGACTAGGAGCCATCCCACCTTCCACTGCTCACTGCTACCCTTCTCCTCAAAACTCCAGCTCTCTTGGTTAAGGGTAGTACCTGAACACCCCTGCTCTGTGCTAGACTCAGAGCCCGCAGCTTTGATATCTGTTATCTTCCAAACATCCTAAAAGATCGGGAAAATAATAATCACCACCCATGACCTGTAAGCCACTATTTATGGTGGACTAGTCATGTATATATCAGGTACTGTGCTAAGCCCTTTGTGTTATGTAACACATCATTTAATGTTATGGGGTAAGTTCTGTCCTTAAATGAGGAAACCGAGACCCCGAGAGGTTAAGCAACTTGCCCAAGGACACACAGCTAGTAATTGGCACAGCCAAGACCCAAACCTTGGCTACCTCTCTCCACCAGGCATCCATTCTAAAGGTGGGGAGACTGAGGCTCAGAAGGAGGCAGAGGTGCACTCATCCAGAGTCTGTGGCTGTGAGTGGGGAGTCCAAAATTCAAACCTCGGGCTCACTGGCACCACAGCATGTAGGCCTAACTGCCCTGTTGCATCCTGTAGAATCCTCTGTCAGCCACAGATGCTGGCACCTTCCGCAGGCGCCAGGGCTCCCCTGAACCCGGGGGCCAGCAGGCGTCGCTCTCCGACTCACTAGCTTCATGTCTAGCCCAGACCTGTCCCTGGCTGCCAGCCCGGGCCCAGCCCTGGCACAGTACTAGGTGTGCTCTCCCCAGGACTGACCTGTCACACGGAGTCAGCTCCTCAGCCCAGGGACCCAAGGGCCACATCCCAGAATTCCCTCTGTCACCCATTTACTTTCCATGTGACCTCAAATAAGCAGCCCTCAATTCCCCAAGCCCCAGACACCCCCCCCCCCCCCCCGCCACTGCCCCATCCCCATAACTGCCCTCGGTCCCGGGCTTCCCCATCTACCAGGATGCCTCCGGGACAGGCTCCTGGCTGGCTCCCCATCTGCCCCGGGTTTTCCTTGCAAGGCCGTGAGCGCCCCCTGTCGCCATCCGTCTGCCTCCTCTCCTCTCCAGCTCGGCTGCATCCTAGGGTACAACTGGTCCTGGCTGGGGAGACCCAGAGCATTTGACAGCCCCTCCACATCCTTTGCCCAACACCTGCTTGAGCTGCAGTGACACTGAAGAACATTCTGGCTAAAATGCTCTGCATACTCACCATGCGCTCACACCACCTGCCTTAAGAGCTTTATGTGAATGAACCCGTGTAATCCAGCCACCCTGTGAGCTAGATTCATTCCCGTCCCCACTTGACAGTTGGGGAAACTGAGTCACAGTGCAGGGGCCTCTTCCATTTCTGGTCAGCCACCTTTTTTCTCCTCCGAATTGTGCTGAGGTGTGACAGGAGAGGGGGGCTTCGAGGCGTGGGTATCTCAACGCTGTCTTTCCTGCTCTCTCAGCATGGCTCCCGGCTCTGGCTTCTTCCTCTTTCACTGCCTTCAAAGCCAGTTCTGCCGTAGACCTTGGGCCACAGTAGTTGCTGCAGATGTCCAGCATCTTTTCTGGTCCTCGTGAATCCCAGGAGACCATCCGCTTTCTTCATGGTGTTTGTCCAAGAATCACCTTCATGGTGAAAACCACCTCTCAGACACACACAGCACGTAATAGTCTATAGAGTGCCTTTGTGCTGATGATCTCTGTTGAGTTTGCCCACACCCAGCAGATGGTGGTGGTGATGGTGGTGGTTACTCCTAGGAAGACTAACCTTTATCCAGAACTCACGTGCCAGACGCGATGTTAAGCTACTTAAATGGATTAGCTCTTCCAATCCCCATAGTAACCCTTTGCTGCTTATTTTACAAATGAGGATACTTGCCGAGGGTTCCGCAGCCATTGAGAGGTGGCAGCAAGATTCGAATTTAAGCAACATAACCCCAGGAGTAAGGGAGGTATTGTCCCCTGCACAGAGAACCTTGAAATCTGAAGGCACCAGAACCCTAGGGTCTCATGCATGCTCTGCCACTGACTTCCATGTGTAGTTGGGAAGTCTCCTGTGTCTGGGCCTCAGTTTCCTTACCTATAGATCGAGAAGGTTGAGCTAGACAACTTGTAAGGCTCTTCTGAGCATTGGCAGATGTCCAGGGGACTCTAGGATTCTCCAGGACCCACCAGAGACGATTCTGTAGGGGATCCACAGGTTCGCTACCCCAGGCTGTGGGGGCTCTGAGTGGTCCCTGGAGCTGGAGCCCCTGAGGTGCCAGGCTGGGGCCCCTCTCTGAAAACCAGCCCAGCCACCTGGAACAGGCTGCCTGCCTCGGAGAGAGGAAAGTAGGTGCCCAGGGATAACAAGGCTGAAGGGGGATCCTGGACCGGGGTCTGCAGAAGGTTGAGCTAGACAAAATTGTAAGGCCCTTCTGAGCATTGGCAGATGTCTGGGGAACTCTAGGATTCTCCAGGACCCACCAGAGAGCATTCTGTAGGGGATCCACAAGTTTGCTACCCCAGGCTGTGGGGGGGTCTGGGTGGTCCCTGGAGCCAGAGCCCCTGAGATGCCAGGCTGGGGTCCCTGTCTGCAAACCAGCCCAGCCACCCGAAAGAGGCTGCCTGCCTCGGAGAGAGGAAAGCAGGTGGCCAGGGATGACAAGGCAGAAGGGGGATCCTGGACCGAGGTCTGCAGAAGTGTCATCAGGGCAGCACCCCATCTCCCTGCCAGGCTATGCTCGGAGTCCGAGAATCTCAGTGGGGAGGGATCTCACACACCAACCTGTCTGACCCTCTCCTGGTGCCCAGATCTGCTCTGTGCTGGCCCACACCTCAGCTTGGAGTGTCCCTCCCTTATCCATGCCATCTCTGGACCCCTCTTCACTGGGGAGTCTCCCCCCGCCCCCTAGCTGAGCTAGAAACCACCCCAGGAAGCCCCTGCACCAGCCTCCTGTGCCCAGAGCCCAGGCTCCAGCTTCATGCCCTCTGCACTCTGATCTTTCTCCTGGACCCACACAAGTTTACCAGCACTCTTTGTAAAGTGTGGTGCTGGGAAACAGAACTGGCAGAGACACGCTCTCCTTCTCCCAGCCGGCTTCCCTGCCCAGCCCTTCCTCCTGTCCATGACTTCATCCCCTTTCCCACGGGTCTCTCTGAACGGTCCCAGCTCAGCCACTTGCAGACTGGCCACGAGACCGGCCGGGCCCGCCAGCCCCGATGGAGGTGACCTTCTGACAGGCGCCACCCTGTTCCTCTGTGGCTACTGCCCATGCCGCGCCCCTCACCCCTGCTCTGCCCGCAGCCTGGCTCAGCCCAGCCTGCCAGGATGCGGCCTGGACGTGGCAGGTGCTGTGTCAGTGTTAACTGCCGTCCACTGGACAGAGGAAGTGCTCTGCCACAGGCGAGAATGAGAGCCATGCAGAGCAGACAGCAGTGGAGATGGTGTTGGCAGTAGAGACTGACAGCAAGGTGGAACCAAGCAGTACAGTTGGATTATGTCTTTAAAGCTTCATGTACTGCTAACTAGCTTCCTTGCTTTGGATTGGCTGTCCCACTGCTCAGAGCAACGGAAACTGATCTCTGCTTTATTATTATTGTAAGCTGTTTTCACGTAAGCAAGGGTTGAAAATGCAACTCAGAAGAATGGATTTGGTTCTGAGAGGCAGGATTGGGTGAATTGTTTTCCTTTTTTAAAATTTCCTTCAGCATCTTAAGACTTTTGTCCTCCCCGTGTGTCAGTGTTTGGGAGAAAGAGCCTGAGTCTCACAAAGCTGCTCCCTTCCTGTGAACTCCAGGGGGTGGGAGTAGTCAGGGTTCTGCGTTCCCTCTGAGCAACTTTCCCTGGCCCGAGTACCATGTCGGAGGTATTTCCTGCACCAGCCAGGCCATGACACCCTGACCCTTTTGGCGGCTCAGGGAACAATCCGGGCAACCCAGGGGCTGCTTGGTGTGGACATCCAAATGGAGCCCTGGAGTTTAGCGCCTCTGATGGGCTGAGGGACTAATTTATTCTCTCTCTCTCTCTCTCTCTCCCTCCCCTCCTCATGCCCTTCCAACCTAGGGGGACAGGGGTGACCCTGGGCCTGATGGTGAACATGGCGACAAAGGCCAAGAGGGACTGATGGGCGAGGATGGGGCCCCTGGCCCCCCTGGCATCACTGGCGTCCGGGTGAGTGTGCACGGCTGCGTGCCAGCACCGTGGGCGTCTGGGTGTGCGTACCACCCACACCTGTTTGGGCAGTTGGACAGGAGGTCTTTTGATGGCAGCTACCTAAAGGTCTTCCACTGTGGTCCTTCCTCCCCCTGGGAGTTTCCCAGAGAAGAGTCTGCCCATGTCCCTCCCCTGCCTAACCCTCCCATGGCTCCCAATTGCCCTTAGACTAGCATCACACTCCTCAGTCTGGCTGCCACGGCCTCCACAAGCCTGGCCCTGCTGACCTCGTCCCACATTCAGCCACACTGAATTTAGCAGGGGGTTTAGCAGGAGAGGCGCTGGCCTTGATTCTCCACTAGGAACTTGCCGCTGCCCTCTCTGGGTCACACTCTTGGTACGATGAAGGTTTTGGAAGGAAGGCCTTCCAACATTCCAGGGGTTCTTTCTTAGTAAGCTCTTGAGTATCATGGCCATGGAATGGGCGGCAACGTGCAGCAGAAATAGCCCTGGGCCTAGAGTCCAAAGGTTGAGTTCTGGCTCGAGAACCCACGGTCTGTGTGACCTTAGGCAGATCACTGCTGCCTCTCTGTGAGCCTTGGTTTTCTTATCTTGGAAGAGTCAGTGAAGCTTTGGAAAGAAAGTGCTTTCTACAATGTCCCAGCGAATAAATACTGTCTTTGTGAATCTGGAGGAGGAAATGACTGGAAGCTGGTGGTAGTGGTGATGGTGGTAGTAACGTTGATGGTTGGGTGGAGGTGGAGATGATGATGATGATGATATTGATGATGGTAGAGATGGTGATGATGGTGGTTGTAATGGTGATGGTGGTGATGGAGATGGTGGTGATGGTGGAGATGGTGGTGATGATGGTGATAGTGATGATGGTGATGGTGATGATGGTGGTGATGGTGGAGGTGATGGTATTAGTGATGGTGGTGATGATGGTG